CTCAAGTCAGATATCACAGTCAGGTTTTGCCAACATTGATTCGTTTTGATAAATTTCCTATGGTCGTCTGCGGGACAGCAAGAACAGCCTCAGAGCTTGTTTACAATCAACCCTGATATAATGCTGTGCATAACCTGTCGCCAAATATTTTTCGGCCCTTTTGACCAGCGGACTCGTACACACCATCTCCACGCCCGTGATCTTGAGCATGCAGCTTCTCGCAAATGCCACATATGTCGGGTCTTGTGGAATGCGGTTGCTGATCATCCACGACAGTCTGAACAGCCTGAAGAATCTGAAAAACCATGCCCTACCCCAGTTTCACGATATTATATTCGCCGTCAATCCGTCGTGGAAGAATATATCTTAGAGCTTGACTTTACTGTGAACAAGAACGGCATCGACACTTGGGGGAGGTCTATCACGTTCTGTTTGCAAAGCATGAATGGTAAGTTATCACTGAATTCATGCTGTCGCTATTAATAAATAATATGTTTACGCTAATTCAGATGCCAGTAGCCATATTGACACTGAAGCGACATACAGTCCCAGTACCTGGGCTCCTAGCATGTCAGGTGCATTGAAATGGTTGTCCAGATGCCTAGATACCCATGCCAAATGCCGGTCATCTTCGATATCTGGCTACACCCCCACGCGCCTTCTCCAGATAGGGCAACCGAGCTCCGAAAAGATTCAATTATCAGTTCGTCCTCAAAAAGAAGGAATTGCGGTCCAATACGCTACTCTGAGCCATTGTTGGGGGACCTCAAAACCCTCTAAGTTCTCGATATTAACTTCAACATCACTGCAAAATCTAAGTGAAGGAATCCTCATTTCAGAATTAGATCAGGTGTTCCAGGACGCTGTATTTACAGCTCGGTCACTGGGCCTTGGTTTTCTCTGGATAGATTCATTGTGCATATTCCAAGACTCCAAAGATGACTGGCAACGAGAGGCGCCACTTATGAGCCATGTGTATTCGGGGGCAATGATCAATATAGCAGCAAGTATAGCGGCAGAACATGACGTGAGCTGCTTCCCAGAGAGAGATTTATCATTGGTTCAGCCGTGCATCATAAAATCCTCTTGGGATGATTGCGAAAATCAAGAGTATAATCTCTACCACAATGACTTCAAGGATACCACATTTAAGGATCTGCCTTTGATGAAAAGAGCATGGGTTGTTCAGGAGCTTTTATTGGCCCCAAGGGTTCTTCATTTAACAGGAACACAGCTGTTCTGGGAATGCTATGAATTGAACGGATGCGAAACATATCCAAGAGGTTTACCGCCGAACATTCACGGGCAGTGGTTGACAAGAGGTGTCTTATGGAGTTTGCTTTTTAGCTCCAAGAGCGATCCTGACGTGATGGTAAGGAATACGGCACACCAGGGAATCGATGCCATGAGGAGGCTGTGGAAGACAATTGTGGAGGTCTACACAACAACACGATTGACATATGGAACAGACAAACTCATAGCTCTCTCCGGAATTTCGAGGATTATGGGGCGTTCTCTTGGCGACAAGTACTGTGCTGGATTATGGAGGACTTCCCTTGTCACTGACTTGTTCTGGTTTGGCCCATCAGCCAGAGGAGAAAAATGGTCAAGACCCAGCCCCTATCGTGCACCCTCATGGTCTTGGGCTGGTATGGATAGCCGAGTCTCCGTGTCACTTTTTCCCGATGGACAACTGCAAGAGATAGAGCCGTTGGTTAGTATAATTACTTGTGAAGTGGAGACCGCTACAGGTGATCCCTTTGGTTTCGTTACAGGTGGCTTCCTGAAGCTTTCTGGGCTGCTGGCAACAATCTAAATCAAGCTCAAACCTGACGGTGAATGGCATGTTTTCTTTGATGGTATTTGGTGGGATGATAAAGTACGACTTTATGTTCGCCTCGACTGCGCTCCCTCAACATATAACCTTCATTGTCTACCGCTTTTCATCGATAATCATCAGTTGCCATTATGGAATCTGTCGTGCCTTTTACTTGAACCTACTGGGGAGGCTAGAGGCCAGTTCAGACGGAGTGGCATTCTGCACGCCTTTTCAGGGGCAATGGGAATGCAGGCCTGGACAAAGTTTGAAGGCAAAAAGAATGAAAGCTGGTTTGAATATGAGAGAATGTGTGATGATGGTGGATATGTGATTACTATTTTGTGATGCTATGGACTCCACAATGGTGCCGAGAGATTCACCGTTCGGAAAAGGAAGTCAAATCCCTGGGGATAACTCATGAAGATATTCGGCGTGTGAATATTCTTAGCTTAGGCGTGCGCTGACCATCCATTTTCATTGCTCGTCTTTGATATGCCGACTGAGTCGGCATCGAGCACAAGCAGCAAAGCGGCGATTATGTCGAGCTGAGACAGAAAATACTAAACCCCTTCGGAGATACTGGAGAATGAGGACGGAGTCACCTGCACCAATTTGAGTGTATTGCGCGATTGTCGCCCTGTTCTAAGGGCTTGCAATATGACGATGATCGTTGCATCAGTGGTCATCGGTGTCCACGAGAGAATTGTACGGTTAGGGGTTGCAAGTTCCCCCATGAAGTTGACACCAGAATTGTCAACTCTCTTTGATATTATAAGTCCTTCTGGCTTCGTTTTAACATTTTATATTTTCTTTTGACAAGCTGACCTCTCGCGCGCATTTAGTAAAAACGAACAAGATTCTTTAAGCGAATCGTCCTTAACAGAAAGCCCGCTTAGCCTAATTGTATCTCCTAGACCTCGCCAGACCCATGGGCGGCCCACGATGGGCAGTCCCATGGACGTCCATGGGCGGGAAAAAAAGTAAAAATAGAAGCCCTCGTCCCTTGCACAATTTATGCGGTATTTGGCTGTATTTTATAGTATTTGGTTTGCACGAGGTACTTAAGGAGAAGTGAAGGTATCCAGGTATACTGTGGTAATTCAAATAAAAGAGCATTATTCTTTGATTACTACTAAGCACAGAACAATAATAATCATATCCATCATCCTCACGTCTGGAACGCTTCTGAACCCTCCTTGATGTACGTGTTTGAGTAGTGATTTCTTCAGATGAATCATAGGCAAAGGCAGATTAGCTTCATCATTTGTTTCCACAGCTAACTCCTGAGCCTCCTCATTTTCTGGCTCAGAAGTAACACTCTTAAGTAACACTCTTTGGCCTTTTACCAAGAGCATGCTGGCTAGGGGCTTTGGTAAGGAGCTGAGCCTGCTCAGGAACTGAATCATCCTCCTCATCATCACTGATTGGATCTAGACCATTCTCAGGAAGCTGAGCATCTCTTTCTTCATTACCTGCTTGTATCTCCTCGTTAGAGAGATACTCATTGATAAATGCGAGCTGTTCCTCCTCAATCTCAAATCTAGATGTGCACATAAACATCATAAGATCTTGGATTGTCTTAGTATTTAATGAGCCTCGATGATAGTGACAAATATCACGAGCGGAGTTAAAGAGCCGTTTAATGCCAGCACCAGTGGCAGGAATAGAGAGAACATCCCGTGCAAGGCTTGCAAGGGCTGGAAATTCATGTTGATGATCTTTCCAGAATATACGCGGAGCAACTGAGAGCGGGCCTATTATGACTATTAACTAAACATAATTAAAAGCGAATTTAGCTCCTGTACTTACCACTCTGAAGATATCGTGAAAGCTCATCATGCTGGCTTGATGTTAATTAATGGGGCTCTATTAGTGTAAGAAGCATATCAAGCTCTGATGTCTGTATTGCTGATAATTGAGTCTTTGATGGTAACTGTATATCAGAAAGTTGTTATTTGTAGGGCTTAAGGTAGTCCTGGAGGCTTTTGCGATATTTTTCATGATAATTAATCACAGGATCCTCCCAATCCTTGCCAGAAAAGAAATGAAGCTTGTTTTAGGGCGTAATAATTGTACTAATTGCATAGAGATCGCTGGGAACTTTGTCTGTCATGCTATAGTATTGTTGAAGCTTTGCTTCTGCTGCATAAAGAGCCTTCAGCATTAACTGCTTCTAAGGAACCTTTTTTCTTTGAAGCTGCCGGATTGATGCTTTAAGATGATTGAAAAGCTTGTTGTAGATACTAAAGATGATATAGATAGTAACATCTTTAGTCTTTGAGAGGGCAGTTGTAAACTTGAAGAATGATTATGTGATCTAAAGAAGATACTTAATCTGTCACCACTCCTCTTGATTAAGCATCAAGTGAGGAAGATCATATTGTGAACAGAATTCATTAAATATTGATTGTAGTCGTTTTACACGTCGAAGCATAAGAAAAGTTGAATTCCACTGAGTACAGACATCTTGAATTGTGAACAAGCTTTAGTGAATTAGTTTGAAGGTTGTAGAATGCTTCCCGGTGCTGAGGGCTAGCATTTATAAAGATAGCCAAGCTTCGAACCTAGGGAGGTAGTCAGTAAAGAAGGATGAAGATATGTCTTATATATCTGACCTTGTTAAGGGTATTGACAATTTCCTTTTCTTTCTGTCTTGCATGAAGTGACTGAATGCGAGCCTCTGACCATTCCATTTCTGCCATCTTATTCTTTGGGTTTGCTTTCATTTGCCCAAGGAGCTGCTTAAGGCTGAGTTGAATAACATGGGCATTGCAGGGGATCTGAATAATAGTTATGTTATTATTAAGCTCAAGCGACTGGACAGATTCTTGAATACTTGACATCAAAGTATTGTTATTTGATGCGTTATCAGTGGTGATTGTGAGCACTCGGTCAACAATCTGATGTTGTTGAAGTATTCCAAGTAGAACACTGCTGAGATTGACCCCAGAGTAGGTCCCATGAAGTGGTTCAAAGCCAAGGAGGATCTCTCGATAGTTCCAATCTTGATCAAGAAAATAACCAGTGACAGCCATAAATGCCTGTTAAAATGGTGATGTCCAGCAGTCTAATGTAACTAAGAGCTTTGCACCAGGAGGCAGCTTCTGGAGAAGATTTTGTTGTTGCTCTTTGACAGCACCTTGTAGCCGGAGGGAAACCGGGTCACCTGTTATAGTTATCCTTAGCAAAAAGGTAATGCGTGAGCACTGTCGGACCCGTATAGATTAGTGAACATACCGAACGGAAGGTAGGAATACCAGGCGCCTTTGGTTTGCACGCGGCGATTGAGAGTCAGATACCGCTGGAGCAGGACAATGATGCGATGCGTTGGACTGTCCACGGCGTCGAAATGGTGCAGGTCCACGCCTAGCACCAACTGGCAGATGACCTGCGATGCCAGCTTTGAGGTTATCTGATAAACATTGAACGCCTCTCCGGTCTCGTCGAACGTGTCGAGAACCTTGAACACTTTCTCCACGGATCGTTGCAGCAGCGGGGTGTAGTGACGGACTGCCCGGGGCGTCATGCTGGGAGGAATAAACTTGTGTGCCTCCTGCCATGCTGGAGAGTCCGTGTCGCAGAGGAAGAGGGCTGTTTGATCTCGGATCCCGAACAGCGGGTGATCCGGAGCGGATGGGTTCTTGGTAAAGTACTCACCTTCGCGGAAGGCTAGCGCAGTGATGTCCGGATCGTTCGTCAGAAAGGTTACTCGCCCCATGTTGTCTGTGCGGATGACAGCGCCGTACCTATTGAAGAGTCGCTGGTGATTCCCCAAGTGGTCCGGATAGATCTCGAAATGATTGCCAAATCCTAGTATGCCCACCGGCTGTTGCGGTTCTCTTACCGGATGGCCCGCAATCGTGATTCCCACGGCCTCGCAGTCAAGCAGATCATCGACCTTCTCCAGGGGAGTACTCCCATTGTGAAAACAAATATCAGCCGAGCAGAGAATGTTGTAGACCGCTGCAATCCCTGGACGTAGATCGTCTAGCGCCTTGAAGTCGCCAAGCTCTAACTGACGGGTCGAGCTACCAGGACGGCCAACTAGGTAGAATGTTTTGAGCACCATGATGACGAGAAGATGCGGGCTAGGACAGAGTTCGCAGTGTGAGTCGAGGCCCAGAGAACGTCGTGTACACGGTTATATCGAGCATCTCTTTGATCGGCCTGTTTTCCATTGGACAATCTCCCGAAACAAACACCCGAAAAGTCCTCCCTTTTTTTATAGCCGCTGGAGCTCATTAACATCCAAAGCATCGTCCCTCCCTGTCTCCTCTATTGATCACTGCTATAGGCTTACAATGGGCGTCTCAACCGAATATACGTGGGCGGAGGTAAAACGCCACAACACCCCCCAGGACCTCTGGATCGCTATTGATGGGAAAGGTAAGAGCTGAGAGGAAAGGCATTATCAAAACTTGTATGATTGCTAACCAAATTCAAATTATAAGTCTACAATGTGAGCGAATATCAACAAGACCACCCTGGAGGAGAAGAGATTCTGCGCAACTTTGCTGGACAAGATGCAACCACTGCCTTTACTGATGCTGGGCATTCCCGCGATGCCTACGAGAAATTGGAGTCGCTGTTGATTGGCAGCCTAGAACCGGAAGTGTCGTGGAGCAGCGCCAGCAACAGCGAACTGCCACAGTGGAATCAATCGCACTGGTCGAAAGCAGCCAGAAGAAGCCGAACTCCCTTGCGTTCCCGGTCAACTAAGAGATGTTTATCTGCAGTGTGGATGGAAGCCAGATTCTGCAGCGGCAGATCGACCACAGGAGGGGTTGATTTGGGAAAGTATGGAAGAAGCGCGAAAAATTACCGCCAGTGAGTTTAGATCTGATGAATTCCAGGCACGCAGGGAGGACTGGCTTAACAGACTTTGGCTCAGTGATGAAGAATAGGTGAGCGAATGGGACGCCCTGATTGCCACGTCCTATCATATATTTCCAGCAACAACTTCCTCCTTGCACAGGGATTCTTCTGTCTTCGAGTGCAAATAATAATTGGTCACGACACTCTGCAGCCAGAGCATAGTATGTGTCCACACAGCGTACACCTTCCGGAGCTTACACCAGGGTTATTATCGCCCCCACAAGCACAGCAAGCACCCTGAATTTGCGCCATGCAAGAATACTGGCTGGTGTTTATGTTCATGGATAAATGCCAAATTGAATGAATGTTCTTTTCTTGAGTCAACATACAAAACGTTCTAGACATTAGCCAAATCACAGGATAAGGTATGCAGTAACTGATGGCCTCGCTGAAAATATTCTAAGATCAGTCTAGCGTTCTGCCGCGCCACTCCAGACGCGTCAACGTTCACCTTGACTCTTCGCAGGTAATGTTGACAGCCTTATTTCCCCTGTCATTCCCCAAAAAGGATGCCCATTAGGGGATACCTCCTTCATTGGTCGCCCCATGGAAATAGAAATCTCCTGCTAGCATTTCCCACCGGATACCAAATCCCATGAATTGTTTCCATTGTATGCACCAGTTCTGTAACTCCATCCGCTGCCCGAGCTCCTGGAATAACCTCACAAGATATGAAATTTTGAGCCATCCAGGGACGAGGGATGTCGTCAAAGCTAGTTGCGCTGCTTGTGAACACCGTTGTAGCACCCTCACAATGGAATATACTGGTAAGTTCCTCTTCACTGTCAAGTCTGCCGCACCACAGATGTCCTCGTTCGAGAAGGGTTTCCAACAGATCGAAAAACCAGTGGCTCATGTAGTAGTGGTCGGTGGTAAACTCGTCCAGAGTAGATCGAGAACTAGTTGCAGTGGCTTCAGCGTTTTCCGCCCTAATGCATATACGTAAGGTGCTCGCAATCCTTGGGAGATTGAGTTCTTGGAGCTCATCTAAAAGATCTGCTAGGAGCGCCTTCAGGGGAGTAGACAAGGTTTTCAAGTCTCTAGGCCACTGGAGCTCCTTGAGGAGATGATGGTATGTCTCTTTGAGCTTTCGAAGCTCGACCTTTCTGTCGACTATCCAGAGCCACCCAGACGTTTCCAATCCCTCTCTTCTGATCGTAACACTGGCAAAGCGTTGCTCAACGCGATCGGGATGGGCATGCGCAGTAGATAAGTATATCGGGGACAATGAAGCAATTTACGAGGCCCCCCATCGCTCCGCCCATACCCAGGGGACAAAAAACCAACGTCCACATGACTTTGTAAAAGAGGTCGCGAGTTCCAGTCATAATCAGGATGCCGACGGCCAGGAAGATAACTTCGGCGAAGAGAGAATTGAGCCAGAATAATAGGAAAGGTCGAAGGTACACGGCTCGCCGCTTTTCGGCCACCTTTGCATCTTGTTCACCACTGATCAGGACTTGGTAGTTCATAGTTCTTATGCAACCAGGTGTTATAATTATAGAGGTAGACTTGTGTTCAATTTGGATAATATTTTATTTTGCTAGACTTTATCTGGACAGATTTTATACCATGATATACGATGAAAGTATACAATCCAAAGGCCTCGGCGTTGCATATTCATTGATTAGTCTTCATATTGCATGCATAGGCAGCATAGCTCATGCCGAGGTCTCGAATATCAATTTTTAGTTGGGTAATTTAGTGATCTCATCTTCTCCCGCGAACATGCCTGAACTGAAATAACTAGGATACCTTTTAGAGCTCTCCTAGGTCCTATGCTAACATGGCTTAATCTGCTGTGAGAAAGTCACTATATAGACTACTACTAGAGTCATTCACATTCATGATTAAGTGCAGGAAATTTATATTCCCTGGCACGTCTGTCGGCAGCGCTCTGCACATAGTCAAGTCTATTAGAGGGCAAACCATCATGTTGTCCTATGTATACAGTAAAAGGGTTCAGTAGGACTTTACTACATCTCACATGGACAGAATGGAAACTTCATACAGTTATAGCCAGAGACAGGACTTATCATAGTGATATTTGCTGGTCAAGGGCCTGTCATAACGGAAGGATCTTGATCTCACCCCTCACATGAGTAAACATAACGCCATAATAGGATCTCATCTATTATTAAGATTACCTAGCTAAGGAAACAAGGTTGCTTCCAGAATGCGGAGGAGGGCGCTACCAAGATTAGCTGTTAACTGTCGCGCCTGTGGCTGAGATCTATAGTTATCTGTACACCATCTTAAAACAGCTTAGTTGCACAGCAGGAATGCAGCTTAAAAGTCTGAGCTGTTATTCTGTTATTAGGGATTGGATTGCATAGGCCGGTAGATGCCTCAGGTATGACTGCTCTATACTGAAATGTTTTCATGGCTTTTCCATACTCCACACTAAGTTCCCAGACTGACTTGTCACTTATTACTTGCGTCATTAAGCAACAATGCTGAAAGCAAAAGTGACTTGTTATCTAAGTAAAAGTAAGAGCATGTGCAGACATTGAACGGCTTCTTCGCGCTCTGAATGGCATTTTAGCCGAAATAACTTCCAGTAAGCACATCTACCGGCACATAGATGTACCTAACTGTGGACTGGGCTGGGCTCTGATATATGATTCTCGAAGAATCGAAGTAAATGGATAAGGGCATTATCCGCTTTGGCACGGGGAAATAGCCTGCTATAACTTAAAGTTCTCCCCGTGCCACCTTCCAGATTGTGTTCATATTTTCCGATTTTCTTAATTAAGCAACTTGTTGATGAAGCCAGGAGTACCTTACTCGCCAAAACAGAGCTCTAGTGTCCTAAATGCCCATTTTTTAAACGCCTGCCTTAATCTCTGACCTCTTGCTTATTGATCATATTGCGATATGCGTTAGATAGACCATTGCAAGAACATCTATGCTGCATTGGCGGTGCTGGAGAGCAGTCAGATCATCCTTTTGTCTAACTCCTGTAGGTTATCCCAGCGAACTTGTGGTCGGAATTCAGTCTCCTCTTGCCCCTGATCTGCTTTCTGGTGGAAATTTCCGCGTTATTCTCTGCCAGAACCGAAGCTCTCATTCGCCATTGCAGGGACTAGCTAATGTTTCTTCATGGTATCTTGGCAGGGGCCAAACTGTCTATTAAGCTTTAAGTTAATGATTAATATTGTGCTACTCAGTAAACCGGTATCTTTTATTTAGCTATCATTCATTCATCACTATGTCAGTGGTTGAGTTGCAAGTGCACTACAGAGTAAGTAATAGAATGGGAAGCATACTAAAATATCTAGCCATATCTTTGCTCCGCAAATTGCAGTGATATACATCCACCCACTAATGCAATTATTTAATTGACTGATTAACCCACCAGTTCTTGCTAATAATAATAAAGTTATATATTAGAGTATGAGTGTGCATAATACCCACAGCTAATCACATAATTTTCTTAAAGCTAACAACTAAGAGCCTGCCAGGAGAGCACCCTTTCTTAATCTCTAAGCACACATATCTAAAGCCTGTCCGATGAGCCTCCATCAACAGTTCTTCATTTAGGAGATGCATGAATAAGATTAGGCTTTTAAACAAATAGGCATGTTGAGTTCATCACAGAGTAGTCCACAAGCAATAATGTCGGGGATATTCCCATGAAGCAGCACAGAACCACAATCAACAAATAACAGACAACAAACCGGCAAGTCAAGCATGAGAAGTACGTACAGCCGCCCTTCGAATACTGCTAGATCTACATGTACCCCAAAATGCAAAGGATCCAAGACGCAAAGATCGTCGGTGATTCTCCCGAGTGACCAGAGCATGACCAGCCTGGCCACCTGGACTTGGGACTTGTGTAGGCTATCGACTCAGCCGCGAGAAGACCACACGAGATTTGCACGCTACGATCAGTGATCGCTTTGCCCGTTGAGCCTAAATCTACCGGATGGTCACTCAAAAAAAAAAAAAAAAAAAAAAAAGTTCATTTCATTGACAGTCTGGACTGCATGACGCCTGACGATGTCATTAGATGTGTTGTCACCTTTCCTGTCAGGAAACAATTAGTTGGCAACAGTGCCCAGTCACACGACACCGGCACAAGCCACAGCCACCCTCTTCTGATTGACCATTGACCAATTCGATGGGGACGTAGATCAAATACACGGATCATCCATGATAGCAGGTTCGCAGCTGTACAGAGTATTGCTGACCGGCATACGATCAGGCGTGATATTTCGAGCCGAGACGCGCGTCGTTGTGGTCACGTGAGATTCAGGCTTAGCCAGAACCTTTGTATGGATTGTCAAAATAATGCCAAGCAAGCCACTCCTGCATGCATTGAGCGATACCATTGTCAAATGTCAAATATGTACACATTAGATTCTAGATGCACCGGTAGTATGTAAATATGCGATGGCCGTCCTTCTATCCGTGGCCCGTAGTGCAACCCAACCCAAACCAAACGCCGTGAATGCGCTCAAACAACCGAATCGGAGAACCTGTCAGAATCCTGCTCCGCCAGCAGAGGCACATCCCCATGCTGCTGGCGCCACCTGAGCAGATTCCGATCGCCGGTGGTAGGGACAGGCTTTGCGAGCCGCAGCGCCCAGCAGATGCAGTACTCGAGCGGGAGGAGGAGCAACAGGACGCGGTTCCCCAGGAAGCAGATGGTGACGGTGAAGGTGGCCACCGTCGCATCGAGCCAGTAGTGGTTTGCCGTCGCGATGATGACACTCAGGACGAGCATCGGGTACACGAATGCCATGACCACGAAGAAGATCTGTGTGAAGGGGGACTTGCGGACCGGTCGGCCCTGCAGCCTGTGCAGGAGGCCCGAGTGATACAGGAAGGTACACCCGATGACGAACGCGTAGGTGAAATGCAGACTCGGCATCGCGGCGAATTGGTTGACGGATTTCCCGCCCACCCAGACACTCTCTGCGTGGTCTTGGCGGACGGTGTCGTAGAAGCCGTAGGAGTCGGGGAGGAGGCGGGGCGGCATGCAGGGGTAGAAGCAGAAGATGATAAAGGCGGCGAAGTTGCCGAGAGTCATGGTCCGTCGCGCGACGGCAAAGGTGTTGTTGTTTTCAGCGGCGTAGTAGTACCAGCCCAGGAATCTGATGACTGGTGAGTAATGGGTTGCAGGAGGTTTGGACTGGGGGATAGACTTACAGCACGGTTCCGGGGATGTGGACAAGGGAGTAGATACGGTTAAAGAAGGTCATAAGGGATTGGTGTCCATTGAGGAAAAACGACTGAAAATCGGATTCCTCGATCGGAAAGAAAAACCGCGCGATGGAGTGATGCTCGAAATCCAGGATCCCGACGCCGTGATCCTGCGCGACCTGGACGACGCCAATCTCGGCGGGGGACAGCCACTGCGACGTGGCTTTGGTGACGGAGTAAAACAGATAGTTGACGACCCAGTAGAACATTTCGACGAGAAACGGGAATTTCTGCAGGATTCGGCTGTGGAAGTGGTGAGCCCAGCGAGACGAATCCGGGGTTTCAATGGTGATGCCGCATATTGTGGGAATTTTGGAGGGATAGTCGTCCGTGGAGCTGCTGCTATCATATGCATCGGCTGTTGTTCTGCTGCCAAAAATGCTGAAGTCTCGTCGGCGGTTGATGATTAACGAGCCAATCATGATACTCAGAACGATCTGCAAAGCGATATCAATACGAAGGATTCTTATTCTCGATTAGATTGATTGCATTGCGACATACGATGGGTTCGAGCCAACTGTGCGACGCGAACTGCGGTTTGCCCAGGTCGGGCGACTCCGCCCTGGCATCCATGTTGGCGGGTGAAAAGGATGTCGAGGAGAGCTGCGGTGGTGAGGTGAAGATCAACAATAGTAAAAAAGGAGAAGCAACCGAGAAGCAACCGAAGAATCTGGAGAGTGGAGATTATATACTACTTGGCAGATTGACAACCGGACCAGGCTGTAATCCAAAGGATCAGGGGTGTGTTACTTGGCTGGGCTGGACGGAGATTTGCAGTGGGCTATCTATCTATTCCTATCTACCTACGTACGTACGGAGTCCCATCCAAGTTTTCTGGCCGTAATCGTATCCGTATTATTGATCCACCTCATCTGGTGTGCCAAGATAACGTAGCCACCCTGAACAAGGACTCCCTTGGCGGAAAATCCTCCTTGAACCGCTGGATCTGGTTGGATGCCAGGGATCTGAAAAATTTATTCACTGATGAGTCCAGCAACGCGTCCCCTGTCGAGAGCAGGTGCAAGGCCTCCCACGCGAAGAATGATGTTCCTCCATGCTAGGAGTTGTGCCTGGTTCAGTGCAGTATGTAAAGGTACATCCTGCTCCGTTCTGTACTATTTGTTTCATCTTTCGACGCGTAGGCGGAGCAGTGTTTCATACACTGTGATTGGAGGCTGCAGGAGGCTGACTGGAGATAGTGCAGAAATAGTGAGCAATGAGCATATGCCCTGTTGCCATGTCGGGCTAGCCACGTCGGCACTCCGCCCAACAATTATGTCTAGTGGCTGCTAGCTCTGCGGATGATGGAAGAGGCGCCATCCACTCTTGTTATTTTTGACTTTGCTCCAACTTCCGAATCGCCGTTTCAGTTCCTCCTGGTCGCCACTTCGGAGGTGGAATCTCCGATTGCCGATTGGCTGTTGTTGACTTCTGCTTTCATTATGCTTATGCGTGGTGGACAGCATTATTTATGCTTGATTTGCCCATTGTAAAACAATCAACCTCGGTCTGCCCAGGAACCAACGAGTCTAGAACAATAGCGCTTCTAAGATTGAACCGTTGATCAATGGATCTTTCAGAAGAAGCTTTTTCTAAAAATCCCTCAGGTCCCAGGGTCTCAACTCAACAATCAACATTCAACTGAACGATGCACATAGGGTCACGTGAATGCTTACTAGAAGTGGCACATTTGTCCGACGCGGCCATTCTTCGGACAAATAGATCATGTGACGTTTCAAGATCGGCGCATACACATCACGTGGTCTCCCACACATGTTTCGATGTCCAGATACATCTCCCATCTTGCAAGGTCTTGAGAAAACCAGAGATACACTTTCTTTGGATCTTGGCTAACTAAATGAGAAGTTGACGATCCTCACACGCCCAGTTCCTGTACCTTTCATTTCCCTACTCCACTTTCGACACCTCTGGGGAGTGTACTGCTACTTTCTGAGATTCAAGGTACTGGATGTTTATATTGAGTCAAGACACTCCGTAGCCTCGGGTGACGATGGTATCACAAAATTGGAACACTTTTTTGCTGAATAGAACCCAAAAACCCTCTCTACCACCCAAAAGTATCCGTATGCAGTCTCACCTCCCAAGCCTCACCTCTAAACACGCGAGACTGAAGCCGAGCCACTGCATTGCTCAAATCGATCTTTAGACTCTCAGGTCCGCAGCCGATGACCATCGTCCGCTCGGAGCTCAGTTCCATGCCTAGGACCTCCATCAGGTTCGGACGAGACTGGTGCGTGACTTGATCGACGAAGTCCATCTCAGGGTGCTTTGACCCTGCGTCCCATGAATCCACCACGACGGCATCCTTACTGGAGGCCGGCGCTACATCTGTGGGGTCTTCTTTCCGGCCGCCTGTTATCCAGATCCTCGTTCGAATCGCGTCGCTGTCATCGTTGCGCTTGACTTCCCTCAATTCATTTTCCACCCATTGAACGGACGCCGGTTCCCTGGTCACCCACAAAAGGGACACGCGCTTCGTTACACATGCGACAGGGTTTTTCATGGACATCAAATGCGATAGATGCTCCAACCAAGGCAACATGGCAGAGATACCTCCGCCGCCAGCAACGAGAACCACGGTATCATAGCGATTTTGGACACGAGGCCGGAGAATGGTGCCATATGGGCCCTCGACGATCGTACTGACGCGGCCCTCGAACCCAGAAAGCGCGTCTGAGCCGCCCATTGCATGCAAACGAGCAGTGAAGCCTGCCTGAGGACGAACGAGAAACTTCATCATCTGTCTCTCACCGAGCTTCTCTGGATCCGCATTCACCGGCCGCAAGCATGCATTTGCAATAGTGAAAGGATGATTCTCAAGCACTCTGAGTCCCGCGAATCGAAGAAAAACATGCTGTCCAGGCTCCCATTTCCACTCTGGTCCGGGGAGATGCACTTCAAGCCTGACCATGTTGTCCGGTAACGGGTACACGAATGTCGGACACCCCGATAACCACTGATTCTTCAGTCTGAACGCAGAGGACCGGCCGAAAATCCGGCCTAGGTAGGACACAATCCAGAGTGCGAGTGTGGCCCACAGGTAGTTCCACGAGTCGAGTTCCTGGCCCGCGTGCCAGAAACACAGCCCGAAGAAGACCATCGCCAGTAGAATATGCGAGCTCACGAAAATCTCGTACAACTGTCGGCGGATCGGGGGAATCGATAGGGTCGCTAGGGCAACCAGCATGCCAAAGGGGGGAGTACCCGTGAACTATTGACGCTGTCAATAGACGAACAGTGGAGTGGTGGAGATGTATCTACCTCGTAGCTGCCCTTCGCGTAGAACTTTGCGTGCAGCTGTGCCATACCACCTTCGTGGACCGGCTGGTACAGGAATGGGACTGTATGAATGAGGCTAAGGAACAACATGAGATAGCCGATCCATCGATGGAAGACATTGAGCTTCTCATGGCCGATTCCGGTGAGCAGAGTGATGAGATTGTACTGTTCCCCCGTCAGTATCCGACCATCACTCCGTTCACGGAGATGATACTACCTTTCCAGCCAACGCAATCTCAACCGGCATCAAAGCAAATGCCATCAAACCTGTCCGAACAGCCAACGGCGGACTCCCGAATCCCCTCCGCAATCGATAGTAAGGATGCTGGGCAAACGCCATCAGCGCCGCTGCAAAGAAGAAGAACACAACAAGTGCAATGACCCCAAACGAGGGAAGACCGAGGTACTCCGCTATCCTGCCGCCAACTCTCCGATACGTGAAGCACCTTCTGAGCGCAGTTATTCTATCCTTCGCCGTCGAGCCTCTGCCGGAACTCCAACCAAACCAATCACGACACTGGTGCAACCAGAAGGCAAAGACGAAGACCGCGAGAATGATACCGCAGAACCAGGAGACATAGTGTCCGTAGAGAAACTGAGAGGCCCAGCTGATCTGCGCCTGGGAGGCACTATGCAGCTCTTTGTATGCCTTGCAGCTATCATTGTTGCATCTGGGATCTGAGAATGGGAGGTTGGCAAACCAGGCGGGCACGGCGGACGAAGTATCCATGTTCATGTTGACTGTGGTCAACACACCATCTGCAGCGTGTCTTTTGAAAAACCGTTCTACTGTCTGCTTTCCTCCGTGGGAGCAAGGTGATTTTATAAGAGCTCATGGAAATTTCTGTGTGCGCTTCGTCTCGTGCTTTAATTCTGGTGCACTTGGTTTCTCCACTTTGTTTTCCGTGGGCTTGGAAATGTGCTCAAATACTCTCGAAAAACTTTGGGACAGACCCCAAATTAAGCAATTCATTCCAGATACACAGCTGAGGTTTTTGCCGAAAAACCTGAAGCTTGATTTGTGCCTGTTTGGAAAACAAATTGTTTCTTCTAGTTCTAGATATATAGTTAGCCGCAACGGTCATCATTCACCTTACAACGAACAGCTTCCAAACTCACAATAACAAATAGAAATGTAAAAAAGAAGCTACAATATAAGAGTTTCTAGAGAATTTCCTTGGGTTAAAGATTAGCCCTGTCCCTTTCCACGTCTAATTGCGTCGGGAGAGTACTTCATTTCTATTCCAAACCGACAACTATCCATCTTGGATATTGACTGATCGAACTACCAACTAAAAGACTCCTCCACGAAAGAAACAAGCAGAGACGGATTCTCTCTAACCATCTCCGAAACCACAAGTCGAACCTCATCCGCCATCCCCGCCGGTCCACTGACAACCACACAAACCGGCACACCCCGATACTTCTGCATCTCTTCCCTCAACAGCTTTGGGATATCCATTCGCCGGTCATGGTAGATCTTCATATCCCGATTATGCAGGCAAGTGTTCCCAACCGTCTCCTGCACCGAGTCAATCAACGCTTTGCTGCGAGAAGCCCAAAATAGAGCGTGTCGTCCACGGTGGCTGCACAGATCCGGGAGCAGGGCGGTGATGCCAACTCCACCGGCAATGGCAATGACGTTGGGATGATCGCTCCAGTGATCGCTGGTCAGAGGCGACAGGGGATAGGACCCTTCCACCAAAACCGGGAGTTGGGACCGCGCACGTAGATGTCGTGTGATGCCCGACTGTGTGCGTACGAAGAGCGTGAGGCATGGCTGGTAGTATCTGTCGCCTGTCAGGTCCCGCGACGAGGGCGTAGATGAACTAGAGGGCATCTTGCCCTGGTCGAGAAAAGTCGTTACGGAAAGTCCATTCTTCGACAGGTGTTCACCCTTGACATCTTGCGCCTCGATCGCGATCTTCTCCAGGCTATTCTCACGGCGCAGACTGGCAATCGCCGAGAAGGGATGGTTTTCCCAGACCCGCCACGTCAGGGTCGGAAAATAGAGGTATACATGGCCCTGTGCATGGACACCGGGAACCTCAACTTTGAGATACTCGTCGTCCAAGACGGTGACATAAGCCTTCCGCATCCCATGGCGCGCCAGCCTCAATAACCGAAACCCTCGCTCAAAGGCCCAGATACCGAAGGCGATATAGATCCAAGTCTCGTAGCCCCATTGATGTCCGTACCTGTACCAGATATGCCAGTAGCACGCAAGAAGAGCAAAAAAGGAGAGGATGACGTGCCAAGCCAGGAATAGCTCGTAGAACCGCTTCCGGATTGGCCATGTCGATGATGGAATCAAGATGGCCAGCGCCAAAGTCGCGACAACGCCCCAGATCCAGTATGGAAGCCTACTCTCGGTGCTATGCTCATTGTTCGCGACGTAGATTTGCAAATATATGGCCGAGTGCAGACAGGCCTCCAGAGTGCAGATGAACGCGAGCCAGCGATGGAGCAAGAGGAAGGTTGAATGCGACCAGTCTGTTAGCCAGAGGAGAAAGTTGTTCCGACCGGTGTATAGCACCAACAAGGGAATATTGGCAAAGCTGAGCACGCCAACGCGATTGGCCACGTAGGTGAGGATTTCGTCGTGCTTGGACGCGTACCAGGTGTTCGGCTGCGCCGACCGGAACCCGACAGCGCACAAGATTATGTTGATTATCGATAGATATGCGATAAAGAGGGCTTGTCCTCGAGTCGGCATGTAGAAGGTGTCGAATATCGGGGAGCTATGGCGACGACCGATAAATGGAGGATCGATGAAGATTGCGCTGAACCGTACTCGCCAAGCGGCGGGGAAAGGGACGAAACGGAGCAGAGACGAGGCTATTGGAATAATTGCACCGGTGAGAAGGAGCACTAAGCTATAGTGAAACTATTCAGCAAGCAGCGCGATGTACAGCTGTAGGAAACCTACCCATATCTCTCATGGGACGTCTCGACCGCCTCGAACGTGGAGAGAGTATCGCAATTACTCAAATACGTCTCTTCGACGACCAGAGAAGCAATATCCAGAACCTCGGACGTATTAAGTGTTGTGGTTGGCGGCTTCGCAAGGCTTCCAAGAGCTTCCTGATATGACTCCTTCGGGCTCGGTTGATGCTGCAGTCTACCGGCCACGTTCAATTCCCAGTAATTCTCCAAAACTGATACGGACAAATCCGCGCAGTGAGTGTACATGCAGTAGGCTAGTGTTTGCAAAAAGGGATCATTGTTTGCGTAGCATGAAGGGCTGGGAGTATCCATCTCCATCGAGGACATATCCATGTTGTGATCTGCTGTTTTGTTGCAATCCAGAGGGTTTGTAATTGAGGCACGACACGCATACGCGCAGAGAGGCCTGTACATGGAGATCCCATAGCCAATGAGTCCATATCCTGGTCTGCCGTTTGGATCATGCGATGCGACAGGTATTCCAAGAGAGACCAGGACCTGCGCGGCTCGCTGGTATTTCAACAACTTCATCGCTACGGAGCTATTCGGCTTGTATTTTGACTCTGATCGTCAGTCAACAGACAATAAAAGAAAAAGGAAATCCGTGGAAAATGCTCATGATCCCTTGTTATTATTTTTCAAGAAATCCATATCTAGGTAGCGAGACTAGTCATGAGCGGAAATGAGCAGATTTGAGCACTTCCCCACTGCAGAGAAACAGCCCTCCCCCATCTAGACTGCTTGGCAGCAGCAGACAAGAAAAGCTAGATAAAAAGCATCCAGTCGCGACTCTATTAGATATTGTTTCATATTCTGAAGCCTTTCTAATGGATTCCTTGTCGGTCTGTGGCCTTGTCAGCCAAGAGCGCTTGACCCTCTCAAGGCAATGGATACTACAATGACTGGATATGACGAGCATTATCGCCCTGTGCGAACGAAGCGGACAAGAGTGAATAATCCCATTTACCAATCATTGTACATTGCAACTCTCAGATGCGGATCGCCACCTTCAACGCAAATCCTCCATGCAATAGGTGCGAAGATTAGGTACATGTGCCTCCACTGCCTCCCTCACTCTTCATATGTCCGAGATAATAATTTCAAACCAAGGCCATCCGAGGATATGAATGTGACTCGTGAAGATCAAGCCCGCTGTCGTGTTCGTCCAACGCCTAGCCATCGTGGTAATCTCCCGTCTTCAAACTAGCGCATGTAGCCATCCTTTGAGCAGCTCCCCTGCGAGGACTCCTCCGAGTATGGCACAGAGAAAACCAATATTAAGACTCATGATCCCTATCATTCTGGAAGAATTGGTCAGAATGCACTGATTCCGAAACACGGGAAACTCACAAGACAAACGCCATAAGAGCTCTAAGGACTTCCACCAATGCTCGCATCCAGACATAGTACGAGACCGACTTGTGTGGGGTCGGCCCATTCGAGGACAGGTTATCGGTGCCGGATTCATGGCCACGGGGCCGTTCTTCGCGGTGTGCGAGCATCTCGATCCGTCCGTCATCTGCGCGAGGATGATTCTCCCTGTCGATGCGCACGAGTCTTGGAAGAGGACTCACGCGGGCCTTGAAAAGAGCTCTGCGTCGGTGGAGAGGAAGGCGTCCGAGGGTTTGAAGGGCACGCGCCGTGATGATCTTGTCCTCCAGTTTATCCTTGACGGCGACCAAGAACCTGTTCGACCAGGCAAGGAAGAAAAACACGACGAGTGTAAGGATGTATACAGCAATCGAGTGGGTACTCTGGCCGTAGAGAGGCAGATTGAGGCGGGTTCCGCTGTGAAAGAAAGTTGGCATTCTCATCCCGTTGCTTTGACTGTCGCTAGCAGCAGAGTTGCCGGGCTCATTCTTCTGATCCATCGTGACTGTAGCTCTTTATCTTTTCTCTTTTGGGTTTCCAGAAGTAATGAATCAGGGAATGGACCAGATGGATGAACAAAGTGAGATGGTTGATGTTTGTTACTCGCGAGTTACTCATGAGGAAATGTGAAAAGAGTCAGAGAGCTCTGGTGTTTGTGTTATTATTCACTACTCTCTAGAGCCAGTAGAGCCTTATGCATGTATAAGGAAGATTAATACCTGCATAACTCATTTAGGTATACATAGGTTATTCTAACTACGTCATTGCCTTGATAATCGCGCAAATATGCTCATATTTGATACATGATAAAGGGCATTAGACTGTACTTGCAGCACAGGATGGCATTTCTTGATATAAAGCTCCTCTGTACCCATAATTTTGCTTCAGTATTCGGCTGACTCTACTGACCTCTTCATCCTTCTTTGCCCTGATTCTAGGCCGTACTTCCTCATTGTCAATATGGCTGAGTGTCTCAAACTTCGAAGAATGCCATTTTTTCTACAGAATATCCAGATGATCAACAGCGCATCTCTGCGAGAGACTAGACTGAAATGGAGATGGCTTGCTTCTCCATCCCAGAGGTACCGTGCTGGCTCGTCATTTTCGGTGGAAGTAATGAACTATGCTGACGCAAAAAAGGATCCATTTCTTTGATACGAGCATCCGGCTGCAACTCAGGGCTTGGAAGTAGATCAAAATTACCTTGCTGCTCGGCAATTGATACTCCCTTTGTTTGAACCTATATCTACATGTCAAGAGCGTGGTTGCGTTCCGAGACGAAGACACACCTGCCTTATGTACTCAGGGGAGTCTCTTTCTTCGGCTACGCCAAAAATAATGGTTTGCAATGGAAGCACTGTCTTAATCCATGAGAATAGGAATATATTGATGGTGTCCTGCCTTGTGAGAAACAGCCCAGAGCAACAATAGAAAATCTAGTAAGGTTATGAGGGATACATAGGATCCAGTAATCTCTGCCGTAATACAGAAATCTCAGTAGGAATGCCATACTTGGTCCATGTACTCAAATGCAGAATCCACCTCTATAATCACAAGTATGGAGAACCCTGGGAACAAACTACTTCCAAGAAGTAGGTAGAGAAAGGACGTCCCTATACCTCCGGGACGTGTATCACCCTACTAAGTGCTTTCACCATGACAGAAGACGCCTGTTCTGGGGAGCCATTTTATATAATCAGACATGCCTCTGTTGATACTGGTGATGGAGTAAACATAGAAATGGCTGTAGTTCATGGATCAGTGCTGATTGTAAACTGTGGTTTCATACTTATTATTCACCTTCGACTGTGAATATTCTACGCCCACAACAGCCACCACAACACCAAAGCCAACAACTTCGGCTACCGCGGAGAGTACAGAGACAATACCACCCAAGCCAACAAGTGCAGACGAGGCGTCGACTTCCTACTGCTGCTCCCGAAAGAACCGCCACTGAGACTACACCAACCACAGAGCCAACAAGTACAGAAGCCACTACTACAGATGTTCCTACTACTGAGTCAATCACGACTAGCCAGCCAATCACTTCATATTCATCGACCAAATCAACGTCAACTACCATGGCGCCTACTCCTTCTATAGAGCCGTCTAGTACAGAGCCGAAACCAACGACAACCGAGTTCAACAAGATGGAGCCTGATACTACCGAGCCTGGTACGAACGAAAACAGCACAACTGAGCCCGGTGCTACTGACCCTGCTACAACTGAGCCTAATACAACTGAGAGTCTGAGACAACTACTATTGGGCCAACACTGAGCCAGCAACGACAAATCCGAGTACCACGTGACCGAGGAGTACTACTACAACGAAGACCAAAGAATCCTCTAGCTCCGACTCCACGACGGATACTAGTCGCAGCACAGTCGATGACATTCAAACCCTCGTGACTACTGAGCGAAGCACTACTGCCGGACCAACGAATAATGGTGATGAATCTACAGTGAGGGGACCACCACCGCAGAGCCTGTTCCTGGTTCTGGGTTGACAAGCTCGAAGTGGGCCACATCCAACTCCACTGGCAGTTCATGGTCACCGGGTCCATGGAAGCCACATCCTTCTTGGAAAACCCCTTGCACAGACTCGGTGACCACGGAAGACGTAGTCAGCACATCTAAACTCTCACTCACTCCAACAGGGCCGGATATCACGACACCGCCAAGAGTCACAAAGGTCTCACCAACTCTCAAGCATCCAACCTTCATCATTAAGGTCCATACAAAGCCAGGTCATAGTACTTCATGCTCGACAGAGTGTCATCCCAGCCCGGGAGGAGGGGCAATTCTTCATTCAAAAGCTCGAGGAGACAACGAGTCTCGGAATGGCCAGTTGTGATCAGTCTGCGTTGCGCTATCGATTTCGACGGATTAATCCCTGCCAAGAAATGACGGTATAATTAGAGAGGCTTACAGGGAAAAAAAGGAATGAGAGGATAAGAGGACTATCTATCTGCAAGACACGTTGGTTTTACTGGTCTTATTCGAGATGTTGCGGGTTCCTTGGAGATCTATTTGATTTCACCTCTTTTCAATAAATATTGCACAGAGAGAATAGACGGCGACGGCGTTTTATTTATCCCCATCAAAGTGATGGAAACAGATGATGCTTGATCACATAGTGAAAAGGCAAAGTAAAGGGATAGAACTATTTCAGCGTCTGGCTGCTCCGGATTACTTTCGACAGAATTGATGTAGAAGGCGTATCCATGAAGCCCATGAATTGAATTCTGAAATCCATTCAAGCAGTGTAGTCGAAGAGTATGTATTTATATGAATTCGGTTCCAGTAGGATGCACCATTGTTCCATCGCCTGGCAAGGCTCATCAAAGACGCACATACCCAGAAAAGATACAAGCAGCGGTTCGAATACCGTTGAGACGACGAGGAGTCAATGAGAATAGAGCAATTCCTTATGCACAGCTCCTGCGGCCACCTGAGCTTCTGTCTATTAGATCTGACTGACATGATCAATTACAGCACATTGCCAGTCACTGGTACCGTAGTAAATGGTGTAGTGGTCATTGGGTGATTGACCGGTAGACAGCGTCTGCCCGTACTGCCAGAACAAGTCGGCAGCCATTCCGGTAGTAGTCAAAGAGGTCTTTTGCCAGACGAGCGCGGCCGAGCAATGGTCATCTTTGATACCATACTCCTCGAACAGGCATGGCTTCCCGGCAGCCTCACAGACCTTTGCGTGAGATTTCACCCAGCCGTTGCCCCAGGTGTTGTCTGTGATGCCCCCTAAGCCAACGCATCAGTTGACACAGTACAGTGAAGACGAGGGTGGAATAGTACTCACAATCAGCGATGTAAAGGTGGAATACTCCAAAATCGATGTCAGGGATGGCAAGGTTCTTTTCAAAGTCACTACCCTCGTAGGTGGAGTAGGGATAGGAACCATCCGAGTCGACGGTCAACCCCATGCCCTCTATACCAGAGTTAGTAGCCTGCGTGGCATCAGGTACGCGGAGGGGAGTATCTAGCGTACCTTCACCTGTGGCAACCATGTGGTTTGGATCAAGAGACTTGATGTATGCGCTGGTCGTGGTGGCCCAGTTGTAAATAACATCAGTACTGCACCCTTGGCAACGAGGTTCATTTCCCAACTCCCAAGCCAGAATAGCAGCAGAGTCCCTGTAGCGGGAGACTACCGCCTTGATATACGCCTGGTACACGCTCTGGATCTTGGAGTTGGTGTACCATTCCGTCTTGCTGCCGCCATAGGCGTTGATGTACGCATTCATGCCGCCGTAGTCATTCCAATTGTTGACTAATGGGATAATCAGCTTTATTCCGTGCTTCTCCGCCGCAGATACAACGTAGTCGAGCCGTTGGAGACCGTCTGCGCCAGTGTTGATGGTCGTGGTGCCGGTGGATGGGTCATGAAGCTGGAAATATACGGTTCCAGCGCTTGGAACGGAATTCACATCATTGAAACCCCAGGTCCGCAGGATCTTTAAGCCTGTCTGCTGCAGGTGATCAAAGACAGAGTCAACATCCGCGTTGTTGGTGAGGAACGGCAGCCAGTAGGCATTCGTGCCGGCAAAGTACTTGGTCTCGCCGTCAATGCTGAATTTGAGCCCATCTGCCTTGACGAAAGAGCCACTGCTAGTTGGGATGGGTGTCGATGAAGTCGAGGATGACACGGATATTGTCGAGGAAGACGTGCTACTAGGAGGTGCAGTTGTTGAGACTGATGATGTTGACGTCGCGGTAGCTTGAAAATGTGTTAGGTTTATGATTTCTATCGCGCAGAGGGGCAGTGTATTCCGTACCAGGCTGGCACTGGTTATACCAATCATTCAAAAACACGCATGCCCATCCCGATACACACGAGGTTCCACCCGTATAGGACTGACCACCACACTGGCCCCAAGGACCAACCTGCGCCGAGACAGCTCCTATCACAGATAGGAGTGCGGCAGACGACAATGGCCGCATAATTTTAATTAAGGACAGAGAAGGAAGTGATCGGGGAAATTCTCTGAGAGTCTGAAGGCTGTCGAGTGGGATGACGCTCTATTCGAAGCCATAAGAACCTCAATTTATACTTTCTCGAAGTATGCTACTTTTCTCTGATAGCGTCTCCTGATCGCATCTCCTGCTGGATCAAGAGCCCCTTGAAACCAACCTGTAATAGCCGACGGTCCCCGCTGTCGGTCTGCACATTGTTGTGGACCGTCACGAGCACATTCCGACGGGCTAGCGATGGGGGCAAATCTAACTGCCTCTCATTGAATCCACTGGCGTGAAGCTGTTTCTGCATGATGTGGATCACCTCGGACCGAACAAAGTTTAATAGAGGAGAGATCGAGCTATGCAGCCGAAGCGGACCCTTTTTCATGTCTCCGTCTCGTACCCCCGTGTCCGATTTGGCAAAGATTGTCTCACTCTGAGACTATTTCCACATAGCTATCCTGATGAAGATATACAAAAACAGTCTTACACATGTTTATCCCTGTGTCCCGTGCATTGCATATCTAGTGTCTACCTCAACGGCAGCATGGTCACCCTATGGCGTGGTCACACACGATCCTCCACACGATTCTCCACCCCTGATGCATGCTAGAATGTAGGAGATTCTGGGGTACCGTTTCCGGGGACGTCGTCCTTAATTTCTGGGGAGAGACGGTACATCAATCTCGTGTGCAGGTAATAATATTGGCTCGATGCCCAATTCGTCATTACTTTGTACCTGCGAGTAAGCGACATGATTTCGCCTCCCGTCGTGGGCCGTTTCCCATTCAGATTAGGTGATTCCATGGGATTATGCAAGGTGTAGGCCGGGACCAAACCGGTATTCTGCCTTCTGCGTAGCATCCACGCTCTGACATGATGGCATTGAATGCACTTTGGAACAAACCAGGGGCTTCAAAAACATTCTGAACACGGAAGCGGGGAGGCAGTGCGTTTCCAGAAAGTAGTAGCCATGATCTGGACTTGAGGACGCTGAATCACTAGACCTCCAGGTCTGGCAATTCGGTCGATCATACAGTAGGAAAGCGCCGAATTCTCTCCGGGACGCTCATCCCCAAACCCCCTACCCCGGGCTTGCCTGCATATAAAACCTCGTTGTTCTCCACCCTATCAGCAAACTCCTCAACCTGCAAGTCTTGGTGACCCATCCGACCACCTAGGATTCTCTACTCCGCCTGCCACTCTTACTTGGTTGAACGATTTTCTTCCCAAAATGAAGTTGCTAATTCCCTGCATTACAGCCATCTTCGCGACGGTAGCACTGGGGGCGCCAGCCTCAGATGCCCCACTCGACACTCGTGCTGACCGTGGATCATACACCGTCTCTGGTCTGGGAGCTCGTAAGCAGGCGATTCTCAATGCTGGCGGAAACACCCTTGACCTCGCCATCGCCATGCTGGAGATGTAAGTATCAGGCTCTAGACCCGCTCGAACAAAATGCGCTAAGCAACTCTTCGCAGCGAGAATATGGACCCCTACAGCTACCCTTACGGCGACGGCAAGACCTATGACTCCGCCAACTTTGGTGTCTTCAAGCAGAACTGGGGCATGCTCCGTGTTTGCGCGTCTCGCTACGGCTTCCAGGGTCAGACAGAGGCCCAGTGGAACAATGGAGCTTTGCTCAAGTAAGATGTCACATGGCGTGAGGTAATTGTTGACCATTCGGACTGATTTTGAGAAGCTCTAATATGTACGCCGACGTTGCCTCGCGCTGGGACTGCCAAAACTACTACGGCTACGACAAGTGGTTCGCAGGGCACCGCAATGGAGCCTCTGGTCTGGCCAACCCATACACCACTGACATTGAGAGTGAGTGCATCTCCTTATTTCCCCTTTTTGTTTCTCTGTCATCTTCGTGTCTTCCATTACGCTAAAGCAAGGTCCTTATATTATGATTTGCAGACTACAAATCGGCGGTGCAATGGATCCAGCAGCAGATTGACAGCAACAGTCAATACAAGACTGATGATACTCGTTTCTGGGTCAACGTCCCTGCCATCTAGGAACCCTGTCTGACCTGGCCTTCTTCGAGGAAGTAGTGGTGATTTTTTTGGACGGCACCCTATGGCAGGAGCTTGAGAAGACGGATTCAGGGGTTCGGTCAACGAGGTGACAGATGATGAGACCGGGAATATGAAAGAGACTCTCCCAATGACGCGCTTCTCGAGATTAGTGTATATAATTCCTGGGCCTGGTCCAGAGTCATTGTCTGCTCATACACCTTCCCCAATTCCCCATCTTCATACTGTTCAGTACAGAAAACCATTACTATTAGTCCGCAACATCAGATATTAGCTGTATACATTGATATCTGCACCTTTTACGCGGCTCGAGGTATATGGTGGAACTAAGCAGATACAAAAATGATGAATACTGCCAGGAAAATAACTGATATTGCGGACTGGCAGTACTGGTTTTCTGTAACCATAGCTTCTACTCGTATATTCCCACATAAGCAGATTAACTATCCCCCTAAGCATGCCTGTAATCCTATTGGTCAGAACATTAAATACAGAAGATAAAATACACAGATTTCTGCCTTAAAATCTTAAATACATAAGGATGGCCAATCAGATTACAGGCATGCTTAGGGGGCACAGGAGATCCACTATTTGATCAGATCGGCGACAACTTAAGGGATAGCTCAGTTGACGCATCATAAACATGATTTTTAAAATGACAGTAATAGACCAATTCAATGCACTTACTCATCACAAATTAAAATTCAAAACTTCAAAGTAAACCCAGCAGTAAGAGCTGTCAAATCAACTCTTCTGGTCCCTGTTCAAGACCAATAAAATGCTTTCCTTCCTCATCAGATTGCAGGTCCAACTCCAGATTCCTTATCTCAATATTCCCTTCTTCATCGACGAGGATTCCCCCATCTGGAATACGACCCTGTACATCTCGGATCTGTATATCTTTCGAATCCAAGCCGCAAAGTAATTTTCGGAAATCTGCATAGTCTTCGCGGTTTCGGAGCGTTGTTCCACTGGGTACAATCATGGCTGTAGGACCAATGAACTTATCATGATGTTTATTCGCAGTATGACGGCGATAATTTCAGCCGCGGCTTTACCAACAATTCCAACAATCTTGGCGGCTTTAACCCAATTTATCCGCAAGTCTTGTCCTGCGTTGACCTGGACAATTTCCCCAGTAGTAGGTGTAACAGGTTTAATCGGATCGTCTTCAGCAGCTGAGATTTTGTTGAGATCGAAAGGATCATCCCATATGTACTGTGCATTTTACATAAGAACAACTCCAATATCAGGGGCTCGGAGGGGAAGATCCCCTTTTCTCAGTTTCATTGCTGTTTTAGGGGAGAAGAACACTAATTTTTTTGCTTTGATGTCATAGAACCCCATGGGCCCCGCTCCCTTCACGGGCACATCTGTCCCAAAACTACCCCATGCTTCTGTTGCCTTCTGAAATAAGGAATCGTATTCTTCCTTCTTTCGGTCAACTGTGATGGCATGGAGCAGGGTTAAAAAGATTGTCTCGAGACCGTTAATATTCTTTGCTCTCAAAATGTGTTCGATGTGTTTGATGAACCAATCCTCAAGTGCACCGACAATACCTGAGGCGGACGCTCTCGCAGTAATATCAATATGGAGGAGCGCACCCATGAGGCTGTTCCGGAAAATGGCACGACGAGCGGCGCTTTTCAGAATAGTGTCATCGGGCTCTTTGCGGTAGGCTACCTGGAGAAGGGTCCAGACCTTGGACGCTTCGCCATAGAACAGACGAGCAGGTATTGTACTTTGTTCCATTGTTGACAATATTTGATGTCCAGTGAAGTGATTTGAAGATTGACAACTGCTCAACACAATGGTAATAGCTATAGGAATTGCGATGGGAATCAAGAGTTTAAATAGGCCAGACTCAGCTAATCCACTGAGGCCATAGTGCTCTAAATCACCATATGCAGCGTAAAAATAATTTTAAGTAGGGCTTAGGACCCCTCCTTTGTCTACTAAAAGTAGCTGCAAACGGAAGGAAATGTGTGTGGTGTGATCATTTGAACATTATTCCATACCACCATATCCACTTATATGGTAGTAAACCCATGTAGATCCCTGTTGCGTCACTCCAGTAAACCTGTACTCGTAACAGGATCTAGATTGGAAAAGTCCGGTAGATTATTCTGGCTCTTTCTTTGGTTCAACGACCTGGGGCTCTAGATCTATTCTACAGCATCAGCTGAAGTTACCTGGCGTGTTTTTGGGAAAGGGGGGGGGTTAAGTAGAATAATAAGCAGGGGCATGAGCTTTGTTGTTCGGTGCTTTGATGCTGCCAAACAACCGTATCTTCGAAACCTGGTACTCCTTATGACAGTACTGTATGATTGCACACAGCCTATGCTACAGTATCTGTGATGTACATAGGTCTCCAGTGCTGACCATGTCATAAATAAGATCACACCCTTAAGGGGTTAGGTTGGGCGCCGTGGCCACTAGGTTATCAATGATCTCCGATACCAAGGACGAAAGTTTTTTGAGTGGGGCATCGAGATGTTCAGGTGTACTAACAATACATGATATACAACATGCAATTAGTTATATGTCGAAGCACTGTATCTTTGGTATTAGATACTTGAAAGACGGTTGGTAACCAGAACACTAGGATTTACCTGACTAGGTATGGTGAATATATCCGCAATGCAACCCCACGTGGACATTAGGGTGGTAGGTGGGCCAGATAGGTGGTGGATCCACCCATAATCCCCATGGGGTGGATCAGCTCATCAGATATACTAGTTTGGATTGACCCAGATCCAAGTTCCAACCAACAGCCAGTCTAATCCGCATAGCACTTATTTTGATGAACTTTCTCTAAGTTTGCAAAATAAATCTGCTGAGTAGAGAGCTATCTGGTGAAAGCTGCAAAAGCCTTGGAACGTGTCATAGCGCCGTCTACCAAGAAGATTAGGCCTCTTGAGAAACCTAGCTACCCGAAGTTTATTGAGGTGCTATGTCTCAGGAGGTTCCAGTAAAGTCTAAATGTTCAGATAATGCAGGGTAGATGTCAATCATGTCATAGTGGCAAACCCTGACATAATGCTCCTTATTTGATCATCGCGTCTATTACTTTGAATTTCTTGACTCGACTGTTAGACTATATCTTAAGGATGCATTCCTGGTGACCGAGGAGTGCATGTAATAGTCCAATCGCAATGATTGCGCCTAACGAAGCAGATGGCGCAAGTCTGGCGTCTTCATCTAATTCACGGAGAAGGAAACCACCCAAACTACGACGTGAACGACCTCAACAACATGGTCTTGATGAAGCAGCTGAGAAGGCACCAAATGGCGATATGGAAAGTACTGAAAAACAAGCCTTCGTCCCAAAGACGTCAGAGGATGCATCGAACGTTGATGGTACATCAGAAGGGGAGTCAGCAGCCACCGAGCCTCAGTTGCATCCGGTCCTTCAACAAAGGCAGACTCGTCGCTTGAACAAGCCGTTCCACGACGACGAGGAAGGCGAAGTCGCTGAGCATGACGATTTTTTCTCCACTGCTGGACGTCAGAGACCGAGACGAGTCCGACGCGGCGAGCAACAACTCGTCCCCCTAAACACTATTGATAATGTTGGGAGAACGGTCGGGCAGTCTGGCGCTTTGGTGCCGAATAGAACTGAGGGCGCTGTGGGCAGGATTACAGATACGAGTGGACGAGTTCTGGGGAGGACGTCGGAGCAAAACGAGCCGCAAAAGAAGGAGAAAGATGAACAGTTGAGGCTGCGCTTGGAGTTAAACTTAGACTTGGAGGTCGAGTTGAAAGCGAAGATCTCAGGGGATCTGACGCTCTCATTACTGTTAGTGACTGCCACTGCTCACTGTGACTTGGAGGTCACTTGATTTGAAAGTTGATTGCTGACTGAATGGAAGGAAATAGACAGTAATGGCTTCGGAATGGTTTACTGTCCTACACGATCCACAACTGCTAATCGGCCGTTGCTACTTTACACCTAACCTCTAGCTTTTTCGGCCTATCCGCTTTATGATAAAAACTGTAATATTCTCTACCCGCTGTATTTACAATGCCTCATGGCCCGTTTACATTCATTATGACCGACAGTAACAATATCATATTTCTTGACATCATCAGCCAGCGTTATGAATCTGCGAATTCGACGTAGATCAATGAAGGAAGGTAGGTATGCTAGTTGAACAGTAGTGAGCTAATTTACACATCCTTCTCTGGCAATCTACTGTCCTGACCATCCAATATATTCAAATAAGAAAGGCCCAAAAGAAGTAAAATCTGTGTCGACGCGAAGTGGATATGATTCATCAAGATTTCGGAAATTCAAATCACCAGAACCTGAATGATAATGATTATGTAGCATACATTCAGATGATAAACTGTTTGGCGTCGATGGTGACTATCTCACACTTGCCCTTTAACTCCAGATCTTCTTGGACATCAGCTTCAACTACATTACCCGTGTCCCCTCGCACGTTCGAATAGATCCGCCACCGATTGTCCTTCTCCAGTGATGCTTGGTCCAAGGTGCTACTAGATAACCAACGGAACCGGAGCTTGAGATACTGTAAGGCACAGACCTGCTCTCCAATTGCTACCAATCTTCTTTGGACGCCTGGCCGTGGTTGTGGTTGTGACTGTATTTGTTGTAGATGATGGTATTGATGATGTTTTTTCGGGGCAGAAGCTGTATTCTCGAACGCAGGATGTCCTGTCTCATCATGTGGCAGGGTGATCTCAGCCGTAGCCAATGCTTCCATGAGAGGAAGTTTGAGCCAGGTAGAGGGTTCAGCTGCGCCAGAGGCCCCCACTATAACCCTGGCATCAATCATGGTGTGATATCCAACAATCATGAAATATCACAGTGGTGATTGATTGCATGCTTAATCCATTCTCGCACTGGCTCCGCCTTGACAGCTGTCCTGAACCATGACTGGGGATCACTGAGCTTGTACGTTGTAACCCGGTCTGTTACTACCAGAGTATCTGTATTTCTGCGCTCTGTCTGAGAAGCTGACACTAACTGTGCCAGCTTCGCGGTGAAAGACTGGTCATCTGTGCCTGGCTGCTCTGCCTCACTGCGGGCGTGCAGTTGGACCTGAACAGAGCCTGCTGGGGGTCTTTCCTCTGGATCCAGAAAGTCTGTCTCAGGTTTATGCACATCTAGGACCAATCGCCCGAGGCGAGCGGATGCGGGAGACAAGAAGATAGGAGAGATAACACTAACAGGAGGCATGCTAGAAGCAATGATTCATGAGATGGACGAATTTGACGTTTTCATCGAGGAAAAAAATCACAAATCTCCTTGCTGTGGTTTGCTGGAGAGTTTCCGATATACTATTTCCGGGAGACGATGTAACAACTTGATGTTTGCACCATCATCTTCGTACATTAGGGATGCAAATTTTGGCATGGAGACTATGGAGGTCTCAAAACTGTGATTGCATGCAGCTGCCATTAGTACCTTTCTCAGTCCTCTCAGAGTAGCGGGAAGGCCCAGAGCATTCGATTGACATCAGCTACTATGGTCTCCAGTTTGTTGTTCCGAACTTTGGTGTCGCCTTGTGGCAAAAGTCTCTATCCAGTGGTTCATGCGGCAGTACCGTATGATTTGGAGTTAAAGTTCGAGGTATTCAATGGCAGATCCACATTCTTGTATAGTTCCCCCGGAAAGAATGAAATTTATAATGAAAGGCCTGTGTGCATGTACTTCAGCCCAGAAGACACCTCATGCACATCTAGGTATACTATGGACACGCCCTGCTTCAAAAATGGCAGATTCCATGTTTGTTAAGATATTTAATTACAAGTAAGATCCTCCCACTCAATAAATCCTTTTCTGGTCACTGACTATGTTGGTAAGCAAGTACTTATAGAGATCACTATTAAGCAAAAATAGATTACCACTACATGGACACCCATCAATGACCAACAATGTCAGCGGTTAACAGTTTTTATTTGACCTATGAAGTAGGAATGGAAATCTCATGACGGAAAATCACCCAACCCTTTTCATTTTTTCCTAAATAAGATATATATTCTGGAAGTGACAGTCAACCTTGACTCTGGAGATGTCTGGAAATCAGGCACTTAAGATGCTATTCTACTGCTTATTCAATCTCCACATTCCCCACAGCATACCTTGTATGCTTCCATACATATTTGTATATGGAGGCATATCGTTCTAGCCTGATGAGTATCTGCCAGAGAAAGCTAGACGTTGAAATTTCCCGTTGCGATCGCGATTTACGCCGTCTAGTGGGGCATACAAACATACTGTATGCGCTGCTACAGTCGATCTCTGAGGCAGAACAGAAGATTATGACATCCATCTCAGAAGAGGAATTCGCAGATGACCCCAGTGAGATTCAAATTGGCTCGTCGTTGGAGGGTTTTGGCCTGATGCATGAATCGATCATTGAGTCAATATTTTGGTATGTATAAAAGGGCACCAATTTCCTACGATGATGTTAAGACCTGTCCCAGAATTTTGATACCACGGAAGCAATGGCTCGAATATTTTATACAGTGTATCTTGACTGTCATTTGGCAAACCTGGTTTTAATTGTAATCCAGCGTATAGATGCGCAGTCTGGCCACTGTGTGGAAGACCAGTGTTTGAACTAGTCTAAATGACACTTATTCAACCACTTCGAAAATGTGAGAAGAGACCTATGAACGGACATATAGTCGACTATAGTTGAGTCACGCGTGAGCTTCTAATACACTGGCGGATACAGAACAAGAGTGGCATGGCATGTCAAAAGACTGATCATGTTACCCTGCTGTCGAGAAGGGTGGGTGAGGCTGTTTGCTGTGGACGGGTCTCCCTACCATACTGAGCTTTTCAGGCCAGGCTGGGCCCCGGCTGAGACAGATGCTGTCGGTGCCACATGATCAGTCTTTAGAAAGGTTGACTCCGACCGAACCCTGTGGGTTCTAAACTCTACTCTGTAGTTACCACTAGAACATGAAAGCACTGATGTTTTAGGTCCCGCCTGGCTGGGTCCTATTTATCTTATCAAGATCTTCTGATATTTAATTAGGTGCTGAATAGTAATTTTGCCCTATTCCTATATTTTTTAGACTCTTCTGACCATTTTTTAATATCTGATAAAAAAGGGTTATTACAAATTCACCCCATATAAAGGTGATATAATAGAGTAACTTCTCTGCTCTTTAGCTGGATGAAATGCCTTCTCACTAGTCTAGGGTCTATGCAGTCATTTAAGCTCTGGGTTTTTGGCGGCATCATAATATTGATTTATATCTCACCTGAACCAGCACACAAGATGGGTCTGTCCTGCTTACTTAAAATGTGATAGTTTCATTAAGTATGCCAATGGGCTAACACCCCCAGCTGCGTTCTTAGTTGATATAGTGATACAGAGAATAAGTGAATCTTTTGAGTCATCAACTTTCAACTGTCAACCCTTTTCTGAGCACTCGCACATTGTCCGTCCATATAACACTGGCAAAGGACGCAATCATCCCAAAATTTTGAGCTACATCTTCATATCAAAGTAAATATACGCTGATATTTTAAAGAAGCTCGAATCTGAACTTCATCAACACTCCCTGCACCAGCACCATTTTGTACCGCTGTATCTTTATGTTGAACCATAAAATTTGTTAGTGTTATGCTAATGGAAACTGGAAAGGATTATGCAGATAGGTCATTTTGTATGGCTCAGTCAAAACTTTCCAATGGCCAGGCAAGCATTGACACTGCAAAGCCTGCCAGCCCAAGCTCGGAAGCCGTAAATCCCGTAGTCTAGACGGTTAGACTCATAATGCACATGAAAACACAACCACGGCAGAGTCGAAAGATGGAGATTAAATGCTAGATTAAATTCCGGGAAAAATGTCAACATTCTAGTTGGTGAAATGGCGAAGCCCCCGTACTTTCACCTTCAGTTGATGGGGGTTTCCCGTCATCAACCATATTTTATAGGCTGCCATGAGTCGGCAATCCGGCCTCCATAATTCTGCAGAAGAATCTAACGGCCTGCTCCTGGTTGGCTTGTACATCGTTGTCGATATTGTCTGTTCGAGACCTATCAATCAGTCTGAACCGGTTCGATCAAGATAAAAGCTCTTAATAACTTAGTTAATGATGCATGGTTGATCCCACATAGTTATGACATCAAAACCAGTAGGGAATTCGTCACAATCTTCTACCTCTAAATCATTCACAAGCTAGGTTGTAATTTTAAGATATTAACTATCTTTAATCATGCTTACATTAGATGCTTCGCTTCCTACTAGAGATATACTTACTCCTTAGGAGGTTAGAGCCACTCAAGCCACAACTGGGTCTGCATAAGATCTGGCCTAATATAAAGTAAAAGTTCAATGGTACTCTATATGCCACAATGTCCTGCATGTAATACTCTTATATCAGATAGAAAACTTATGAAGCATTCCTAGGTTAGCAAATTAAGACAGACATATTGTAAATGAGTTATGTTCACCCTTGTATTATAGCACTTTGACGCCGGGGAAAAGAGATGTCGATTTATAGAGAAATTATAAGGCACGGTTGTGTAGGCACTTTGGTGACATCTGAGCGAATAGTTTTTGTTTTATTTTTTTATTTATCTTTGTGGAATGCCAAACTCATCAGAATTCTAATGTGATGGGCACCATTGGTCCGCCTTCTTCGGTACTCTTAAGGAGATATAAGGAAGGTTTGGAGTGTAAGCCAGACCCAATAACCAAAAGGTTCGACTCTCTTAAACCGTGTATTAAATTTTTGGCGATGGCAGCAGCAGGGAGCCGCTTCTACAATTTTCCAACTCTCCTGTTATATACTTCGTCCCTGCCGACAAATAACACGGAAATCAAATCATTCAGCTCTGACACTGAGAGACTGAAACTGATCAATAGCTCTCTGCAGCATGCTAGCGACAACGCAGAAGCTATAGTGCTTCATTCAAGTCCTGAGAATAAACTTTTCGCACAGCTTCTTGTTTCGAGTACCCGTGTCAGCTTCAGCAAATGACGAGACAGGCCACCGTCGAACTATCTACCCTTGAAGTAAAAGGGTCTTGTTCAGATCATCCGGACCCGGGAATGAGCGCCTCCAAAACTACGTATGGTTTAGATCATGTTTGGGGATGTGCAGGGAGTGATAGCAATGGCCTGGTTGCGTCTACCACTCGGTCATCTGACTCCGACCTTTTCTATGGTCTCTCTGCCCTAATTCCTGGATTGCGCCGGTTTGACTCTGGAGCTAGGGCAGCAACAAGAGCGGAACACAAAATCACATTCTTGGACGGCTGCCGGTTGTATCCCAAGGCGATGGCGTGGTCGATGCTCGTTTCCTCGACTCTCATAATGGAAGGGTTCGACACTCTGCTCATATTTTCTTTCTTCACACTTCCTGCCTTTAGACGACACTATGGCGTGCCAACCAGCGACGGCAGCTATCAAATCCCTGCTCGCTGGCAGTTCGGCCTGTCCACGGCGGCGGAGGCAGGGGAAATAGTTGGACTGCTCCTTAATGGCCTGCTGGCTGATCGCGTTGGATATCGCATCACTATAACTGCTGCTCTAGTATTTCTCTTTCTCAGCATCTTCTTACCCTTCTTCGCGCTCAATCTGCAGATGTTGCTTGCAGGAGAGATCTTGTGCGGCATCCCGTGGGGCGTCTTCCAGACACTGTCTATAAATTACGCCGCCGAAGTGATGCCAGTGGCCCTCCGCGCATACCTTCTTAGTAACATCAATTTATGCTGGGTACTGGGAGAGCTCCTCGCAACGGGCATAACTCGTGCTTTTGCTGACGACGAGTCCATATCGTCCTTTCGCATTCCATTTGCGCTGCAGTGGGCGATCGGCGTACCCATTCTGGTTGGCGTGGTTCTGGCTCCAGACTCACCATGGTGGTTGATTCGGCACGACCGACAGGAGGAGGCCAGAAAGTCTTTGTTACGGCTCACGCGGAGAGGCACAGTCAACGTGGATGAGACGGCCGCCATGTTGACGCACACCAACGAAGTAGAAAAGCATCTGACTGGTGGCGGCGCCATCTCATACCTGGACTGCTTCAAACGGGCCGATCTTCGACGAACAGAGATTACGTGCTTGGTCTGGGTCACTCAACAAGTTTGTGGCACCAGCCTGATGGGCTGGGCGGCATACTTTTACGAGCAGGCCGGTTTCAGCACCAACAAGGCTTTGAGTTTATCAGTCGGGACTTATGGCCTGGCAATTGTTGGTTGTGTAATCTCTTGGTTTCTAATGCCCCGTGTGGGCCGCCGCACACTTTACCTTTCTGGCCTTTTTGCGCTGTTTATCACTCTCCTGGCTGCGGGGAGTGTAGGCGCAGCTTCCACATCTCGAAGCCAGTTGTGGACTCTTGGCTCTCTTCTCTTACTCCTGACCTTCATATATGACATGACCATCGGGCCAATATGCTATGTGCTGGTTGCGGAGATTCCTTCTACCCGGCTCCGTGTGAAGACCGTCGTTCTTGCCCGCGTGGCGTACAACTTGGCCGGCGTCCTCGTCAACTGGATGACGCCCAATATGTTGAATCCGGATGCCTGGAATTGGAAGGGCAAGTCCTGTTTCTTTTTTGCGGGGACCACCTTTCTGTGTTTTGTTTGGTGCTACTTGAGACTTCCGGAAACCTTTGGCTTGAGCTATCTCGAGATTGACATTCTGTTCGAGAGGAAAGCGAAAACCAGCAAGTTCAGAGAGCTTCAGAACAACCTGCAAAATCGTGGCTATTTTGGCATCGAGAGGGATGAGTGTCCTTTTCGTGGATACTGAGGATTAATTTCCCATTGAACGAGCTGTTGAAACCGGGGAAAAATTATTGATTATAGACCTCAATTTATCTATAAAAAGTAACCTAAATTGCATTGGCACCGAAAAGGTTCGGCGCGGAGGTTCGGTGCGAACTGGCTGAGAACTCAAACCAACCCATACCGAATATAACTCTACCTTAGCTACTTTATTTACCTAGTGAACTAGGTATAAGATAGCCTGTTTGTGGATAATATTAGCACACGAGGCAGAACTGCTTAATTATGTAAGAAGCTACCCGGATCCTAGTCAAACTGCAAGGCCAAAAGACCAACATTCGCGAGATGCCTGGTATCAGCTAACCTAGGGCTCAAAGCGGACGATGTGGCTTCCAAGATATGATAATCTGGCCGGCCCCCATAAACCCCGGTGACGAATTCCCTCTTGCGAAAAATTGCCTTAAGCTGAGGGAAGACTGATATGCTTCAATGCAAGTGTTGAAGCTTTCCGATCGTACTTCGGAGCATAAGGATGAGTCAGCGGATCATATCAACGCTGTCCGTGTGGGGGAGCTCATAACCAATTACCATTGATATTAAGAGAAAGAACCTTGACAGAACGCATATGCTAATTCACTGAGGCAGTTAGAGCCGGGTGAGTAGAGCAGCCACCGAAGCGGAGACACCGAGAAAGGTGAGATGCTAAACTGTGCCTCCATTCCGCTTTGTAAGCGCTTCAAGCATCATACCGCAACCAAATTGGTCGACCAGGTGCTTGGTCTATATTTGATGCAGATCATCATGCCAATGTGGTGGGTCTACTAGTTAGACTTTAGGTGAACTAAGAGGCCTCAATATAACGGGCACATCATGTGGGCAATTGCTCCCCGACATCGCCGAGTTTAGCACTATCATGGAGGTGGAACACCAGGAGGCACCGTATATTCTCTTATGATATTTCACAGCCACTGACTGCAGGAATACTTCGGGTATCAAACGTGCCGAAAGCCGACTGATCTACAGTGAGAGGTTGAAACACCATTTGCTCACGGAAGAGGTTCAACAAGTGCAATAATATATAAGGACTGCAACTCGACATTAGATGCTGTTAGTAAATCAGTAGTCGGTTCAAGATGGCTCCTTTCACGGTTATCATTATCGGCGGCAGCGTAGCCGGGTTGACGCTCGCCAATATTCTCGAGAGATATGGCATTGAATACATCCTCTTAGAGAAATACAACGCCATTGCCCCCCAGCTCGGGGCCAGTATTGGAATCCTACCCTATGGCTCCCAGGTGCTGGACCAGCTCGGAATTGAGGAGAAGGTCTCGTCCATGTCCGAACACGTTGAGACGATGCAGATATTTGGGCCAGATGGAGAGTGTCTCAATACTGAGCACGGATTCGGTCAGCTGCTGGCAGAGCTGTAAGTCGCCGCCCACTAAAGCATTGCAGAGACATTTGGCGCTTACCCAAAGAAGGACAGGATACAAGTTCAGTTTTCTGGATCGTCGTGAACTTATCCAAGCACTGTACGACAATCTCCGAGATAAGTCCAAGGTTCATGTCTCGAAGGAGCTTTTCAAGATTGATCGACTAGATGGTGAAGTGCGAATCACCACCAAAGATGGTACAATCTTCACGGGAGACATCATTGTCGGCGCAGACGGTGTTCATAGCCAGACCAGAGCGGAGATGTGGAGAATTGCCGAGTCAGAAGATCCTTCTTATGGAAGCAAACAAATGGCTGATTGTATGTTCATATCGCAGTTTCAACTTGTGTGTTTGATGTGGACTGACCGTCTTCTAGCAATCACCTGTACATATAGGTGTATGTTCGGCATCACTGATTGTCCAGAAGACATTCCCAAAGAGACCGGGTTCAAATCGTACCACAAAAATCGTTCTTACTTATGCCAGTCGGGCCGCGAAGGCAAATTCTACTTTTTTGCCTTCATAAAGAACCGACAAAAAACTGTCGGCCGGTCCGTTCCTCGATATACAGCCGAGGATGAACGGGCCGTGCTAGATGAATATGGAGAGGATATTATCCGACCAGGCATCACGTTTGGTGATATATACAAACGTCGGCGACATGCGGTTCTCGTTCCGCTGCAGGAATATGTCTTGGACAGGTGCTTCTACAAAAGAGCAATTCTTATTGGTGATTCCTTTCACAAAGTATGTCCAGTACTATGCTGATGAGTGTAGTGATGACCTTTAGCTAATGACAATTACAGTTCAATCCTCTCACCGGACAAGGTGGAAACTCCGCCATCGAGGATGCAGCGTTGCTCGGGGATCTACTGAAGGAAGCGTTCCACAAAGACCCTCGTCCCATGAGCACCACCATCCAAGCACGATTCGCCGACTTTCAGAAAAAACGGCGACCCAGAACGGTATTACTGCGAGATGGGGCCAGTTCGTTACAAGCGCTTGAAGCCCTCGAAAGTCCCTTGTTGCAGTTCATAGCTCTCAGAGTGAAAATGTCGATCGATAAGCTGGCTTCAAGATTCGCGGAAATATGCTCACCTGGTCACATTCTGAGATATCTGCCAGAGCCATCGCGTAAAGGTGTTGTTGCCCGCGACGACGACATTGTCGCAAGGCCCAGGAATCGGTCACTACCTGCAACGGTCGGTTGGGTTACTATTATGGCTTCCATTGTCGGCTTGAGTCTGTTTGCAGCCAAACATAAACGCCTTGAGGATGAAACGGGAGTCCTTGGCGATATGCTTCAGCTTTATGCTTTCATGCTAACGGTCGCTGTGAATGCGTTGTGGACAGTAGAGTCCTACCGGCCTGGCTTCTTCTTAGGACCATTGCACAGGTGAGTCCATTTGCCTGCACCGAATGCCAACGCTATGCATATACTAATGAGAACAGCTCTATACCCTATATACTCGCCTGCATTGTCGTAGGATGGGAACTTATCCTGCCAATCTACTTCATCATATTCATTTGCGCAAGTCGACCTCGATCGTTCTACTACCCTAACCCTCGAGCCATCGACATCAGGGCGGCCGAATACCTTCCCACAGGCCTCTTGATCACTTACATTCCGCCGATCTTCTGGGCTCTGATAACGTCTGGTGGATCTCTGACGGCAGCTCGCTGGTTGTTCCCCGCAGCCCATCTCGCCCTGCCAATGGCAGTATATCTAGGACTGAAGCTGTCGAAGAAAGATCCGCCCGAATCCAATGTCTCGGAGTTCTTATACGGCAATAGAGACATACCTTACCTGCTCAAAACCTATAATGCAATCATCTTAGCCACCACATCGCTTTATGTTCTTATCTTGGGTCAAGTGGCTCTCCAGTTTCCAGACATGGGCACTGTTGTAATGGCCGTCTTCTCAACCAAAGGCGCACAATTGATGGTGCTTTCCCTTGTCGTCATGGTCTGGTGCTTCTTTACTACTTGGGACTTGTACCGCACCTGCATTATTAGGACTCGTTATTTTTCTGATGTTTTTTATCTTTGCGTCTCGTTTCTAATTCTCGGGCCCGCTGCTGCACTGATCAGTATGTGGAAGTGGCGCGAGATTGCGATAGAAAAATCAAGGCGGCGGTGACGGGAAAAGGGCTTCTCTATGAAGCCTTGTCAAGGCGGCTTTTTCTAGAAGATAGAGACGCTATTGTGGGATAATTTTGTAAGTCAGGGATGGTCTCATTTTCGGTCTCTGTCGACGTATACTTTCGCGAGTCTTGCAGAAGGGACGTGTTTAGAAGATTAGCTGATTGTTGTGGTATCAGACTGACATTATAAATAGGGAGACTGTTAACTAGAGCCCTATAGACTACACTCAAGAGACATGCGGACTCTTTGTTCTGATTAAGGGGGGATTGAATGACAGACAAATGGCATACTAGTTATAAATTGGGCCAGGTCAACTTTGCGCCCTTAGAATACCAAAGCTATTGGTTATAGCACCATATAAACCCCCTCTCATCCCGACTCTCCAAACGAGTTCCAAATCAAAGCGATCTTCTATTCTGAATCTAAAAACTGCCATGACAAGCCATGGGGCAGCGAAAATGTCATATCCCGTATTGAATTCCTGCTAGCGCCCATTGTATCGTCGTCATAAGAGTCGACACCACTGTCGGCCCGCAAAACAGCACATCTTGCTTCATGCAACCCCTCAATTGCACGCACTCGTGATATGAGTTGATAAATTATTTCTGGCGTGCAGAGTGATGATTCATCGAGATGAGAAAGCTTTACCGCCTCTTCGGCCTTCCCAACAAACATGTTGATGGCCATTGAAACGTCGATGGTAGTAGGTGCGTTGATCTGATCGCATCCTTTCCCTGCTAAGAGCAGGAATCTAGAGAATGAATTGACGGCATGGTAGTATTCCTGGTAGACCCAGTATGGGAAATACAGGAATAATTGAGGCGCAAGTGAAGAGAATGTTGAGAAAAACTCCTTCGCTGAGTTCAGGCATGAGTGAAGGATCCTGGTGCTATTCCGGTTCTCCTTCGAGAAGTCGTCATCCAGAGCGGACTCGTAGAGGAGGAGCTTCAAACTGTGGTGTTTTAATGCCATGATGGCTAGGCACAAGCTTAGCCTGTTGTCCCACAAATGAGATAGTAACAAAATCCGATTCACTCACAGTCCTGTATGCTGTTCTGCGAGCTACATGGCTTCAGACGCTTCAACTCCGCTTCGAGATCCTTGACACACGTTTGGACTGAATCCGACAAACCGGTTTGCGATGGATTGTATGCATCGAAGGAAAGTATTTGAACGATCCTGTGCGCCATACGACTTAGCCGTGCCAGCCGGACAAGATAGATATCTGTAGGATATTCCTGCAACTCCTCAAGTACGCGGCAGCATTCTTCAGTATAACCGGTATATCTAGGAGGATCTGTATCTTTGAGACACGTTGTAATCCTGAATAAGTTAGTATTATTGCTGGAGCAATCTATGAGGGCCCATCTACATACGCACAGGTGATATAAAAGCACCCGAGGTAGGCTCTCCGTTCATCCGTGGTACGAGCGTTGTCACGCTCCCAAGTTTGCTGTACTTTTCCACTGGTAGAATTAGATCTTTGATGGAGTCCAAGACTACTTAGCATGGCCAGAGCCAGGTGTGAGATGATACTCAGTTGTCCTTCTGATTCGAACAAAAAATGATACCTAGTATGGTGTGAGCCCCGGGTTTTTATGGGTAAAATTGAAATGGACAGTTTATAAGTACCATGATAAGCAGACCAAGAGAGCCTGCATAATATCAAGACTCTTGTGCCCTTTCATAACAATAGAGCCACTGACATGCTCGAGAAAATGATCTCTCATGCCTTTCTTCCGATCTGCATCATCGAGCCAAGTCACCATTACAATCGCACTCAAGAGAAATGGACTCTTTTGCTGCAACTCCGGCAAGGTCATCTCTAGCGGGATGACAACACAAGGGCAGTGATAGGCCATCTCCGTCCGGTATTTTGTTAAGATCACCAATGCATTTTCATGAGTGCTATAGAAGCTTTCGTCCCATGGAAGAACCAATTGCGAGGTACTCTGCGCTTGGCATCCGTTTGCCTGTTCACTCTCCGATGCTGCAACAGACCGTATCTGCGACGATACACCGAAAAGACAAGCCATGTTGTTAAGCTTCTTCTCGAGTCTCGCAACATCCCTTTGGACAAAGTCAACAGCCAATGCCAACCCCTCCAATCTCTTGGGTACGTACAACGGCGAGGTAGCCTTCCGCTTGTGAGCCCCGGGGGGCTGACTTATGCACTCCCTCTTCAAGCGAGAACATCTAGTCCTGATTATTCAAGGTGGCTCACCAGACTTCAACTGAGAAAGTATCGTACCGCTTGCACCCGTCCGCCTCTTGTTGCTCACATTTCACTTTTGCGTACGCGCATTGCTGGCATGCCCTTGGCTCTCGGGTTCTTACTCGATATCTTCTAACCATCGGGCACGGTGTGACGAACAACAACTCTGACGAAGTAGCAATGCGTGTTGGTAGTTGGTACGGTTGTTTGTAGGGTTCACCGTTCTGCTCGGAGAATTGATAGGATGTTGGTGGCTGAGCTGGGCACGGAATCCCGTGTCCCGTATGAACCAATCATTGCGAATCATTCCCGGATAAAAGCGGGGTGAGATTGAGTGGGAAACGGCTGCACGGAGACTGGAGTGCCGATTCGGGTAAAGTGATATATATACGGTAGATGATCACTCCCCCGAGATTCAAAATGAATCATTCTTCAGAAGAAATCCATCATCAAAAGAAAATACAAACTCTCCTCTACCAGTCTCCTAAATCCTCTTCCGTTGAATTTTTTCCGGTTGTCTGTATCCATCAAGCAATTGCCCCAGTTCGAAAGATCCGAAACCAGCATCATGTATTTACTCACCACAAGCATTGAAATCAATGCTCCTCCAGCAACAGTCAGAGAGAAGGTAATGGCGTCCATTATACGCTTAGAAGCAATAATTCAAGATTTTTACATGGATAATGTCATGCTGACACTGTCAACCAGTTTCTCAACTTTTCATCCATCCCGGACTACTCCCCGAATGGATTTATCCGCTCGATCTCACCCGTCGACCCAGCTAAATTACCAGTAGACCTTCAACCTGGTGATAAATTGAACGTCTGTGCAGGCTATGGAAAGATGACCTTCTCGCCCATCGTCTCAGCGAATACGCAATCTATGTTTAGCTGGATAGGTTCTATCCCAGGAATCTTCACCGGGGAGCATATGTTTCGCTTCGAGGAAATTCCTGCTTCAGGACAGGAACAGAGCCGCACAAGGTTCGTGCACGAGGAGACGTTCACGGGTCTTCTTTCCTTCCTCATGGGGGAGAGCTTCGTCGCCAGGTATGTTGGTCTGATGGAGGATTCCAGGAAGGGGTATGATGGGTTCAACCATGATCTCAAGAGTTGGGTCGAAAAAGAGAGCATGGGAAATTGAGCTAAGCCTTGCATAATGTGCCACTTGTTCTCTAACACTCTTCATATAATCCTGTCTATCTGATTCTCATGCCGCTTGCAAGGGAAGGGTATGTCTTTGAGTCGATCCTCACGGTTCATATTTCTCGTCTCTGGTATACACCACCTATGTTTTGTCTTCATCTCTTGAAAGCCAGAGTCTACCGATTCGCTTTTTGCATCAAATCTTCATCCATGATCTTTATCAGCCTCATCTTCCTTCAGATAGACACCGTACCAATAGGAACCATGGACCGACGGATACCCCGGACCTATGATGTCATTGATCACCACACTTCCAAACCACATGGCATAAAACACAAGACCACCATCAGTATCATCCAAGCTCTGTAACCATCAACATCTACCTTAATCCTTGTACTTCACCGGACAAAATCAATTGAGGATGGCAGCAACTCCATCGACGTACACTAGCATAGAAGACTATGGCCTCGTGGGGGACATGCACACCTGCGCCCTGATCAGCAAAAATGGCAGTCTTGACTTTATGTGCTGGCCCGTCTTCGATTCTCCCTCCGTCTTCTGTCGTATCCTTGACAATGCACAAGGAGGGCATTTCTCCATATCCCCAGTACCGGATATCCAACCAATCAGCAAGCAGCGATATCGACCCTACACTAATATGTTGGAGACCCGATGGATTGACGAACAGGGGGTGGTGAGTCTACTCGACTGCCTTCCTGTATCGAGTCACAGGTCCACCCAGCAAAATGTGAGCCCTGGGTGGTGTATTTGCGATGACCGGACTGCTCGTAATGACCCGCGGCAATCATGTCATTCAGGCGTCGTTCGCAGGATTGAATGTGTGAGGGGTGAAATGGAGGTTGACTTTGAGGTCTTTCCTGCGTTCAACTATGCCAGAGACCAACACACTGGCCATTGGATTACCCCTCAAAACTCCAACGCCTCGCTCAAGCAATATTCTTTCAACAGTCAGACGCAAAGTTTGCAGCTGACTATCCTTCCTGGTTGCGACACTTCTCTTGAGCCCTCTGAGGCCATCTCTCCGGTGGATCTGAAGATACAGGAGAAGCAAGGCTCAAAGGGGCCAGGACTCTGTGCCAGGGTGAAGATGAAAGAAGGGCAATCGATCTCATTTGTGCTGCACAACCCAGAAACAAGTCTTCCCGAGGAGAACTCGCTACAAGAGTATCTGGACAGACTGGAAAAGGAGACACTCAACTTCTGGGCTGACTGGATCGCCCGTTGTTCGTTCCGCGGCCACTACCGCGAACAGGTTGAGCGCAGCCTCTTGGTACTCAAACTCCTCACCTACAAACCTACTGGAGCCATCGTCGCAGCTCCTACCTTTTCCCTCCCCGAGTACGTCGGAGGGTCCCGGAACTGGGACTATCGGTACTCCTGGCTTCGTGATGCCGCTTTCGTCGTGTACGTGTTCCTCAAGAACGGCTACCCCAAGGAAGCCGAAGCGTACATCAACTTCATCTTCGACCGCGTCTTCCCTCCAGTGAGGGATAACGAATGCGTAGCGGACGCCCCATTCCTCCCCATCATGGTGACGATTCGAGGTGAGAGCGAAATTCCGGAAAGCGAATTGGATCATCTAGAGGGGTATAAGGGTAGTAAGCCCGTACGTATCGGAAACGCAGCTGCAAAGCACACACAGCTGGATATCTACGGAGAACTCATGGACAGTGTCTATCTCTACAACAAGCACGGGCGACCTATCTCCTACCAGCAGTGGATCGCCGTCCGCCGCATGACGGCGCATGTAATCAAAGTTCGAAATGACCCCGACAGATCCATCTGGGAGGTCCGGGGGGAGCCGCAGAATTTCGTCTACAGCAAAATCATGCTCTGGGTTGCGCTGGACCGAGCAATACGTCTAACCGAGAAGCGATCAAACCTACCGTGTCCTGATCTTAGGGAGTGGATGCGTGCGCGTGATGAGCTCTACGATGAGATCATGACGAAAGGTTACAACCTCAAGGACAAGTATTTTTGCATGAGCTACGAGAAACAGGATGTGCTCGATGCAGCTGTCCTGATTGCGCCGCTGGTATTCTTCATCGCTCCAAATGACCCCAGATTCATGCACACTCTACAGAAGATCATGTCATCCCCGGCCAAAGGCGGGTTATCAGTTGCCAATATGGTATCCCGGTACGATCACACAAAGGTGGACGATGGTATGTTCTTCGCCTACGCGGTCATTTGCCCTACTGACTCCAAATACAGGGGTTGGTGGCACCGAGGGCGCATTCGTCATGGTGACTTTTTGGCTAGTCGAAGCAATGATGCGCGTACGTCTTCGTATGCCTCTGAAAACACAAAGTACTGACAGGACCCCCAGGCCTCGAAGGTAATGCCATATTACCTTGATGATCCCTTCTACCTCCAGCTGCGTAAGACGGCCGTTACGCACTTCGACAACATGCTGTCTTTTTCAAATCATCTGGGCATGTTTTCAGAAGAAGTGGCTGTATCAGGGGAACAGATTGGCAATACACCGCAGGCCTTTAGCCATCTGGCGTGTGTCAGTGCTGCGATGAATCTTGGGGAGCAAGCCGAACGATGAGCAACTCCAATTTGTGTGGAAATACTCGCTGCCGATGCCGATAGTTATCAGCACATTCTATTACATTGTTATCCTTTTAACACCATCTCGTAAATCAACAAGAATGACGAGAGATACTTTCAGTAACAACTGCCCGTCTAGTTAACGTTTAGGGATGCCAGAGGGCGTTGGGGAAATCGCAATACATAGTCTTGGTGTAAGCAGTTCCGCCCTCGCCGAATATTGTGGAGACAGCAACATGAATCTACGAAAGTCCATCGATGTCATATTGCCTGATGGTGGTTAAGTGGATCTCAGTCGTGATTGTATGTTGCATCATCTTCATTGTCTATCCCTCCAGTTGAAACAGCTGTCCGTCGGAACTATATCTTTCGGTCATGGTTGCTCAACATGGAATCCCCCATGCGCAAGGTTCTCTAGACAAGCATATCCGGTGCGGCCGCGCTCTTTAGCCCATAAAGGATATGGAGTGAAACTGTGAATTTTCCGTCTTCTTCTAATTCCTCATGTTTTCGAAGATTGGAGATATTCTAATATACAAAGTAGCACCAAGAGCGGAAAACGCAACAGGCATGTTCAAATGCTGCATGTTTATACATGTCCTCCAAAGTATACCCTAAGACCATCGTAACACCCAAGAAACAGACCACCTCCCACACCAGCCGCGACGCATGTCAAGGTCCCGCCTCTGAAGAGACCGTGTATCCCTTCCTTCGACAATATACCCCTCGCGACAGCCACAGCATTAGCAGACGATACCCGCTGTGCCCTCACTGATGCAGGTATAGCGCGGATATCTGCCTTCAAGGGCAGTCGCGCATAGGTGGGAGTACCCACCGCAAGTCTGATGCGCGTTTTCACTACATCAACCGGTACGAATAGCATCGACACCACAACGCTAGCCAGAGCACCGCTGTAGAAACTACCCACGACATGAGCACCCGGATCACTCGAATGCTGTGCTACCTCGAACCACGAGGTCTTAAGATACTCGTACAACAGGAACGTCAGACTCGTCCCGGGGAGATGGCTAGCAGCTAGAATCGCGTACCCCGCCCAGAGCTTAGTCGGATGCCTGGAAAAATGCCTGACGGTCGTTAACAGAGGTGAATGACTCTTTTTGGATCGAGCATGATGCACGACCTGAGCATTCTGCTTCAGGACTTCGGCGGGATTAGTGATGGCGCACGCAACCAAATCCGCCACCGCACTGCTAACCGCATACGTGGCCAGCTGGCGGGCTTTCGTCGATTGGGGACCCTGATCCGGTTCAAGCGTCGATTTCATCGTTTCATAGATTGTGAAGAAGGCGACTGAGGCGGGGATACTGGTGATGAGCGTTGGGCCGAAGCCCTGATACAACCCCCGGTAGAGGGCTGGGTTGATACCGCCATTCGGACGCTGATACGTCGTCGCATACGAGGGCGATTGTAATCGAGTAATGAGGGTGTCGAGTGGGTGAGTGAGCAGCTCAACTCCAATTGCAGCTATGCCTGCTGCCTGGACGGGATTAGTATTGCAACGCAAGGACCGAGCATGATGGTTTCAGGTAGCATACGAAGAAGACGTCCTTCCTACTGGCATCGACGGACATGGTGCTGGACGACGAGCACCGAATGCCAGGTAGAAAACCTGTTGTGATGGTTTAGATGCTGGTTAAATGAATTAAGCGCGTCGTACGTAGTGCAAAGTTGGAAATACTAACTTGGCGCCGAACTGATCGGGATTCGGACTCTTGTATGGCGCGGGAATGGAATCCGCGGATCCCGTGTAGAGAAACATACGAAGCTCAAACTTAAGTGCGGGTGGCACACCAAGTTAGGTACGATAAAAGGGCAAAAGAGTCAAAGTCCATAATCACAGATTCCTATTTCTTGCCTAGCACTTATCCACCATTTCCAAATTGCCTCAACGCGTCACTATCTGAAGGAGACCTCTGCCCTCTATCCGATCAGGTTTGCATGCCATTGCGGAGGTTGTCGTACTGAGACACCGGATAGCTCAATTCATTCTGATTCTGTTCAAAGGCTCCCGTGCCTCCAAGTGCATTTACTACCTGATGGAATATCAGCATAGAACCAGCGAACCGCGGGATTTAATGCACTTACCGTGGTAATCAGACTATCACTTCCGGTCTTGTCGCTGCTGCTTTCCCACCACATGGCACCCCCCAATCCCAAGGACTTGATATAGCTAGTCTTTAAAGTCGCCACCTGAGGGTTGTCATAGCTGATTAAGATCTTGTTCGTCGCGTCATAACTGTAGCTCGCCATGATATTGGGAAGGACATGCTCCGTGGCACCAGCTTGGGGGAGCGCCTTGTAGTCCCAAACTCCATTCTCCCAGCTGCCCTGGCCAACGCCGTTGTAAGGCTTGCCGAGTCCGTCGGTGTTGGTGAAGGAGCGGCCGTAGATGGGCATTCCCAGGACGATTTTGTTTGCGGGGACTCCGCCGGCGCGGTACAGATCGATTGCATTCTGGGTGTTGAAAGGCGTGGAGAGCGGGTTCGAGGTATCGTTGTAGACGTTGGCTTGGTGACCGGTGAGAGTATCCCAACTGCCGGCGTAGTCGTAGGCCATGAGGTTCCAGAAGTCCAGTTGCTGATCCATGTCTTTGAGATGAAGGACGTTGATCTTTTCCGGTCCTATGCTAAATCAGAATCGTGTCGTGTGGTAGTAAGACCAGTGTGTGCTAACCAGCAGGTGAAGCCACGGTCAGAAGGAAGTGCTGTCCGCCCGCATTTGCAGCACTGTAACTGTCGAGCGCCTAGTCACCTTAGCGTTATGTCCCTCAATAATCGAGTTCAGAAGCACATACAGCTCTAACTTCCTTGAGCAGCAGAACAAAGTCGCTTGCTTGTTGGTCATTTTCGGGATACTAGGCCCAATCAGCCAGCGTCGAGGTTGGGAGCCATGCATCAACTCACCTCCCAATCAATATCCAGCCCATCGAATCCCAAATCCTGCAGCAACTTAACAGAAGTCTTCGCAAAATTCTTCCGTCCAGCATCGGTACTAGCGGCCGGAGCAAAGTTGGGAGAATAGGTCCACCCGCCAATCGACAGGAGAACCTTGAGGTTACGGTTCTGCTTCTTCAAGAGATACAACTGCTTGATACAGCCGTAGACGTTGTTGCCGGTATCAGACCAGGAGTCACCGGGGTAATGCTTCTCAATGTCTGCCCAAGAGTCTGTCATATACACCTCCCCAGTTTCAGGACGCACGTTGGCAAACGCGTACAGAACATGCGTCAGCCTCTGGGCAGGGAGGTCCTGAGGATTATGGTTGCGCCCGTAAATTGCCTGGACAGTTAGTGCCAGTCAAGTACTGAGCACGATGTGAAGATAATACTAACCCAGTTCACAAAGTAAACGACAGATCGATAACCGGAACTAGCGCGCGCCTCAAGATCAGCATTGCTGGCATCGCGATTCCAGATCGCTGCTGCGTCAACACAGAGACTGCCGAGCAGCAGGGCGACCTTGAGGACGGTGGAAGTTGCAAAGCGCATGGTTGTAGTTCAGTCGAGGTTGTCGAGGTGTGGGCTTGTCGAATGCAGTTGTTTTTGTTCTGTGTGAATAGCACCGAGATAGACAGCCTATTTATCTCTGAAGTTCTTCGTCTTCATCGCTACTTCATTCGCGACATCTACAGCACTCCCCCGATACAGGGTCGCTTTCTGCTCAAGTCCCATCGTCGCGTTGTAGGTATAGATAAACCCTACCCCCCATCACCAGTAACCCTGATGGCAACGTGTCACAAGGTCAGGGATCAGAAATCAGATGCAGAGATAAGGCAGTGAAGAATGTGGTTCCGGTGACCCGACGGCATAGATCTTGCAGTAATCTCGGGTCACAGGCCAGGTTTCACGTACCTGACCATCCTGCATGCGACATCGGCAGATGGAAGTAATCCAGGCTTATCTGCCCAATGAGATGATCACTTTCTGCAGAAAAGGCGACGTGACTCCCCGCGTGGAAGGCCGCCAAGGCGCCTAGCTGCGTGAGGGGTCTCCTTAATCTCCAGGTCGATGTAACAATAAGAGAACATGTATATTGAAGCACATGCCCTTCTTGGTTATCAGCCCGCTGCTTAAGGTTGTCAAAAGAGTTTGCAGCAGCGAGAAAGAGAGCATGCTGCTATGCGACGTGACCGTTGCCGCAAGGCCCCAAGGAGATGTCACTCTCACTTTCAAACTAAGTCAACTGCACAGTCGGACTTTCGACAGCCGAGATTATGGTTCGTTAAATCCTTCGTAATGTAACATGCCGGTGAGTTCAATATCTTCCTGCTAGGGTCTTGCAGATACACTGCGTCAACTCCTTGTCTCCCGCGCGATCAAGTGCAGTCCTGGAATTCATCCCCGGTCTCCTCACAGCCTTGCTAGTCAACGGAGCATTACACTGGGTTATAGGCGACAAAACCTATCTGCCAGCGTGGTAATTCCTAGTTGAAGTGGGATCCATCCATCGCAGCAATCCGTTTACGACATCGGTATATCACGGGATGCTGAAGTCATAGACCTTAGGGAAAAAGACCTGGATTCTCTCCATAGTGAGGTCGGTTAACTGAAAAGAAATGGGCGTTATTGATGGCAATGGAAATCTTGATTGGCATTATCAACGAATGAACAGCATAGGAGACTAATGGGGCCAGTATAAATTCTTTGTATTAGAATTGCAAGGCTACTCTTGCTGTCAGAGCCCTTGGTGAGTACAGTCGCATGGGAGCGAGACGCCGGATCCGATCCCAGCTGCAATGTAGATTCCGACGTAAAAGAGCTGCCGATGTCAAGAGCTATGAGGTATGTGTGAGATTTGCTGGTCCATACGTACTAGCCGGCAGTGCTCATAACCACACCTATAAGTATGATAGAAGCCTACTACTCAATTGTCAGCCCAGGGCAGGCATGTTGACCCGACAATATAAAAGGGAAAGACGCAACAATGATGCAGGCAGTCTTCTCACAACTTCCTCATTACTTTCACTTTAGCTGACATACTGATTTCACTGTTGAGGGAGAATATGTCCGCGCTCAATCAGCCGTTTACCAATACCTCGCTGATAGAGGTCAAAGGCTGACTTGGTTAATTGTTGTGAAACCAAATGCAAGATTGGCTATTCGTAGTCAAAATCCGGATAAAAGCCACAAGGGAGAGAATATAGGTACCGAAGATAACAAAATAGGTTCGAACGCCCATTATGACCAGTCCAAACACTCCACTTACTGCTATATCATGAGTCATAGGCCATGTTAAGTATACAAGGCGGGAATGTAGTTCTTCAGGGCCGGACACCTACAGGAAACATGTTGTGTTTCTTCGGATGGAAAGTGGTATACAGGGAACTTGTTAGATAAGATTAATGTGGTTCTGGAAAGTGATCTTACGTCTGGCCACGTCGATGGTTACCTGAATGTCTACGGCAAGAACCAACAGGGCAGGTTTGATGTGTGGTATCGAAGGTCTCATTGCCATTAGGGCACCAACCGAGTTCAATACTAAGCAAATAGTACGGCTGAGCCGAAGTGACACAGCTCTGGTTCGGAGGCCGGACACTCACCTATATGAGACAATCTCAGCCTCAGATGCCAACAATATATAGTAGACTTGTCTCATGCGCAAAACTCAATCTCACATATAGATGGGATGAAGTTGTATGACGCATGATTGAACATATTAGGAACCCGGGAATCATAAGAGTTAATCCAACTAATGGACCGAGAATGTAGTAAGCTACTTTAAGGGTTTCCCAGTACACTCAACCCAAGCCTGCTTCATTTTGCCTTACGTCTAGCCCTGCGTCTTCGGTGGCTGTGACTCCTTGATCTCGTTCTCGGCCCATTTATCGCCATACTTGACAGCCCACTTGATCAGCTCCGCTGCCACCTCCACCCCAGTTGCCATGAGCGCAACATCCTTTTTGGTCTTGGCTGCAACACCCGCGATCAGGTATGCCAGGGCCCCGATGACGCCTACGCCACCGTCGTACAAACGCAGGTAGGCACGGAGCAGCTTTAATACATGAAAGTCACCGGTGAAAAACTCGAACCAAATGATGGGGAAATTGATGTACAATTTCACAGAAGCCCGGCCAAGGTCGTAGTATCCAAGAATAGGATGCTTCATGAAATCGGCGACGTGGGTTCCCGTTGTAGTCCAGACGTAATACACTCTGACGGCAGTGCAGCCTATCAACCAAGCCAAATCCACACCCCAGACCTGTGATGGTGTTTTATTAGCGTCAAGATGTGACATTTATACCTGGGACCTCAATGGAGGAAAGGTGTAGGTAGTTGAACATACCACCCATGCTAGATTGAGCGCTGTTTCATTATCGAACCCTTCCCATGGTGGGACAGTGGACAGGACTTCAATCAGTTGAGCCACAGTGGCTCCGATCTCTACCTATATCGCAGCGGCTCGGGGGGTCCATGCTCCCGGTCCCCCTGCCGCGGCCAACGCGTGATACCTCCTCTGAGATGCCAATCGAAATCCTCTTCCCATGGATCCACCCGCCAGGCTCCATGCGAGGCTGATCGTCGTGAATGCCAAACCGACGTACCCGGCCCCGATCGCCATGGCACCGCTGAAAGAGCGGAGATCCTTGTGCAGAGAAAGATCGGTGGGCTTTGTGCCATTGAAGTATCCCGCGAGTGTTGCCTTTGTTACCCTCCCCTTCAACTGAGGGGGGGCACGTTGATACAGAAGCTTATAGACAATGGTCGTGGGAATCGCCATTAGCAGTGAGAAACAGTTGAATAGCGTAAACGGACGATCTTTACCGGCAATGGTGTGCCACAGAGGTGTGAATAGGGGGATCTCGATGGGGGTCTCTCCGAACATTCGGACAACGTCAAGTAGTAGCTCTGCTGCTTTGAAGACGACCGTGGCCAAGTTCTCAATGGAACTGAGGGCAGCTTCGCATGCGACATTGGCAACGTGGAAAGCAGCTTCGTTCCTCTCATCAGCGGACCCAAAGACATGCGGGATTTCACTTCCCAGTTGCTCGGCAAGGCTTTCATCACTTCGATTTCCTTGCAAATTGCGTCCCAGATATCCTTCAACTGGTGGTCTGCTCCTGTTCATCCCTTCCATTAGCTGCTAGACGTCTTAATCAAGAAACCTTGCGTGTTAAGGAGAATGTGTCTTACTTTGGCACGGTGGTACCTCGTCGGTGTCGAGCTGCAGCCCGAGAAAATCGCCATGATTCATTTGGTCACCAACCCAATTAAAGGATACGCTGTATTGGATTAATTGCTGCGCCTCCAAGATAATATCTTCACCTTCTACACTCTCCACCTTGGATAGTTCCTTTCGTCGAGACTCTAGATCGCCCCTGGATGATTGAACAAGCTTCTTGGTGTCATCGACCCAGCTTTTGATGCTGTCATTGACCGACTTTAACTTCTCCTGCCCGTAGCTTAAGCTTGTACTAATCAGCGTCGAGATACTATCAGATGTATGCAAGATATCGGTCCAATTAAAAATAAAGCCTGCGAAGTCGATCAGCTTGTTCACCACCACGCCACTCTTCGCGAGCAGCCAGCCGATGGCTTTTAGGACCGTTTCAGCCGTGCTCAGCACGAAATTATATACCTCTCCTGCTAGCTTCACGGTGAGAGTCCACAATGATTCTGTTTCGTCAGTCATTGGCCAAAGTCGTTCTCAATGACCGGGCCTAAAGGAAAAGGAGGTAGTACTTACTGGCCGTGTCGATCACCCAATCTGTAACCTCTTCAACTTTTTCTTGGATCCAGTGAAAGAAACCCCAGGCGGAGTCGGCCAGATCAGAGAAAAAGAACTGCTTGAGATTCCCAGCTTTGAGCAGTTTGGACTGATAGTCGATATGCGTGTTCAGATGAGCGCAAAGCCGGGCAATATTCCTGGCAATGACATCCGCGTCGCTTTCACTAAGTGCCCCTTTGTCTACGAGGTTCTGGCCGGACTGCGTCTTAGCTGTCATCAAGTCTTTACCTGATTGGATTTGGCGGAGCTTTTTGACGACTTTGGTGCTTGGATCCATCAAGGAAGACTGGATGGGCTGATATCTGTCCTCTTCATCTCTCGCGTTTGGCGGCAAGTACCCATCAACATAGATGGAGTGACATGCGACGTCGTCAGTTCCCATCATAATTAGGAGAGTACCCCGGGTATCCGTGCGCAACCAACATCCATGACTTGTCAAATTGGTCGCTCGTCCATTGACCACAGCTCGAGTATACCCGGAGCTGACCACATGGAGTTGACAACCCGCCACGACCTCGACGTCCATGTCTTTCTGTGTGTTTGTTTTCACGTCTGGGATGGCCTGGATTCGCAGCGCGTAGCCATCCATCTCAATGTTAGCCGACCGACATCCGACGTAGAACGGATGGACTTCCCAGATCTTCGTATCAGAAGCCTCCTGCAGCAGGAACAAGTCTCCCGCCGTATTAACCGAGATCAGGGTTCGCACCAAAATGCTGCCGCTGTTGCTGTCGTCGTTCTCCAGAGCGGATGGGACTGTGAGGATCCCCGATAGTCGACCTCCTTCCCCTTCCTTGAGGAGCGGGATATGCCTACCGTTCGTTGCAAGCCTCCAGGATGTATTGAGTCGCAAAATGGGCTTGCCGTCCGTCACAGTGATGTCGACGAGTCCCAGCTGCTCTTCCTTGGTAATTCGGTCCTCCCGTTCCAATGCAAGAAAAATCAGAGGGAACTCTCTGCCTGCAACGGTTCGAGTGAAATCACTCTGATACATATAATCCAGTTATTCAATGTCAAGCCAGGGAGTAATCACAATTATCAAATCACGACATCCAATGACAAGGATCAAGGGAAAACAATAGGAACTGGAGCCTACCATGAAGATTCGTCTCGTCACCGGCACCTCCGACATCACGTAAGTTTCCAACTTCGCGTCTCCCCAAAGATTGTCTGGTGAAACACCTTCCACCAGATAGAACGTTCTTTCCCCGCCCAACCCTGAGTGACCAATCCGATATTCAGAGTCAGGTCCGAGTGTTGCTGCACATCGAATGCGAGAACGGAGCCTTCATACGGCAGGATGTCGCGGAAGTTCATCAATGTGGGATCTCCGTCATCGTCCATAACCAGATTGAGCTTTCCATCATCACTTAGGGAAAACAGTGCCGGATTCGAGCTGGTATCCTTGAATGCAACGAAATGGATCCCTGCGGGGATTTTGTCTGCTGCGAGCAAACTGGTCATCAGCTCGGCATCATGCTTGATGTGAACCATGTTGGAAGTCGTAGTCTGATGTTGGCAATGCAGCTTGATAGGTATGATTATTCAACATGAATGTATAGATGGCAGGAGAGGGACTGGGACATACTTTCTGACAGGACGAATTACTTCCCATTAAAAGGCTCTCCACGATGGGCAATAACGGCGAAGTATACGGTCTGGGATCTCCCATAGGTTTGTTCTGCGACCCAAGTGTGGCCCTAATGCGACTCTGCTCTTTCCTATTTTTCCTTTCGTCGTCCTTCCCGAGTCCAAGCACGCAATATCCTTGAGCCACCGGTCAGATTAAAGACAAAGGCTGGCTGGATCTTGAGGACCCCGCACATGTACAATCCTCTTATGGGAATCACCAGCTGATAATGTCCGCTTCTACATCTTAACATAGTGCTCCAGCCATGAAATATACGAGCGTGATCAGCTTTTTGATTCGTTACGGTCATATTGACAGCAGGCGCCACTAACCGTGGTTATCAGCCGATAGTGACAATAGTCCTTTGGCAAAGGAGACCTATGCCAATCACATTATATTCTGAGTATAACTATGAATCCATACGTACTCCTTGGCACACTGAGTCATGTTCAACCACGCAAAATGGAAAAGAGCAACCAGGCCAGAAGGTTCCACCGTTGAAGGAATGCTTTTCAGTTCCGCACATGATGCAAGTCATAACTGTCAGTCAGGCACCTTTACAGAAAATGCAACTACCCCACAGAGTAGCAAGCTCACGCCATTATACGACGGGGTCCGTTCATTGGCATATCATCCCTAGTTGAGAGTGAGACCTCGGCGCCACAAATGCAAGCAGCAAACAGACAATCCTCCGAAAGACTCCGGCCACTTTTCCAGGCGGCTCTGTTCGTAACCAGCCTCAATAAGAGGGGCCGGGAACTACGATAAAGCGGAGGTAGAAGGTCTGCTATTCACCGAGATGGCTGTTTTGTTGACACCCAACTATCCTGATCATTGTTCTTGCATATCCTTGCTGAGAAAACAAGTTTTACCCGGAAGGCACAATGGCTGACGACTTTACTAGGAGTCAGGTCAAGTATACCGACCCCAAGAATTATGACCAGGTAATCATGGTGACTCAAAATACTATCAACAAGCAGTTGCACAACATGTGGGCTTTGGAAGAAGAATCTTCCAAACTCCGCACCTTGACCACGTCGAACAGTGGAGGGTCAATCGACGCCAAGCTGGAGGCTCCGAGGATCGAACTGAATATCAAAGACAGCACGAAGCCAATCTATTACTATCTTACTTTCAAGTCGGGCACGCTCAAGGTTTACCAGAGCGATGATCGAGCCGATACAAGCACTCGGGACTTCGATGTCAAAGGCTGGACCATCTGCTTTGCAGCGCAGATCTGTGACTTGCCCTCCATTTACTCTGAGAATGACCTTAGCAATATATGGATACTGGAGCTGACTGTTTCTTTGCTTTTCCAAAGCTCGCAAAATTGTCACCGGCAATGAAACGGAGTTTGACGTATACACCACGAAAACCGGATTGAAAGACTGTGTCTTTTCATTGGCGAAGCTCTATTTAGATGCGACCAGTATACCCGATCCCTCAATTGGTTCTTTGGGGTTGAAAAGTTTGATGCTGATCTCCGTGCAAAAACTCAGCATCGACGCTTCCGATCCCGGCCAACAGCTCGTACGCCAATGTCGATTGGAAGAACGAGACCACCATCGTGAAAAGTAACTTTGATACATTCATGTCTCGATGGGTGGTCGACATGGGCAATGCCCAGAAAAACGTCGTCGGCTACTCGGTTCTGGCCGGTAGCACCGGTAGTGGTACAGTCCTCACCATCATTCTCCCTTCTGATTTCGTTACAGGAAACTAAAGGATGCCAATCCGGCCAGTCAATCCCCATGCGCCCAGCTTTTCTCCGACTGCGATTGACTATTGTAATTATCCATGGCGCGATCCCTCCGACTATGCCAATTTGCAGACCAATAAAAATGACCAGGACGGTGTGGACCAAAACGCATTCAGCTATCTCATCACGACTCAGAAGAAAGAACCCCCAGAGGCGCGCGTCCTCGAATACTCGGCACCCTTCGTCAACAACGCTCACGGGGCCGTGCTGTGCATGAACCGGGAGCTTTTCTGGGCATCCTGGATGCTGGACCATCTCCGAAAGCTCGTCCGAGGGACAGAGATGATACCCCAGAAGGCATATCTGGAAGATGTCACAGCGAAGTACCCAGACTACGCCTCCGTTGTTTCAACGGCACCCAGTTTTGCGTTCGGTACCAACCCGGACCATCCAAACGCTGATGACAGTTACTTTGCGCTAACAGACGAGGGCCCCGAGTGGAGTTGGAGCAAGTATGCTACCCCAAGCACGGTGTCTGTGGATGTCCCCAGCACCAACTCCAAGAGAACGGTGACGGAAACAGGTAGATCCTGCCACTAACTAGGAGCAAAGTCGCGCAAAAAGGCTGATTGATTCCAGCCCAATCTGCCGTGCAGGTCACTTTCGTCTCCGGTGGCCAGAAAATCGCCATTACAGGTTCCAACTCGTTCAGATTCCATTACAGTTCCAGCGAAGGTGGCCAGTGCGTTTGGTCTTTATTCCTTTTTCTTCTCTCTCTTCCCCCCAGCATGATCCGAGGGTGAATTAGCGTCTCTCTAACTTCCTATGAAACAGCGCCACTCTCACGACCCAGACCTGGTGGCATCTCAACTTTGCTCTCGGGGCTGTCAGCGACGGCGGGTTACAGATCACACGAGTGGCCGATCCCACCGGTGTGGAAAGCGTCACGACCTCGCACTCCTTTGAAAACGACCAGCTGGAATGGAATTATCCCTTCGGCGATTTTGCCCAAGCCATCTCGGACACACTGAAGAGATGGTTCAACAACAGCCTTGCGTGGCTGACGAACGATCTCGTCAGCGCGCTACAGCACCATCACAAACTATACCTGCCTGCATCGGGGGTCTTCCTCATGCAAGATGCCAAGTTCAACAAGCGAGGAGACCTGCTCGTGGAGTTGCACTATAATGGGTGAATTGACATTCTGAACCCCTTTCTGTAGTGAAGCCGTACAAAGGGAACTAATGCTGATCATGATGGCCAATGCCCATTAGAGCCGAACCGCCAACCACGTCTTCTTCTACTACAGGTACCTCTGCACAAGGACACAAGCAGGCCTTGTTCAAGGTGGAGGGGGTCGATGTGCCTGAGGCATTCAGCAAGTTGCCAATAGCTTGGATGAACCTACCGAAACGGCAGAAGCTGGGACTTGTGACGCCAGGATCACATCTCCCTCCGCTACCTGACTCAATTCCCCAGCCAGTGCCAGTCTTTGGTTAATGGATTGGGGCCTGGGTAAGGGACAGTACAATGATAGGGCGGCTAGTTACAACTGCGCCTTGATTAGGACTGCTAATAGTAGGATGAATCCTCACTGGCCATTTTGGATGAATGGAAAAGTTGTATGCTGTAGGCCGTTGAGATATTGTTAATGTGAAGGGAACGTTATGCATTATGTAACCATCATAAAGCCATTGCTTTGCTCATATCTCTTAACTGACCTTAATTTATGAATATATCCACCTTAATACATTGAGTAAGAGATCCCTGATTATTGCCATTTCCAGTTATAGAATATAGAGACACCCACACTGGGGTTGCTAGCAAGTCATATACTTATATGATAGGAGGCAGAGAATATATATCTACTATATTTTCTTACTGCTAGCTAACTAACTATAAATACCATCTTTTAAGCTTTAGGCATTATATACAGATAGTTTGGCATCCTTGCCTATGCATCAACTCACTGACCTAGCTTGCTTTGAAGATATGCCCCCATCCCCACACGATGCAGCGAATAAGGCCTAAGGGTCCAGCCCCATTGCCAAGCCCGCCGATCCAGGCACCATCGTGATGGCTACGCTAAAACCCGTTAGAGCCGCCAACACCGGCACCTTAAAAGGGCTCGATCCCCTAATTCATTGGAAATTCCACGGCCCCTGATTCAGAGGGAAACGGGGCGACCGCGAACAAAATGCTCTGTTTCACCGATCTACCTGTCGACATCCACCATCAGATAATCTTCCACCTCGAGTCGAATCGCGATGTGGCCGCTTTCTCTTCACAATGCGGAGCTCTGCATTCTCTCTGCGACATGTCCAATCGGAAGAAATACCGTCGTGTGCGCATCACTCCGAGTATTGCTGATCTTGACCGCGCGTTCCAGATGCTCATAGACATTCTGAGAAAGCCCAGTCTGGGTTGCTACGTGCGTCATATTGAATATAAGCAGACTGTCTCGCGCTATCGGGAGTACGTGGTGAAGCCTTATGGGGGGAAACTAAGTAAGGAGGATATGCGGCTGCTGCGAAGTGCCACGCGGAGGGCAGGGTTTACAGGAGCTCTAGAAGAGCGCGTGTTCAACATGTTGATGCGGGAATCGGTGGTGAGGGATGGTGTTTTCGACGCTTTTAGGTGAGATGAAATCAGCCGGCGAGCACGGAGCGCTCGATGGCAATATCTGCATTAATGCATGAACAGCGAGACCCGTGCCCCCGCGACATACGTCACGCAAGCGTTGACGGCCCTGCTCATCTCGGTGTCACCAAACCTCGAGTCCATGGCCATGATGCCGACTTTTTACATCGACCTCCAAGAGCCCACGGATGAATCATTCCTGCGCTCTGAGTGCCCCCTAGACCTGTTGCTCAGGGAGACAAACGACAACCTGGTTGACAAGCCGTACCTGCAGAACCTTCGCAGAGTGTATATCATCAACCACGGGGATGACTATTTCGACGACGGGCGATTCTATGTGGCCATGGACCTCATCGGATGCTTGGCCATTATCCGCAACCTTCCGTCCCTCGAATGGATCGGTGCTGATGCTCTCACGGAGGATGATGACGGCATGCCCACACTTGAGGCTAAATCCTCCAATGTGTCTCGCATCGCGATCCATCACTCATCTGTGGATAGCCAGTATCTGATAACTATCATCCGCTCGTGCAGAGTTCTGAAGGAATTCGAGTACTCGATCGGTGGCAGGGTGGTCGAGGGTGGAAATCCGATATTCAACCCGAAAACGTTCATCCTGAGCGTCCTGGAACACAAGGCCACGTTGGAGAAATTAGATCTCGACGTTGAAGCACAAATATTCGGCTTCATCTATCCTAGTTCACGGGTATTTAACTTCGACGGGCAGGGCGCCCGAGCTGAGGCACGAGCCTATTGGCCAGAACCACCGCCAGACTCATTCTGGGACCAGCGGGGGTCTCTCAAAGACTTTGAGGCCCTGAAACGGCTCAGTATTGGGGTGAATTTCCTGTTGTACTTTGCCGCGGGAGTCAACAATGACAATGAGAACAAGAGCGTATCTTTGGTGGAGTATCTGCCGCCGAATTTGGAGTACCTGTGCATCCGGGGATACGAGAAGGGCAAAAGTAAGCACAATGACGCTCAGATAGACGCCCTCAAGGCGCTGGTGGAGTCGGGTTCAACTTCGCTGAAGGAGATACATGGTGTTGATGAATGTATTCCCAACGCAGAGAATGTCGAGAACCCGGACAATTATCCGGAGTTGTTGTGGAGACTCCGTGATGGATGGTCCGACGAGGAGGATTCAGAAGATGACGAGGACGAGAAGTAGGAGGAGTACGATCTTGAGTGAAGTCAAGATCTGTCAATACCCTATGCATTTGGCAGCGCTGTCTGTTTGCGCTTAACTTGGGTCCGCTAGCTCTCAAGCGATGCGGCATTGCTGGCAGATATCAGGCAACCCTATTAGTATCAGGTCCAGCTGAGGCGCATCCTGTGGCTCACATGTCATCAGCTTACTCCGATTGAATAACATCCAATGATATATGTGCTGCTAAGGAGAGTCGGATCAAGACTTGGCGTCTCACTCGTTCGGCTCTCCCCGGGCCTGTTCTCGTCCTCTTATATCCGAAATATCCTAATGCTTACTGTCAATGCAATCGACGTGTACTCGTAGGAGGAAAAGAGTATATTTCTTGAAATTGACCATAAGTCACCGAAATCTATATGTTTATATATGCGCAAACAAAGCCCAGGGGAACAAAATAATAATCAGAGACACCAAAAGCTTTCCGTTCATGTACATGACCTCCAAAAGGAAAGGAAAAATATGGGAACATCGTTGTTGTGACATTTCAGATGAAAGAAGAAAAAAAAGAAAGTCTGGAAGATAGAAGGGATCGCTGTCTATACCGGTGGGATATATGATCAAGGATCGGGTGGTATCGATGGACGTTATACATCATTCCTTCCCACTGGCTGGTGTTTGTTGGATGAGGGACGGTCAGAATTGGCATTGATCAATAGCTCGTCCTCAGAGTTGTCAGTTCTAGAGATCTGGAAAATGTTCCATGATTATGAATTAGCCAAGGCTCGATTCTTCATTGGATCGAAAGACCTCACCCCATTGAGAATTAGAAAGCCAGCCTCAAGTTGTAGTGGAGATGCCGCGGTATCATATCCGCGGAGCAAACTATACAGGTACTCGAAAGAAATTGACGGGTTGTGGCCTGGATTATGGGACAGACGATCTGACGAGATCGCAACCGAGGACTGATCGCGGCGAACAGCGTTTATTTGATGTTCTTCTGGCATATCAGAAGTGTTTTGATCTAGATAGTGGGCACCCAGAGGTCAGAGACCTAGGTGCTACGAATCATACACCGCCGTGTTCCCACATACATAAAGAGGGATAGGAGTTAGAGCATTCGATACCGCATACCAGACGAGGGAAATTCTGCTCCTTGGATTCGGTTCCACAACTGACGGAACTTGTTATGACGGAGGATGAATCGTATACCTGGAATACAGGCAATGAAAAGAGCTATCAAAGCAATGATTGCCTCTGCTGACAATGTCATTCTGGAAGGAAATAAGAAAAAAATCTCACATGGTATCTGAGGATCAACAATGAAGATAATTATCAATTCACAAGTCGGGAGCATTTATCATGAAAACATCCTTTTTATATACCCCAACCTTGTGCTCCTGTAAAGCAGTTGTGGCAGCTGTTGGCTTAGAAGGTACAGTATGTAGGTAAGGACCCGGCAGAGACTTTGCATCATCTACTTGCATGACATGGCTGCAACAGAGTCTTCTGAGGGTATAGTGGTGGTTAACTGGACCCTAGAGGTATCATCTCCTGAAGCTGATTGTTGATAACATTTACTGCTTACCCATTTCAAATGATTCTGGTTAAGTCCACAGTCCCTTAATCTTCGAAGCACTGCAGTATCCAATAGGAGAAGGTTTCAGTGTTCATGGTAAATTGTGGCTTGTCGCCATACACAGGATCTAATAGGAAAAGGTTTCAGTGTCTGTTTACACACTGGCCTCTAATGAAATGGTTCATGTGTTCACAAGCTGGCTAGCGCTCGCTTTGCTCACTGCCAGCTTCAGTCACGCTGAATTACACTATTAACTAGGAGTATTCTGTGAATAAGGCGCGCTATTGCCTGTGCTTCGTCCACCCGGAAGGTTATCCTTGGGGAAGTCTTTGGGCTGGCGTCTGGGATGGAAGGACGGCGTTCGACTGAGTGGATGGACTGGAAGAATGACAAGCAACCCTTGTGACAGCTCACAGCAGACCCCTGTCGTTCTGCTCCGCCAGAGCAGAACGACAGGGGTATTCAGTCACGAGGACCAAGGCCATGTATGCTAACTCTCTATAACATCGGCGTAGGCCTCTCTTGGGCACAGAATTGCGCATCGAAATATAGCTTCACCCCAGTCAGTTTTGGAGGCTGTAGCACTTCTTTCAGCCATATCAAAGTTAGAAAGGATTGACGTCCTCTCTCATCTCAGTGCACTGCAACCTCCATTTATCAACATCCAAAAGCTCTTCCGAACTGTCGCAACAACGGACGAAACCAACAGTGTCTCCCTAGTCTACTTTCTATCGAAAGCCTCAACCGCTCTTGTGGAGCGACTAGGCCAGGCCAACTGGGAAAGATCTGCCGGATGTGGAAGGAAGGAGGCGAAGTATCTAATCGGACAGCTCCTGAGAATGACGCGCTCACAGTCTCGAAGACATTTTCAGATTTAATGGGCTCCGGGATTAGAACATATACCACATTTATAGTTGACCACAGTGGGCCGTTACAGTAGCCTCTCAAACCTGCTTACTTTCTGGTGCTGAAGAGGAGTCCCGCCATCGGCCCCGTGTCCCTCCTATACCTGGAACGGAGAAAACGAGCGGCCATTTCTTCACCCATAGTATCAAGAAAACATATCCGTAGGGGGCCGTGTTTAGTCGAAGTAAATGCTGATGCTGAATCATGTCAGTAATAAACATATATGCTAACGAAATAGGATGCATGTCTTCATCCGATTGCTAGAAGTATGCGCGGGCTTCATTGATAGGGCCAAGATAGCAAGACTTTCCACGCGACAGCAGGAGGGATCTATTGAAGAGTTTAAATGTAGTGGTGGAAAGCTGATGGATCGAGGCGCTGATGAGAAGCTAGAGATCAATCAGTATAAGCACCTCTCCAGCTTGGGCAAAACGCAGGACAGCCACATCGCAGTCATGGTTGTACCGGCCACAGCCGGTCGATGAGAATTCGCATTGAGAAGGGTTGTTTTTCCAGTATCGGGCGACTCTGTAGGTAGGCGAAAGGGTCAGTTATACACCTATAGATAGCCTCGCTCTATAGCCTGTCTGTGTATCATCTCCATTATTCCGTTGGCCTGTCTGCACCTTGACAACCTAGCACTTAAGCATGCAGAATATATAGCAATTTTACATAGAGAATTCTATATTTGTTGCTGACACGGTGAATTAAAGCCCGAGATGGCTGGCTTTGACACTGTTCTAAGTGTCTTGCTATCCTATTCTGCGGTACCATTTCCTCAAACATATTGACAATGTGGACCACAGCTTGGTGCCTCTGCTTTGATATGCATGTCATCTACATAAGCGCAAAGTAATACTATTTCATTACAAGAGAGACCAGCTGAATAGATCAGTACTTGAGCCAGACATCTAAATATCAGAAACAAGGTACACTAGCTTTCGCGCACTAACAGAACCATTCTTCAAATCTTTCAAGCCATCCAGAACCTTCCTCAATCCCCCGTCACGCTTCTCAACGAGTAGTGTTCTAAGCTTTCCATGAGACCACAGCCTGCTCACGATCCCAGCCCATTTCTGGGCGAACTCGAACTCTGACGGCATGCTGGGGATTTCCATGCGATCTGGGCCATACTCGAATGGTTCACCAATTGAGGTACAGCAATTCATAAAAGTTGCCTTCACGTCCGGACGCCCCGTTTGCGCTGGGAGCAAGGAATGATACAGGCCTCCTTGGGCACCAATTGCCTCTTCGCAAATCCGCACTGAGTCCTGAGTCGCCACGGTGTCACAGACGACCCTGAGAGTGTTATTGGTGTGCTCGCGGATCTTTTGAGCACACCTAGGATCGCGATAATCGAAAACCACATCTGCTCCGTACTGGCGGACCAGGTCAAAGTTTTTCGGCGAGCATGTCGTGAGAACGGTGTATCCAGCCCTATGGACAGTTAGCGATATGCCATCAAAGTTAAAAGAAAGGGAAAGTACAATTTCGCAAACTGAATAATCCAGCTTCCCGAGGCTGTGCTTCCTCCATATACTAGAATCGATTCCCGACTCTTGTCCTGACTTAGATTCTCCGGCCATTGCAGTTTGAGACAAGACGGTCCAAACAGACACTGCCCAGCAGTAGTCGCTCCCACTCCCACAGTGGCTGCATCCTCACAAGTGACGCCGTCTGGGATCTTGATTTGAATCGCTGCTTTTGCCACAATATATTCTGCAAAGGTGCCGCTCTCGGCCCGGATATTGTCTGCACCCTTGACGAGTCCACACACGCGGTCACCAACCTTGAACATCTCCCGGACAGACTCTCCAACTGCGATAACTGTTCCGGCGTAATCGTGTCCCATGACTGCGTTGGGGGACGGGGTACTCTCCAGAAGCATCCAGTCGATCGGATTCAGGGCCACGGCGGCGGTGCGAATGAGAATGTCATCGTCTCGGAGGGCTGGAATGGGCTGGTTGGTGACGAACTCAGCATGGCCCAATGATCGGGTGATGACGGCGGCCTGGGAGGACTGCATGGTTGGAAGTTTTGTTGTGAGTAGATAGATCCTGAACTTTCAGAACACGCAATTCAGAGCGTCTACTACTCGTCTTTATATACCTTTCAGGCGTGTCATTTCGGCTCCTGATTATGGTCTCTTGTGTTCACAACCTTTGTTTCAGCGAAACGCTATGAGACTGACACATAATGCTCCGCAATGACAGATATATAGACCCACTCTTTCCCGCAATTGCTTAAATCATACAACAAACATTTGGACTGACCCATATCCTCCGCAGAATCCACTATTTGCCGCACTGCCTATGCCGAGCTTGCTAAGGTGTCCCTGGAGCCTGATGTTGGACTCGAACAAACGTACAGATACGGCCCCATCAATATGAGTCTGAGGGTCGAGATCTGCTATATCCAGGGTGCAACGTTTATATGAGCCAACGAATCGAACCTAGACAAATACTTATTCAGAAATTCCAATTATCTTCCAGGAATATCATTACAAGCTCAGAATAGGCTCCTTTGATGCTCTTTCTTGCACAGAGCCTAACCCTTTACACGCAACCAGCAGCAGGTGCCTGAACTCATCCACATGCACAAGTCCTCCTTGTTCCCAGGCAGTCACAAAATCGTCATAGGAAATGACTCCAAATGTTGATTGCGCTGAGTTTTGTCCCGGTTCATAGATGAGATCCTCCCAGCAAAGCTCCGTGTATGATTTAGTGGATACCGGCAGCCCAGCCAGATATTTGATAAAGTCGCATCTTTGAGATTGGACCACTGAGTGGACAGCGCGCACCAGATAGGAAATCATGATGAGTCGACGAGCACTCTCGCAGAGCACCCAGTCATTCAAATGGCTCTCGGAAAAAGGAGAGTTCAGTTGTGCCTTGTCTCGGGGGCTCTGCCGACTTGCTAGTTCTGTCCGCTCCAGGTCGGCAGTGCCCTGCGCCAACATACGATCTAATTGTCCGAGGAGCGGTTTGTCGCTGATGCCACCCGCAAGGAAGATGATATAGCAGAGAACCAAGGCTTGAATACGGTCCAATTGGTCTTGCAAATCTGTGCGCGTTGAGTTACTTAGACTCATGTTATTGACGCCTGCGGTCAGGAGTTGATGGTAGAAAGGCTTTTTTGCGCGTTTGCACGTTCGATAGGCAGCGCAAACCCCGTAAGCTTCACGCAAAAGAGGTGGAAGATCTGATGTGCGATCGACTAATGGCTCAATAAGTGGTAATGCGCCCGTATCCAAGAAATGGTCAACATAACCAAGGAACGTTCTGATGCAAAACCCCCAGGTTTCTCTGTCATCAACGCGGGGCCAAAACTCCAATACTCTGCGTTCGAGTCGGGGTAAAGCTGAAGATGAACCATCTGCTGAGCCGGGAAGATAGAGCCAGCCAGGCGCCCCTTGAAAAAAATCCCAGGCTTCACCAGAAGTTACTGTGCCCTCTGGCAACCACAATGGATCGAGAAAGTCATCTCCTTGATTGACGATCATAGATTTCCCTATCCAAGCATCCAACGGGCCCAGTTCGCGGCTGCCCGAGCCAGTAGGACTGATCTCCAGATTGGATCCAATATGGGGCTCAGTTGCTGGAGTCTGATTGTCCTTAGCCTGCGGAGGCGGATACGGATAGTGGCACGCAATAGATTTCTTACGACAGCGAGAGCAACTTGGGAACCCAAGGTCACAGCGGCGTTTGGCAGTCACACATGACCGACAAGATGTTTTGCGAAGAGACATGGCAAAGTCAGAGCTAGAATGATACTGAGATGAAGCTGAGCATTCAGAAATGATGATCAGTGTGTCTTTTGAGCGGCAGCTTATGCGTTGTGGTTGCATTTGCGGACAAATGTGGGCCGGTGGAGTGACGTGGGGCCTCACTATCTACAGCCAATCATAGGTAATCCGTTCAGCTGACAGCTCTATCAACGACGGATTACTGACAAAAGAGGGCATCCAGAATAATCAGGCTCTCAGACATTCTTCATGATTGATGGAGGCGAATGACTGTAAAGCTAACTTGGGGCTTAGGTGCAAAAACCATTTCGGGCCCGTGCAAACTTCCGTCGAGGGCTTTGGGCCATTTCAACAATCGATAATAAGGCTTATACACATTGATGTTCTAAAGTGATAATGTCAGACTCTCAACGGAGATTAAATACAAACTCATATTGACTCCTAGCCAGTTAAAAACATAATTTTGAGGGCAAAAGAGGAAAGCAGAAAGGTAGGTAGGTCAAGTCTGCGGTCCGTTGCTCCCTATCCAGCTCGGCTTCCCCCTTGACGTAGTCTACAATGGCAAGAAACACCAATTGGAGGATAAATAAGACAAAGGTACTATAGAAGAAAAGAGACAGAATCGCAGGGGATCATAATAAGAGCGGATATAGAACTAATAAGCACTTGCGACCCTTCTATAGTGTAACAACAATCTTCTTCGCACTCACTCCCATTTTCTGAACCTCCAATGCATGTTGAAGCTGGTCCAGTCCATGCCCAACAACCTCGGGTTCAGGCGCCGGCACAAAGCTGCGATTATCCAGGGCCTCGCTCAGGAAGCCCCGCCACACGGCTTTGCCAATACCATTCGTGAGCATCGGTTCAATTACCACCAATTTATACCTGATTCCCCTGGTGCGACTCTTGATGGCGTAGGAAATCATCGACGACAGAAAGTACAAGATTGTGTACGGTGTTCCGAAGACCTTCGGCGGCTTCTGTGGGACAGGATAGCTGGCCATTGCGATGAACTTATTGCCTCGTTCGCACCTGTTGAGAATGTCAAACAGAGCGTTAGCAGCGGTCACGCCAATGGCAACTGCTCCAGCCGTCGTTTTCCCCTTCATAGCAGCAATCATATCGCGAACCACAGTGGGACTGTTGTAATCGAATACACGCGATGCACCCATCCTTTCCAGCAGCTGGAAGTTCCGGGGTGAACAGGTAGTAAAGACCTCATAGCCAGCCGCAACGGCCAGTTGAACAGCGTTGAGACCAACACTAGTCGATCCTCCCCAGATAATCACCGTTTGCCCGTTAGATTTCGGCTTAACCGGTTGAGGAAGGGCTAAATGTAGCTGCTCATCGTGGAACAGACTGGTGGCGGCTGTCATAAAACCCAGAGGCAGTACAGCCGCCTTTTCGTAAAATATATCATCCGGGATCCTGGTGACGACGTCCTCAGGCAGGACAGTGTACAACTGAAATGCGCTTTGCGCCTGGTCGCTGACGGACTTGCTGATTCCAGGGGCGTAGCCAACGACCCGGTCGCCAACCGTAAATTGATTCACGCTCGTGCCAATCTCAACAACCTCGCCAGCGACGTCGCAGCCCAAGGTAAATGGGTATTGGGCGTGCGATACGGCCATGCGACCACGGTCTTGAATTATCCAGTCAAAAGGGTTCACTGCCAGGGCAGCGTTCTTGACGACGATCTGGTTTGCCTTTGGCTTTGTGTATGGCGCAGACATTACCAGAAGGGGCCGTCCGGCGTTGACGAGCTTGGCTGCTTGGTTGGTGGGAGGCATGGAGAGAGCTGTTCCGATCTTTGCTGGGAGAACGTATAAGGGAGAATATCGGCAGATGATGTAGTGCTCACGTAGTCCACTATTCAAGATAGAGCTTTGAAGACGGATGACAGTGTTCGTTCTTGTATATGTTGTGGTGGTTGGCAATATATACTATTGGAGAAAGTCTCTGTGAATTGGAAATTGATACTGTTCGGTGATAAGTTCAGAACCTGACAATGACCATCCGCCCTCACCTTCCTCGGTCCACGGCGCATCCTGCTAGTTTTCTCTATCTCATCTCAAAGTCAGCGCGGACAATGAATTACATGCTTCAATCACAGTTGCTGAGGAATAGTAGTTAACTCCGTATTGGCGGATGGTGATTTAGCCCAAAAGGGAAAGGCGCGGACGGAGAGTCGGATGGTCGGATGGTCGAAGCAACGGCCAGGCTATTATTACATCCCATCACTGCGGGGATGTCCATGGCTCTCGGAGTGTTATCTCCAGCCATCATCTTTAAGCCGAAAAGAACTTTCTCGACAATTGCCGGTCCAGAAAGGAGCAATCGATTCCACGTGTGTCAGACTGATGGCGTCGCGGCCTCTTCCCCCTCTCAACCGGCGCAGAGACAAGCCGCAACTGTCGTGCACTCTCTGCAAACGGAGAAAGTAAGCATTTCTTCCCATCGCAACCTGCAAATTTGTGCGCTAAACATTAAGATTGAAATGCGACCGTGGTCTACCGTGCGGGACATGCGCTTATCGCGGCCTGTCGCTGTCGTGCACATATCCAGCTTCGGCTCCGTTACAGAGCGGGAAAAGAGTCATTCAGCCGTCGTCGACGGCGATGCATGATCGAGTCGCACAGTTAGAGAAGTTGGTTTTGTCATTGAAGGATTGCGAGGACAGCAGTCGCGCACAGCATTCATTCTCAGCTGCTCAAGCTAATCATCCCGCGGATGCGTCGCAGCTGCCGTCGACCTTCGGCAGGATCAGTCTAGAGAACGAAGAGACTAATTACGTTGAGGGCTCACACTGGACGGCCATTCTGGATGGAGTGAGTAGTTCCTCCTCTCTCGAGCAGAGACACAGGAACCACTAAGAGGATCAATAGATTGCCGAGCTGAAGGATTTCTTCGACGACACCGACGTGCCCCAGCCGGCTGAATTAAATACCAGTCGTATGGGCTCGGAGTGGAACCTTCAGGCGCGCCGACCTGCACTTATCTTCGGAGATGTTCAGTATCTCGATAGAGACGAGATTCTGGCATCAGTTCCACCGAGGCCAACGGTGGATCGACTCTTAGCCACGTACTTCAACTCGAAAAATATCAATACTCGTAAGCAGTGCCCTCCATGTGTTTCATTCCTCTCTACCAACTAATACATTCAGTTGCCATTCATGGCCCGACATTCTTAGAGGAGGTATGGAAACTGTCACACCCAAATAGGAGTATCTCTGACGGGATGCTAGTATGATCGATTTTGGGAATGTCCAGCAAAGGCCTCTATCATGTGGATTGGTCTTCTATTCTCCATGATTTGCTTGGCAGCAATACATCAGCAGCTTGAAAGACCAGCCTCCGACCAGCCGGCATCACTCGCGCAGGATTTTGAAGAAATACATGGAATGCAGGTCTACCGTGACCGGGTTGGCCAGTGTCTTGCTCTAGCGGACTACACCAAGTGCGTGCCATACACCATCGAAACGCTCTTACACTACTTGGCGATTGAATACCTCAATATCACCGACAGCCAGACCAGCGTTTGGATCCTACTGGGCATTACTGTGCAGATAGCGTTACGTATGGGCTATCATCGCGACGGATCCCACTCTTCGCATTTGTCGCCGTTCCAGGCCGAGATGCGGCGCCGAGTGTGGGCAATCATCTTTCAACTCGACTCAGCAGCGGCCGGGCAATATGGCCTTCCGCGCATGATCAACGCGGGCAAGGTAGATACTGCGGAACCTCGAGATCTCAGCGACGACGCCCTTGGCCCCGAAATGACAGAATTGCCCCCGTCTCGATCCGACTCCGCGCCAAGCTCTATTCAATTTTTAGTCATGAAAAACAGACTGGTGTCCACCTTCAACCTCGTCATTGACCTTACAAGTTCGCCGAAGCAAGTCGTTTCCTACGCGGAAGTTATGAGACTGGATAGGATCCTGAACGAGCAGTTTACATCCATGCCGGTTCCGCTACGCATGCGTTCAATGAGCAGACAACTCACGGATGCCTCGGATGTGATTCTGAATAGAGTGTTTCTAGCCTTGACCTTCTACAAGTCGCGCTGTATACTGCATCGAGAGTACATGCTGGCGGGTCGGTCGGATAGTCGATACTTGTATTCTCGCAGGTCTTGTATCAACGCTGCCTTGGAAATCCAGCACATCCAAGCTAGTCTGCACGAAGAATCCCAGCCTGGGAGGCGTTTCTATCATGAACGATGGAAATATTCCGCCTTGGTCAAGCATATCTTTCTCCTAGCAACCACAATTCTCTGTGTCGACCTCGACTATAGCATCCGAGACAGAAATAACGAAAGTGGAATCACGGATGAGTTTTCAGACCGAGTCGTTCAATCATTGACAAACTCCTGCTCCATTTGGCTCCAATCAAGCGACAAGTCCCGCGAAAGCCAAAAGGTTACCGAGATGCTGCGAATTGTGCTTGGAAAAGTACGGACGAATGACGAATCAACCTTGACGGAAAGTAGTAATGATTCTGCTTTTTTTTCGACATGTCTGTATATATTTCCCCTTGAGTTTGCACCATTCCATAAACAACTAGCTAATCGGTAGGTAGGTCCTTCTCCTCTATCATACGACCAATCCTCCTACCCAACGTTTTCAACAGATCCGCTGCCGTTTGTAAACAATCCGTCTTTCTCAAATCAGCTACCTCATAGTACAGGTGCACTACATAACTTGGACAAGGTGGGTGAGCATGGTCTTTCAAACGATGATACCTGCTCTTCCCTCCGCAAAGTCTGACGCGCTGTTTGTAGGGTGAATGGCTCGATTATGATTGGACGGGTACTAGTGTTATGGACGACATCATTCAGCAGTCTGAGGGTTGGACTGGGTTTAATATGCCGTAGTGCGCTATTCTCCTGATATCGAGGTATAGAATGGGACAGGAGGGCATTGTGGTTGTCGCTCTGAAATGCCGAATTTACCATATATGAAATATTAGCCCACTATAGATGATTAGCGAGTACCTATTTTGCAGAAAGGAGTGAAACTAGCTTACGCTCCTGGTACGGGCTATAATCCACACGAGGAGCTAAAATAGACAAGGCCGCCATGCTTGCCTTATATTAGGCCAAGTTTGGTACTCTCCCTCTCCCACTCCCCTGAGACGTATACATTTGACCGGTCCTCTTGTTGCCCACGCCAGCGGCTACTTTAACGCAATATCTACGAGTCTGACAAGAAGTCTTGAACAATCATAAGGACTATTGCCTGGCTAGACCAATTGCCAATCAAACTGCTTCTTCTCATCGCCAAGTCCTTACAAGACCAGAGCGACATTTATGCTTTAATGCAAACCAACCGAAATATCTACCACTATTTGCATTTCTTCCCATGTCAATATAATATCCAGCACCATCAGGGCTCAGATCAAAGAGACTACTCCATGCTGGCGCAAACATCACACTCTTTGAGAGCCGAGAAGAAACAGAATTTGTCCCGGAATATGATCGTGTGAAGATTGAGAACCTGCTCTTGATTGCCGCGCAGGGTGGGCATATGGCACTCCTCAAATGCATGCTTTCTGAAACACAGCCCGGCAAAGCATGCTCACCAGCTCAGCTGCACACTGTTCTTCAGTGGGGATCCAGTTCCGTGACTGTGAGCTCATGGATCTCATGATTCATCATAAGGCCCCCTTGAATCCAGTAGGAGAGGAGCGGGAAGCGCTTTCTGCCCTGGGGGATGCTGTTCTCTCACAAGACATCTTCATCATTCTGCATCTACTTGAGGCGCGGGCGCAGCCAGGACAGAACGAAGACCCGTGTCCATCGCGAGGGCCATAGAAACCGATCAACGTCAAGTCGTTGAGGTTCTTCTTGAGCATGGCATCCGACTCAACAGTATGCTTTACCGAACGAGCCTAAAGTGCCGTCAACTTCTAGTGACATACTTGTGCAATACTAGAGAGTAGAGGAATAAACAAATATGAACACAACACCGCCGGATTTAGCTATTGGTGGGCCGGAATTCTGATACTGTAGACGAAGCTGTGCGCATGACTGTGACTGCATCGTCTCCGATCTTTGCGTAAGTATTTCCAGATCAGTACACGTATAGTCTCAGACTTATATTCCGCACTCTATTGTACATCCCAACTGAACTAATAAGTGAGGGTGGCTATCAATGTATAAAGTCAAGGTAAAATAGATCGAGGGAGTTCTCCCATCTGCGGCGTACATGTGCCATAGCGAAGTCCCAAGTGTTCGGCTCACTCATATCCAAAGCCTGAGTTTAGAGCAAAGTACTCCATACCAACGCATAAGACAAAGATCAAGACCAATCGCCCTCGTCAATGACTGGCTCGCGTCTGTCCGAAGCGTCCATAAGCTCCTTGACAGTCCATGGCTTATAACTGTAGCCCGGAGGGATATTGGTGTTCTGAAACGCTTTCCCTGTAAGAATATGCTGAGCACAAGCATCGTAGTTATCATATGCGTACTGCTCTGGGTTGTGGCGCATAATCCAGTCCGCAGTAGTCTTGCTGAGGAGATCCGGATTCCTGGCAACCTCGTCCCAGTCCGTGTTATGGAACTTTTCTCGGTGATGAAATCCCGTTTTTTGGGCACACGAGACACGCTCAAACCTGCGAAGCCTCCATCAGTATGTCTGCTGCGTTCCAATTTGGATGGAATGAGCACTTGCCTGAGACGGTTGTGGACCCTTACAGCCAAAGGAGCATTGGACTTTCCACCAAACTGTAAGCAGGCTGCCAGAGAGTACGCATCCTCCATGGCCATTGCTGCTCCACTCCCTGAAGTGGGCAAGAATGAATGCGCAGCGTCTCCAAGCTGGATGACACGAGCATTAGGTGAAGCCCACTTTGGTTGTGGATTACGCCATAGCAGCTTCCAGTCAGTGCAACGGTGACCTGGTGTTGCCTTGACAAGCTCCGTTAAAAAGGGTTCCCAGCCATCGATGTACTGCAGAGCAGTATCTGTGGATACGGTCTTGTCCCAGTTTTCATCAGCATTGTGGTCGTCCTAGAAAGCCGGGATTGATTAGTCCGTTTCCTGACACCAAAATCATCAGACGTACCCTATGCGTCAGTATATAGCATATCTGCCTTTCCGTTTTGCCCACTGCCACATGCGCTCCAGGGCCTATGTGTATCGATGCGCGATCTGCATGGCCCTCAAACTCTTTTGCAATGATCGGGTTCTCCAGGGCTGGACCTGCCGGGAAAGTCGCCCTATAACAGGCAAAGCCCGAGCTGGTCGGCACGTCCTTTTCTCCCAGGACCAAAGGCCATGACTTTGAGCCAACACCATCGGCAGCGACGACGATATCCGCTGTCAGCCTCTGTCCATCAGCTAATACCACGCCTCCATGCGTGTCAGTCTCAAAGTATTCATCTACCGCTTTCGAGAAGTCCACTTCGATACCCATTTGCCGCACATAGTCCCAGAGCAAGCCATGAAGCTCAGAACGATTAAGGGCTGCAGATCGGCTCACCCCGTTGCCAATAGGCCAGCTCCCGATCCACGTTCCGTCAAATTTCTTCACATTTCGCTGGGTTTTGTAGGATATGGCCTCGAGCCTGTCGTAGAACCCAGGCCATTTCTTGACTGTATGAAGCGCATTGCATTCTATCAGAAGTAGGTCGCCTGTCGAGATAAAACCGTGAGATAAAGGCCGTGAGTAGGCAAGGGTTTCACTTACCATAGCCATCGAAACTTGGCCGTTTCTCCAAAACCCGGACCTCATGGCCCTTGCGATACGCCTCAATTGCAAACGTGAGACCACCGATTCCACCACCCACTATGAGAATGGACAGCCCGCTGGGCGGACAGCGATCCATAATGGTAGATGCTTCTTGACTTCCCATGATTGTAATCTCCCAGAATTTGGTTGGACTCTTGGATTGGTTTGATAGGAGATGACCTGGCCAGACCTTCGCTGCCCTTTTATACCCGATGGAGGGTGTTGTTTTGATCCCATTACTTCGGCTTCACTTTTTCCAGAGGGCAGCGGATGAGAAGAGAGCTATTCTCTTCTATTGCGTCTTGCGGTCTCACCCTCATACATCACCCCACTCAGTGTGTTCCATACCGTTTCTCAAGTGGATCGATTTTCCTCGAAGTGCATAACCACCTAAAGCAGGATGCTAGTCTTGGAAGGCACATTGCCGATCTGCAGAGTAACAGCTGCTAGGAGACATCTTCAACTATGAAACGGTGCTTCTTGGCATCCTATCTACCTCTCTATGCAAGCCCGGAACAGGCATGTTTCTGGTCCAGCTCTTCCGCTGAATAAGCGGGCTGTGTTGTGTTTCACATTTAGTTCAATGACCCTTGCGATACGCCTCAATCGCGAAGGTGAGACCACCGCTTCCAGGTATCCCCGCTCTTCAGTGAAGATAGCTTTACTAGATTGCTTCCATTTACTACATATGTCTGTGTCACTTCAATAATCGTAGTCATCCTCCTCAAATGGTTTTGAATACTCCTTCTCGCGCGCCATACTATCATAGTCACTTCCCATTACTCTGCGCTCCAATATTCGTTCTAGACTGAGCCGAGTCTCATCCAGTGTCTCATGCAGGGGAAAGTAATTATGGACAAAGAAATCTTTGAGAAGGCCATTCAATGGCTGAACTGGCTCGATGATCCGATCATATAGTCCCCGCGCCCTAGCAACTTTCTCTGGATGCTCTGGATCCCAGGGTCGGTTAGTACGAGGAGACAGGCTCAATTCCAGTGTGAAGTTCGGGAGATTGAATGACTGAGAGATGACTTTCATGGTGTTGATCCAGTCCACTGTCTCCCTATCGTTTGGACGGAACGCGTCGCCATCCACGGGAGAAGGAAATATCCAATGCACCCGGCGGAGGTACTTCCACGAATATTCAGGGAAACCGTGTAAGAAGCCTGATGTTTGTGGAGTCCATGCTGTGGTGTCTGGAGAATGTGATTGATCGTACCAAACTTCGAATGTATTTTTGGAGTAGTACACAGACAGCGCGAGTTCTCTTATGCTCTTACTGACAAACCATATGTCTGGAAGTTGCCAACAGGGATGAGCCGTAGAAAAAGCGGTATGTGTTGCAGGGCACCAACATCCTTGATCAACAAGATATGGATGAGGTCGTGCATTACAAGCGAAATACCAACAATCACGAGGGAGGAACCGCTTGAACCATGATATCAGTATTAGCGGTAGAGGTGCAGCTAGCTCTGTGAATTCAAGTATGCGGACTTGGAGTTCCACCGGAAGATCGAGGAATCGGAATACCCCCGGTCGCGCCTGACGTATGAAAAATCCCGTCTTTTGGCCTATTGTTGCCATCAGAGCTTGTTGGAGATCGAGGTTGCGACGTGGCCCTGCACGGATGGAGAGTTCTCTGAGTCGGGGAAGCTTTTGCAGCGGCTCTAGAAAGGCTGCGAGGGTCTTTTTAGTAGCGGCGCCACAGATCAAACGAATTTCCAGCTGGTCGTCTTGCTTGATATGCGTTGCTAACTGGTGACATATCTGCTTCCACATGCCGAGCACACCATTCTTTTCGAGTTGGCTATCATTTTCGAGGACTTCCTCGGCCGTACCATGGCAGGCCTGCTTCCCTGGACCGAGACAGTACTCGGCACCGATCCGGATTGCAAAACGCCTTAGGGATCCCCATCCAATGCGGCCCATATTAGATAGACTCCGCAAACCACAGCCCATATCATATTGGAAGCAGAAATGGTTCTCGGAATAGAAAGTGCGACGAGCATCTTCAGATACACTGCGTGACACGAAGAATAGTTGATTTGGAAACCATGGTTCCTGGCCATGGCCTGGGAGTGATTCAGCTTTCCTGAAAAGTCTTTGCTCGCGGGACGACCATTCCCCGACAGCTTGGCCGGTACTGAGATCAAGCTCGAAGTCAACAACGAGGCCTATTTCGCGGTATATTCTGAGGCGGATGATATAAGGGAGGCGCAGAAAGTATGGTTGATTTGCCATTATCATGGCGCTAGGTTTGAAATCAATAATGCACGGTGGTTAGGCCTTAGCTGGAGAAGAAGTTTACTTATATTTCTCCATGATTAGGCATCACACGCTAAGAATAGGCACCAAGTTGGTTAAATGATTAGATGTTATTCAATATGCATCCTGCGCCACACCCGTAGTCCAGGACTAACAACTTGCATAGCCCTAAGCAACTACCTTATCTGACCATTTTCCGCCCCCACAGCAAAAGACTGGAGCATATATCGAGATCTTGAAACATTTTTCTGAGAATCATCTTCATCCTGTGCGAACTGCGAACTCCCTATTCAACCTTGCATACATCACCAGTATGCTGCTACAAACCACCAAAAACCTTGCAAGACACCCTGACTCCAATAAACACCTGAGGAAATAATCCCACCAAGGTTTTGAAACATACATAACAGGCCCAGCGCAACCGCACGCTCAGAGCTTGATCTCGTATTGGCGCCAACCCATGCCGAAATGAGCAGGAGCGGGAGAATAGTCCCTGAGATGATTAAGTAGATTACGTGCTGTGCACCGAGCAAGGGGTTGGTATACTCAAGATTGATATCTACTATCCTATGGTTTATTCTTATATACTGCAATAATATGGTGTTAGTAGACTGAGTGGTAGCACAGCAAGCAAATTCAGCGCGATTAACCCGAGGACGAAGGTCTCCTTCAATACCTCTGCTAGTATACAGGCAAAAACATGACTATCAACGTGCTTAACCGCACCTCGGGTTTCAAGACCTACTACATTTCGCGTACGACCTTTTGCTGAACAGAAATGCCGCGTCCAGTTCATGAAGCTCAGTTCGAAGAGAAAGTAGAGACACTAGTGGCAATGATCTTCTGTTCCTCCCCGCCCCGGGACCTCACTTTATAAATCCGCCTCACTACTTACCATGCTGGGCATATTTGCTCCTCATCCGGATCTTCTTCCCGAATTTGTACGACAAAAAAGGATACGGCATGAATACCACTGTCAAGCAACCAAGCAATGTACAAGCCCACCCGACACCCAGATTATGGAACATCGCAGTCGCAAATAGGGGAAAGCCGCCGCCGAAAGATGAGCGTAAGAAGTCATTCCCGGCGAGGACTGAGGCTGCATATTTCGGATACGCATGTGCCTCGTAGCAGAAAATGCTGTTGAAGATAAGATATCCCCCAAAGGAAAATAGCATGGAAGCAATGATAGGCACGATCCAGTGGACGCTGGCGAAGTTTCCTGTCCACCCAAACCAGAACAGGGAGATTGGTAGACACACGGCTCCCAGACATGCTGGGGGGAGGTGTTCTTCGGGGGAAAGATAGCCGTCCGGGTCGAAATGTTTGGATTGTCAGCGATATTTCCAATAGAAGTACGCTGGAACAGCAATGAACACAGCCCCTATCATAATACCCAGGAATGCCAGGCCATTTTGTCCTGGATTGAAGCCGTGTTTTTCTTCAAAGACGATTGGAAAGGCCTCGAACCAGATATACAGAATTCCATAGATAAGAGCGATGTAGAGATTCATCCAAAATACAATGGGTTCGAGGAAGCAAAGCACAAATGGACGGACGAGGGCTTCAAAGAGGACATCCTATTTCGACCGGTCAGTTACTGAGGATCTAGTAACCCAGCTCTTCCACGGCGGCTTACCCTGGGAGCCACCTGAGCAATCTCAATTTCAGCCTCGGACGCATATTTCTGATCGTTTGTGATGCGGCGAATACGCCGTGCGCGGCGACTGAAGATGTTAGGGGCAAATGTCTCGGGCAGAAAAAAGAAGAGAAGCACGAGGGCAAAGCCGGATATCCAAAGCAGCTCCCAGATAGTCCACGTCCATCCCTTGGCGGAAGATGCGAAACCCCCAACGAGAGGGCCCAGCACAGGAGCGGCAATGGCAAAGCATGCCCAGACCGCAATCATATAGTCGCGGATTCTAGGGCTCCACATATCCCCCATCGAGGCTCCCCCTGTCGCAAGAACGGGCGAGCCCAGAAAGCCGGTTAGGAATCGAAATGCTAGGAGCATGCCAAAGTTCTTCGCGTAGATCACTGCGAATTGAAAGAAAACAAACACTACTAATGTTGCAACATATACCGGACTCCGTCCCACCGCGGGAAGCTCTGATATCGGTGCCCAAATCATGGGTCCTCGATGACATTCAGTTAGTATTGACTCGGATCCATGGGATGCGTTTGAAAAATGCAGCTCACCCAGTCCGTATCCGACCACAAATAGTGTCAGACCGAGAATTGCAGCTTCTCTACTCACACCAAACTGCTCAGCCACACCCGGTATTCCAGGTGTGTAGATCGCGGAACCGATATAGATGGAAAATGTAAGAAGGCAGATGAGTAAACTGACTAAGACCTTCTTGCTGATGCTCCAATTTTGAGGATTCTGCCAACATCAGCTCGAAATCTCACCTTGCAGGCTGAGACACTGTTCGAGAATCCTTGACGAGCATCCTTGAATGGTATCCTACCTCGCTATCATCCGAGCCTCCCCAACCGATTACCACAGGTGATCCCTCTTTTACCCCTCGCCATGGTCCTGCCAGGACGCTTTTCAGAGGGGGCCTTTGCCGCCTGCGGAGGGAAGCTTGCGACATAACCGTATACAAGCCATACTGCTCGCCGATTTCCTCGCTACCGGCCGTTGAAGTTGCTTCTTCATGGGCCTCCGGCGTCTGGAGGTATTTCCGCCAAGCCGTAATATCTGCTTCTTCCGGGTACAGGAGGAGACGGTAACCGCTAAAGAAGCGAACTAGCTTGCCGAAAGCTGAATCGCGAATTGTCTCCATCATAAGGTGTAGCCTGCAGAATGCTTTCCCAAGCGAAGAATTCCATGAGTTAAGTTTGTAGTGAGGCAATAATTTCAGTCATTCATCCCTTGATGGTCTTCTCCACGCGACTCCGTGGCCTTTACGGTCGAGACTTTCAGATCCTCGGTAGGCCATACCGCTGACATCAGGACCTCGAAGGGTCCATAAACTAATCGAAAATAAGGTTTAGTAGCTCTAGCCGGTGGCTGATCGTCTTTAAGGTTTGTGGGGTCCGCTATATCGCAAAAATAAAATATCTCCCTGGGAAGAAACGAGACCCTCTGTATGGCCAATGCGTATGGGCCCCTGGTCAGTGACTGAAAAATGTGGTGACTATTCCGTCTACTAAGCACAGTGCCACAGTTTTAGCTGGCGCTTTTCCTATACCAATACTTGTTCTCACCTCTTGCTTAAAGTAAAAGTTGTCTTAAGTAGTGAACTGGGTTGGAAAATAAGTAAGGCTTGACGTTCTCGCTTTCCTTATAAAGTATATTTCATAGCCTGTCTTCAATCAAAAGCATCTTTTCTTCAGCCCTGGCTCTTCTCCTTTCTTCAGCTGCTTGTTCATCTTTTGTTCATCGTTTGTGTGTGTGCTTGTGTCTTGATTGGATAAATTATGTGCAACTGGTAGGAATACCTTACGTTTTGGGGAGCTGCAAAAAAGCCGTCAGCAGCTACGTTCCGCATCTCTAATAATGAAACAGCCAGAATTGAGCCCGGTACTTAAATCATGCATTACTATTGTTTTAGAAGTAGCAGCCGTCTCGAAAGGAATCTGCGGCCGCTGCGAGATCTTCAGGCTCGGATCCGAGACGTGCGTGGCTAAATGATGTGGCGGAGGACAGGGCCGACAGGCTAGTAATGAACAGCAGACGGTCGTTGAAGCCTGTCAAAGGAAACCCCGGAAAGTGGTGTGTTATAATGCTAAAAGTTTGGGAAGATCGCTGGCTTCCTGCCACGGAACCCTGGGCCGTAAAGTCTTGGGAAGCTTCCGACATCAGTGGTGTGACCGTTCCTCAACTCGGGTATTCCCTTTACTCCACCTGGTACATTATAACAAGGTAGATTTGAATTTATCAAGCTTCTCTCATCGTCACTGAGCAAAATGATGCTCACTGAGCTCGCCACCGTCGCTTTCCGCGTAATGCTTTGTCATCCTCTCATGTAATAATACATTTATCAGGACTATACGCCTCTTAATTCAGCAGAAGGCTTTTGATGGAGCGTCACTGACGGCCATCCAGTATGCAATGCTACATGCCACTACCCATCAAGCGACGGGGTGTGATAATAAAGCGAGCATTTCCTTGGAAGTCCTCGCTATCTCGTTGCCGACAGGATGGTCTCACGCTGGTGGCATGCGTCCGCAAGCTTCCCTGTTGTTGCGGTATTTCCCCGACGCTCCCGTGTTAGAGATTAATCTGACCGACGAGGCATCCAGGGAGTACTATGTTCGATGGCCATAATGTTCAATATTTGCACTGTATCCCAAGGATGGCGTGAGATAATAGACCCCGATGGAAGTGCAAGCATTATAGCTCAGCCGGCTTGGTACGTTCTGCACTCTTTTCTCCGGCCTCGAATTGAGCTAATAATCAACCCTATCAAGGGCTGTCGCTCTCAAGGCTCTGTCGTTGGCATTGTCCGTCATCGCTTACATCGTACTTCTGCTTACGATGATGTCCAAACGTGATTCGGTCAAGGGATTTATCGTGACCATACTATGCTGGTGTGCCTCGGCCGCAATATTAATTAGTATCATCGGTGTTACAGCCCAGCAAGACATAACGGTGGACCCTCAGCAGACACTGCAGTATACACAGAATTTCTTCTATGGGACATTCGCTGCGAGCCTCTACACACTGGTTGCTGTGCTGTTGGCAACCTACACACGTAATATGCACTCTGTCCATCTGACGCATGAGGAAAGACAGAGGGTAGAATGCACAAGCATCATCCTGCGCGTGACCGCTTTCAGTGCCTTTCTTCTTGGGGGCGCTGCTGTCTACGCGACCATTGAAGGTTGGAGTTTTATGGATGCAGTATATTGGGCTGACACCACTCTTCTGACTATCGGCATCGGAAACATTGCCCCGAAGACTCACCTTGGACGAAGCTTGTTATTTCTGTATGCCACTGCGGGAATCATGACTATAGGTCTGGTCATCAGCTCGATCACATCATTCACCGACAATATGCGAGACCTAAGCATCAGAATCAAGATCGAGGAAGTGCACAGCGGTCTGCAAGGGCGTCATATCATCGGTGGATCTCCTGGCAGCAGCCACAATGATAAAGAGAAGCAATCCCTTCAATTGCCAGCCGATCCTTGGTACCCACACAAGGCCGACCTGCTGAAAGCGCAACGTATCAAGCGTGACTTCTATAGAAGACACCGATGGATGACTCTGATCTTCTCCGGGGCAGCATGGTTTTTTCTCTGGCTAGTCAGTGCTGCGATTTTCGGTCGCTCCGAGAGAAGCCAGCATTGGAGCTATTTTCAATCGCTGTACTTCACATACACATCCCTGACAACCATCGGCTACGGAGATTTATACCCCACGAGCAACTTTGGCAAGGCGTTTTTTGTGTTCTGGTCCCTTCTTGCTGTTCCTGTGCTGACAAACCTTGTTGGTGCCATGGGCCAGCTGGGATTTGAGAAGTTAACTTATTTGTTGCGCTATATCTGGAGACTCGAAGCTTCTAGACTAGGTCTGCGGCGGTGTACTCCAGGCGGAATGAACCCTGATGCTGACGGTGAAGGGGGGAGAAATAGATCTGTCGCAGGCCCAGAGCCACAAGGCCTGGTCAATGACGGCAATAGTCATGGCCGAGGACTCGCAAATGCCAGGCGACAATCCAACAATGTACAAGCCAGCAGTTCAAGTTATCAAAGGAAAGAGTGTTGTGAATCTCTTGCCCAAGCTGCTGAGCGCTCCCTTTTGCTTAGCCAAGAGATCAGCAAGCTCGTATCTACTCTTCAAAGTGCGTCTACTCCTCAGCCAGACCTGTCCAGTGAGTGGGAGAGGATTCTTTCAATGCTCCATCCTGAAAGCGATGAGGAGGGTGACTTGTTCGAAACCACGCCTCTTGGATTCTTGCATGGGCATCCGGGAGCTGTGGCGGAATTTCTAGACTCCAACAGATCGGCTACGGACAGGAACAAGGAAATCTTGTGGATGCTCAAATTCCTGACGGACAAGATCTGTTCGCATCTGCGGGACGGGTTGCAGAGGGAGCAAAGTGAAATGTCAAACACAGAGTCTTGAGGAATATAGGTTCGCCGAGAATACACTACAAGATAGACAACAGCCGTTCTGGATATCCTCTAGATCATCCAGCGCATCAAATACTTAATGACAACTAGACTTGAAGTTCGACTATCTGTATCTGGATAGCAACAACTGGTTGCGTCTATTATGATATTTTACTTTACTGTTCTATCAAGACCATGGTGCATTTATCACTTCTGGCCATGTATCAAGAGTAAACACTGATATTAGAAAGTTTACCCCCTTCTGTCTATGCTATCAGATATTGATTAAACACAACCATCAATACTGACATCAGCCCTGATTAGACCCATCAAAGTTTGCTCTCCCTCGCGGCCATCTGCTCAATATTAAAAAACTGGGAGTAATACTTCAAGCATTCAGGGTTTGAAAGTGTACTAGATGGCTGGATGTGTACTCCGGATATAATCTGTTTCACAGGCAGCTCGACCTTTTTGAAATTCACCGTCACCTGGTAAATTCAGCATCAGCCCGGTTTCTAGTAAGGCAATCCCCTTGACAGACGAGAACACTCACGGGTATTTCAGGAGTGGGAAAGATATAAGATGGAACGTGACGTGCACTCAGCCGTCTCCGAATGGCGGCCCTCACTCTATTGACAAGATCTGCAGTAAAAGTAGCGTTCGGCTTCATCTTGAGGAACAATACCACCCTTTCGTCGTTGTCAGAGGGTCTCCGCTGGCCTACACAGAGTGAGTCTTCGACCTCATTGGCAAAGTCGCTCTCGATCACTTGGTAGATCTCCGATGAGCCAAATCGGACGCCTGACGGATTGAGAACCCCGTCCGCGCGTCCGTGGAAGAACAGCTGTTTGGTGATGGGGTGGATGGAGACAAAGTCTCCGTGTGTCCAGACGCCTAGTAGACACCCGGATCAGTTAGCCTCCATACCCCAGAATTCCGGCTAATTCCCGCCTGCACCTGGACTCTACCATACCGTCGAAATGAGCAAAATACGCCTTGTGATAACGTGTGTCGCCGTCCTCACCCCAAAAGCCAACCGGCATGTTGGGAAAGGCTGCCGTAGCCACCAGTTCCCCCGGTGTGCCATCGGAAACGGGCACCCCCTTGGCTCCACCCCTGTCGATGGATGAATCATACACCTCAACGGGAATGCCAAGGGCCAAGCCGGCGCACCCACCCACATGCACCGGTAGCAGGGAATTGCCAGTGCCAAAGGAGCCCGCGATGTCCGTCCCGCCGGAGATATTGTTCAGACGGACATTGGGGGGGAAGCCGGAATCGTAGAACCATTCGAAAAGGGAGTCGGGAAGGACCATTCCCGTGCTTGTGACCAGCTGTAGACAGCGTAGGTCCGCGATCTCTCGTGGACTGATCTTGCGTCGCTGCAGTTCGTACAGATATCGGGGAGATATGCCCAGGTGAGTGACCCTTTCATAAATCAGCAGCTTGTCATGCATCTTGCCTTGAGTGATGTGCAACTTGATTTGCGGTACAGGGGGGGAGATTCAAGATTTGTATGGGGGCGTACCTCTCCTTTGCAGCTAATTTGATCATCACCGAAGCATTCGGTAAGAACGGATTCCCGTCGTACAGAATAATTCGCGCCCCAAAGAGAAGGCCTTGCACCTGCGCCAGATACATGATCCAGCCCGTGGTTGTATACTGCAGGATCACGCTGCCGGAGCCCATTTCTTGATGGAGGCCTCCTTCCTTGTGAGCGTTCAACAGCACGCCCCCAACCGAGTGGACAATGCATTTCGGTTGCCCCGTGGTACCAGACGAATACACCACGAGGAACGGGTCGCGGAACCGCACTCGTTCAAACTCCAGACGATCATGTGGCGCTTTAGCGAGGAAATCGTCCAGCGTGCAAGCTCTGGGGACACCACTGAGATCGGCGGGAGACGAAAACCGGGGCTGCGCCACGACCCCCTGGAACTCAGTGACCCCGTCCAGGCCCTTGACGACTTCCACCATCTTCGAGCGCAAATCTACCTTCTTGCCATTGTACACGGCGAAGTCATCCATGAAGAGCCAAACAGGCTTAATCTGCAGCAGCCGGTCAAGAAGCCCCCTGGTCCCCATATCCGTGGACATCGAGGAAAAAATAGCACCGAGGGCTGTCGTCGCCAGGAACACGAGCAATGTGTCGAGGCTGTTGCTCGCACACACTGCGATGCGGTCTCCGCGGTGGACTCCATGGGCCTTCAGCGCCTGGGCCAGGCGTCCGGTGCGCTGGCGCAGTTCCTTCCACGTCACATATGTTGCCCCTTCGCCGCCGGCCTCGCGCACCTCGACGACAGCAACCTTGTCGTCTTCTTTCCCGCGGAGCCGGTCTCGCTCGTCGCTTGAGAAGAGAAGATTCTCTGCGAAATTCAGCCGGACACCGTTGAACCAGTGGGGGATGGTGTCCATCCGGGCTGTTTCGTCCACAACTACCTCATACGACCCGTCGTGTATGAGCTGGAAATATTTCCAGCAAAAATCCCAGAACGAGGCTCGGTGCTGGACTGAGTAGTGGTGGAGGTCATGGAAGGTCTGTGGAGTGGTCAACGACTGCTGCATCCGTGGTAGCAACGGGGTATTCGGTGCGCCGTTACTTACAGGAAAGGCCTTTCCAGTGTGGCTTTCCAATGAAGCTCGGAAACGGCCGATATTTGTCGAAGCTAGGCAGGGATGTTCCCAAAGCTTCCGGGGTACTGATGGGGTTGCCATGGCTGTGGGCGCGAAAAGACAGTAGTCAAAATGGCAGGCGAGGGTATATTGAAGCTGAGCTGAGATTTAAGGGCCTCTAAAAGAAGCCTAATAAAGCCAGGGCCTCTGAGAAGACTTATACTCTGCTGGCGATCTTCGTTCTCCTCGGCTTGATACTCTTTTCTGCCGAGGATATGAATGTGGGATCTATTTGGACTGCCCCGGGATGCATAACATTCAAAAGACCAAGAGACCAAGATACGGTACGTCTACGTTCGGTAAGTGCACTACCTTACTGGATTGAAATCCTTGGGTATTGGACTGACTTTTAATCTGGGCCATACAATTGAACATTGTACTCCATACTGCATGGACACAACGTATATGTCCCTGGATTTCCCCACATTGGGTTTCCCGTTTCCCCGTTTCCCCGCTTGTTTGTAATACCAACGCTGGGGCCCCACACGGTTCTTTGGGGCTCATCGTCCTTTTGCAATCCGTCTGATTTGCAAAGCATTGTTGGGTGGGTAGGTTCTGTTTTTAGGTAATATCGCGCCAATATGCGTATTGGATCCATTGATTTAAAGAGTATGTGTGTGCTACATTGCGGTTTGGGTGCGTATTAGCTACACCTTCTTGAAGTCAATATTTGACCAATACATATATACATCAACAAGTACTTGATGCTCTGAATGCAACCCCTTGCAATTAGACGCCGAATATACTAGCAGAAGGATCCCATCCATTGAATGAATGAACAAGGGTCCTGAATCTAGAAAACATTATCTTGCTCCTCTATAAGCGCAAGCAATGTTGAAGCAAGACTCAAAGATAGTTTCCAATGGCGTATGCTCTGCAACAGGCCGACAATCCTGAAAACCTGATTCGCAGCATTCCGCTCAACTTGAGAGTTCTTGAGTTCTGCCGCATCGATTTCGTCAACGTGCACTCCAGCTAGATTTAATTCTGGAAAATTGCGTTCCATTATAGCTCCGTTGCTGCCATGGCCAAAATGTCCAAAGCAGAACCAGATGATCCCACAATCGTAAAGACAGGTGGGAACGTGTAGTGGACATTCGGACCCAATGTGCATTGATTCGAAGTCCTTCCTGATGCAGACAGCGTGTATTAGAGATCTGGTCGCCTCGTGGGAATTTGCCCACTGGCGAGCGTATCCAATGGCTTCTTGAGCTGCCTCAGGTCCGTCTCTACCGCAGGCTCGCTCCAGGATGTCGAGGTTCGAGTATAAGAGGATGAAAGTGGAATGCCAGAGAATCCTAAGTGGATATGCCCAGACCTCACCAGGTACAGCAGTAGATAGATGCGTCTCGTACCAAGATATGAGCTTTTCCTGGCACTTCTGGATCAAATCGGGGGTGGTCGAGAAAGGTTCTTGGCATTCACAGGCCATAGCACTGATGCACTCAAGCATGGCACAGACTTCGAAGTCACTCGTCCCACCAAACCTTCGCTCCCGCATCGACCTCAAAACGCTCTGGTCGTCGCTTGGCAATGAGGTCCGGCTCCCTGACCTCTGATTCGCTTGGAGAGCAAGCTCTCTCCACGCATTTGCGTTGTTTGCCGCAAACAGCTCATCTGAGGAGATGGTCGGTAGACGCTCGGTCGCAAGACGTAGGTATGTTTCATGATGATGCATCTTCGCTAGCTCAGCATCATGGATGAAGATTCCGAGCAGAGTGCTGTGGTATATCAGTAGGTTACATCAAGGCGGAAGAAAAGGAAGGCGGTACCGTTTCCTCTCTTCTACGGTGATCCAATGCTTCCATGCGGATTGCAATTCGCCATTCGTCAGATTTGGAAGATTCGGGGGTAATGCTGGTGTTGCTGCATGGCTAAGTAGTCGGACTCTGCGCGCCCACTTGACTGTAGTCAGCATTTGCAAGCCTCTCTTGTCGACAAAACAGTTGGCCAAAACTCACTGCAATTATACTTCCATGAAAGGCCTCGATTCCCGCCAGATCTTTGGGCCTCTGCAGAAAGAAGGCAGAGATAATGTGTTAGTCTCCGAACATAGCACATAACTCAAACGCCTGAGTAGGAGGATCCCGTCGCAGGCAAAGGACATACCCCAATAAGAAGACCAAATGTTTGGCCTAATAGGGCTGACTGAATGGCCACGATACTTGAATCTGGACGTTGAGCGATCATAATGTCCCACTGCATCGTCAAAATCCCGATTAACATTCTCGCTCAAGACCGTTAGAGTCCGCTGAATGGACAGGCCATCTGACGCACCGAAGATAAAACCGCTTTTTGAAGTCTTTCAAACATGCTAATCCCGTGCTCGATTGCTCGCCGAGAACCGAGGAAGAGACTACCCACAGAGCAGACGGACAGAAGAAGAACGGCATTCTGCCTAGACGGAAGAAAGGATGGCTCATGGATAATAGGGAAGATGGGATGGAAGTAGGAGAAATACGCTTGCAGACAGAGATGCTATGTAGGCACCATGTCATCAGTCAGTTCTCCCCTCTTTATATTGCCTCCTACACCTTTATGCCTTGTTCAAAGACAGGATGCTGGGACACGGAGAATGAAGGGAAAGGAGCTTACCAGAAAAGTGGTCGAGGGTAGAATTCCGGTTTGCACACGTTGCTGAAGACGGTCAGCGAGCTCGTGGCGATAAGACTCATCAATTTGATAGCGGTCATTCGCTGGGTCTGGGGATATGAGATCCGACGTGGTCTGTCCACAGTGGGTGTGCCATTTCTCTCTGATCGCATCCCCACTCGGCGCCAATCTCGCCTCCGTTGCCTGTGTGCCAGCGCTGAATGAGTCAGGAGCAAGCGGATCCTCGTCCGGCATCCGATCAGCAGCTAATAAGTCTCCAGTAGTGGCTTGCAACAAGGACGAGTTCACGGCATCCAAGTCAAAGTTATCACCCAGCAGCCAAGAAATCCAACCCGATTCTAGCTCGACGCTAGATATATCCGTCGAATTCAGGCTCTCGTTTACCTGAAAATCAGCACCTGGATTCTGTGATAATGAGACGGGGAAATCCAACGCCGGAGACGCGTTGGTGCCACCTTCCACGGGCACAGTTGCTGTCTGCACATGTTCTGCTATAACATGAGAAGGCCTCCTTATATTTGCGACATTACGCATAGATGGTGACGAATTTGACGATGGTGACATTGGTTGGAATGTTGCCGCGCCAAGCCCCTCCAAACCAGGCGCAGTCGTGGGAGGCAGGACATGACGGGCACCGGTTCCATCCTCGCCCAGTCCATCTCTGGGACAATGGGACCGCGTATGGCGAAGTAATGTGTCTCTAACAAAAGATGTTTGCTTTTCGTGGGTAGTCTGTCAGAAGAGTGCTACACGTACTGTCTGGTATAGACCCTCCCGCAGTCCGCGCAATGGAACGGCTTCTCCTTGGTGTGGGATCTATAATGCCTCGCCAAATGTTCCGCCTTGGAGAACTCTTTGAAGCATATCGGACACACGCGTTCTTGCTTGGACGTCTTGGGTTTCCGACGGCCCACTGGTCGAGAGAGAGCACTGGATTGCATTGTCACCACATAGGAACGTGAATTGGGCCAGCTGTAGATGTCTGAATGATGATGATGATAATGATGATGATGATGATGCTGCTGCTAGTGATGGCGGTAGATGGTGATGATGATGATGCGTACAAGTGGCGGAAAGGGGCGGAGGACGGATACGGATTGTGGCAACTTCCGTCCGCCGAAATCCGGGGCTACACGTGCTATTGGTTTACTCATTACTGTTTTCTTTCTGTGTTCACTTTCAGGTTGATATTTTTTTCTTCCTCGGAGGATCCAACAATTAGAAACATCTCTCTATATCAGGTAGTAGGACTAAGGATACCGGATTTCGTTTTTGATGGACGCCACGCCTTCAATCTCCACCTCCACCACGTCCCCAGCCTTCAGAAATTCCTTGGTGAAAAATCCGACACCAGCTGGTGTGCCGGTCATGATCACAGTTCCCTTGCGAAGAGTCATCCCACGGGAGAGGTGGCTGACAATCTGCCGGACACTCCAGATCATATCATTGGTACTTGTCTGCTGCTTGACCTTCCCGTTGACGCGAGTCACCAGACGGAGATTCTGGGGATCTGGAATTTCACTGGCTGCAACAATGGTATGGCCAATAGGTCCAAACTGATCGAATGATTTGGAGTAGCCAAATTGCATGCCCGACGCTTCGGGGATCTGGAAATTCCGCGCAGACAGGTCATTTCCGGCCGTATAGCCAAGGACATAGTCCAATGCCTCATCTTCTGAGATATTCTTAGCATCTCGGCCCACAACTACAGTCAACTCGCCCTCGTAGTCCAGCATTTCACGCGCGTCAGGGTGAATGTCAATGGTATCGAAGGGACCAGCTAGCGCATCGGCGGGCTTAACAAAGATGGGAGGGTATTTCGGGATGTTTAGCTGATAATTCCTGTCAGTAAGCCATATACGACTGGCTTGACATTGTGTGGAGTACAGACCTTCGCTTCGTTTACATGGCTCTGGTAATTCAGGCCCACAAGTATGATGAGCGGAGTACGTTCGATGGGACAGAGGAGCTGGCTGAATGTTCAAAGGGGGGAAAGACCTGGAACTGGCAATCGGTTCGGACCCACCTTCTCGACTTGGATGATATCCTCAGTGGGCTGCAGCTTAGTGAAAGGATCACCAGTCAATCGTCTGACATTGTATGTGCCGCCATTGACGCTGAGTAGATCACCGAAAGAGACACGATCTCCAATGGCGAAACGAACCAATCGCTTGAAGGCCATTTCGAATATGGGTACACGAAGGAGATGAGAATATCGTTTGGTAGTTCTAGAAACTCAAATGAGACTGAGCACTAGACTAGAATCTTTCTGAGAAAAGCACACTGGGTGTCATTACGCGACATTGAATTTATATCCTGAATGAGGAGATTCAACCCTCCATAAGATAGGTCCCACCACGCCGCCATCTTGAAGAAGATGTGGGACCTTTGCTGGGATAGCTACTACGAGTATAATACAGTTCAACTCACGTCTACTATTTAGTTCCTACCAGTCTCAGCAACAGTGCACATCACCCTTGGGCTTTGTCAGTTTTCTCTTCTTGACATCTCAGCATCATCTCCATCCTCAGCATGGCAATCACGGAATCGTCGGTCAAGGCCAACCACGGAGCCTCTGTGCCCGACACAAGCGCCTCTTCGGAGCAAATGTCTCAAGCTAGTTGGCTCCAGTCTAGGGGCATCAAGGTCGAAGACCGTGTTCGATTGGCCAGACTCTCCCATATGCGATATCAGCATCCAGACTTGGACGCGTTATGTGGTTTTATGCTGGGTTCGTGTCACCGTGGTGCCTTCATATGTCCAATGCAAACTAAACCACATAGATTTTGGAATGACTGTAGCCAAAAGGACCGAAAACGAAATCTGGTTCCGAGGCTATGGAATTGATCAATACGTCTACTATGCAACGAAATGACCGAAGAAGTTCTTGGGAGGAGCATTCTCGGTTGACTCGCAGGAGGAATTCGACAAGTAAGTGAAATTCTTACTAGTATATCCCAGAAGATCATGCTAATATTGTTTGATTCGTTCACTTATAGAGCATCGAAAGTACCAGGAGCATTTCCAGTCCAAGAATTATCTGGAGCCCCAGGAGGAGGTCGGATGGTGACCATCGCCGACCCGGATGGATTTCTCTTCAATGTGATCTTTGGTCAAGAAAGACGCGAAGATGCCTCTACAGCTCCTACGGAGAAGCTGAGGGCCAACTACCCGAATGAGAAGCAGAGGCTTCGTCAGTTCAACCGCTTTGAACCCGGCCCCGCAGCTGTACACAAGGTTAGTCAACTGTCCATTCTCTGTTTGACGTGCTCTTCTCTCCATACTGATGATGCTTCGTGCTACTCTTAGTTGGGCCACTTTGGCTACTCCACGCAACGCTTCGACGAGCTCCTCTCATTCTACACTTCCCATTTCAACATAGTTCCAACAGACTTGCTTTACATGGAACGGGACGGCCACAGAATGGATGTGACGACATTTATGCACCTGGATTTGGGTCAAAACCACACGGATCACCACTCCTTCTTTCTCGGCGCCAGCCCCAATAGCTCCCATGTACACCATTGCTCTTTTGAGGTCTTTGATTATGATACCCAGCATTTGGGACATCAATGGCTGGCCAGTAAGGGCTACCGGTCCGTCTGGGGCGTGGGCCGACATATTCTGGGATCCCAAATCTTTGACTATTGGTGGGACCCAGCTGGCAACATGGTCGAGCACTACGCTGACGGTGATCTCGTCAATGAGGATACCCCAATTGGTATCTTGCCCGCTGGCCATGAGTCCTTGGCTATTTGGGGACCTGAGGTTCCGCTGGCTTTCCTGCAGTAATGTGTGCCTGTGCAATCGTCTGGTAATTTATTATTGTAGTCATTCGGTTAAAAACTATGTGGAGGTGTCTATGTGAAATTTCATTAAATATATGATTGTGTAAAGTGAATTCAAATCCCAACTTCGTGCGAACTCTCTTCAACCTCTACCATGTATCCCATAAGTGTATAAAGCTACCCAATATAAATGACGATACGACAAGTCAAATTACTAAATCTATCAATAAAATTAAACAAAGACGACAATAAATGCAACGCTACTATAGTCATAACTAAAATATCTACTACTAAGAAATTTATGCCGTAATCAGCGCACCTTGGTTCACCTCTTCTGATGGCAGCTTTTGCGGGGCCTATCGATGATACAGCCCTTGTGGCAACAATGTCCCGCCATCATGGATTGTCCCGTTCAAGTATGCTGCATCCAAAAGTATTTGCCCCACGTCTCGTAAACAAAAATTCAAGAGACAAGTGGCAGGACCAAGACCGTGATATACATAAATTGCATAGGAAGCGGACATTGAGACTCAATCCCGTCTTTCAAACAAACTTGTGATCCTACGCAGCCAATATGTCGTCTGACCAGGCATGGGAGACCACCGATGTCCTCATCTGTGGCTGCGGGCCAACAGGAGCTATGCTCTCCGGCTACCTTGACAGTATGGCAATCCGGAATATCGTCCTGGAGAAAGAGGCCGAGATCACGACAGACCCAAGGGGAATCGTGCTTGACGACGATGGCATCCGGTATTTGCAGGGTCTAGGTCTCTACGAGCATGTCTATACAGACATCGGTTCTTGTGAGCAGTGCATTCTATTCTGAGCCTCACAGTGACAGCATTTCCTAATGATCAACAGGTATCGAGAAGGTATTATTCCTGCCTGGAGAGCAGCAAAGCTTGGGCACAAAACCCATCTTCTGCTTTAATACTGCTTCTGTAAGCCACCCCGTGTCCCTTTCCATCTCGTGGTATGATATTCCCCCATTCTAACCAGCCGATAACCCAGTCCGAAGGCTATACAGGACATGTCGGTGTCATCAGTCACAAACAGCCTGCGCTTGAAAAACATCTTCGTTCCGTCATCAAGGGATCTCAGTACTCGCAGTTGAGGAGCAGATGCACCTTGGAGTCCATCCGGGAAGATAAGGACTGGGTATACGCGACCTACGTGGACCCTGAAGGAACTAATCGACACATTCGTGCCCGTTTCCTGGTTGGCGCGGACGGCAAGACGGGCTACGTGCGCAAGCAATATTTGGAACCTCAGGGAATTAAGATGGACTGGGCCGAACAGTACGTGTGCTTACACTCATCATGGCTGCGTAGGGAGGTACCCATAGACCTCTTAAACTAACGGGCGGCTATAGGGGTCGTTATGAGGAAACCTGGGTTGCTTTGAACTGGGAAATCCGCCTGCCAACAAAAGAAACGCACCCGGACTTCCCGCTATGGAAGATAGGCTATTCTTCGGAGGATGTGTACGATCTGTTCTTCCCAAAAGACTTCCGCTTTCTCTGCAACCCTCGTCGGCCGGCAGTCTGCGGCCGATTTGGCCAGAAGAAGGACCGCCTTTGGAGGTTTGAATTCGTGGTTCAGCAGTGTGAAGATCCGCAAGAGATGTCTGAGCCACACAAGATTCGCGAGATTGTATTCCCCTACCTTCGTCATCCAGGGAGCCGCTATGGGTAAGTCTATGACCAATACAGAAAATGCCTGGGATCAGCGACCTCTAACAACGTGCTGCAGGTTAGACGCGGACGTCGAGTTTCCAACCGATTGCATCAAGGTTCTTCGCTCTCGACCATTTCGCTTTGCGGCAAGGAAGTGCAACAAATGGGCCTTGGGGCGAGTAATCCTGTGCGGCGATGCCGCTCACGTCTTTCCTCCATGTAAGTTCAACCTTTCTCACCTCTACGAGCTCCGCGGCTGACTTAGGATCTCTTCTTTCTGGTGTGTAGTCGGCGGTCAGGGAATCGCTTCCGGCTTTCGAGATGCTATCGCTCTTGCATGGCGTCTCGCCATTCTAACTCGGTCCCGCTCGACTCAGCTGGACTACGAGCAGGTACTTGTGGGGTGGTACTCTGAACGCAGCCAGCAATTCCAAAAGTCACTCAACACAACCTTGCGGAATGGACAGTTGGTCAACAGCACCAACCCAGTGCAGAACTTCATCCGAGACTGGGCACTCTGGGTCATGCAAATGATTCCCCCCGTCAAGCATCAATTAGAACTCGGACCCCGGAGAGAGGGCCCAGTCAGGTACGTCCACTCGGGTGGTATGCCGTTTCTGCCCAACCTTCTCGGTGGAATCTGCTTTCCACAAACGTACTGCACTGAGCTAGTGGAGCTCGGCAATCGCGTTCGCTTCACCGATGATGTGATCTTTTCCAAAGAGAAGACGAAGCTCTTTCAGATTGTTGTTTTGCTGGATGAACCAGGCCAGGCGATAGCGGCAACTCAAGAGCTGGACGGTATTGACGGGCTCAGCGATGGTCACTTGTCTGCCAAAGAGGCCACGCTGCTGGTTCAGGCTAGGAAGTCTCCACCCAACGATGAGTGCAGCGGACTCGCGGGTCTCTCCCTCTTCCGGATTGCCACTGCGGAGGAGTTTAAGCAGTCCGACTTGTGCGTGGGACGGCCGGACCCGGACGGCTACAACGACCGTCAAATCTGGCATGTTATGCAGGGGAAGCGATTTGTGATTGTGAGGCACGATCGTTTTGTTTATGCCGCTTGTGATATGCGGGCTGAATTGGTTGAAGCCGCGAAAAGTTTGAAAGAGTCTCTGCCATTGCATTGACAGGCCCTCTCACCTTGTTATGCTGTGCATCGTAATTACTCCGCATAGGGTTTCAGCGTCTGCATAGATGAAGCAAACACTCCTCTCGATTCTCGAATTCGTTTCCGTCGGTTCCTGCTACGTTGCTTCTCTTCTTCAAGTCAAGCATTAATTGAGATTTCATTACCTCTCTCCTGCTCCAGTAGTAGACAATTCCGCATCTAAAGCGTACACATTCGGGTACTTGCCAACTATATATAATCCCTGAATTTGATGCTAAAATAGATAGATATCAACTACGTACATCATGGTACATACGATATTCGTGGAGTCACTGCGGTAGCTAAATATAAAATCAACCAGTCCTTTTAACCGGTGTTCACATATTAATATTCAACATCCAACGCTCCAACCGTATATACATCAATACCGAGCTAATCATGGAGTCCATACCTGGGAATCCAATGTTAATAATGAGATAAGATTCTACGCGGAAATAGTGGCGTTGTGTTACGAGAGGATAATATTTTTTTTTTGGTGTTGTGGTTTTGTGTACATCTTCCGCTGTATGTATTGTGCATAGTGACCGCCATAAGCCCCATCTATAGAACGGCTGCACCGAACTCATAGTCAAGGCATACTTTGTCCAGACCGCATGTTTGAGCCCCATGAGTCGGACTCCAGTCTTCTAATTTGCTTCTGAGCTGGTCATGTTTTCCAAACCCGGGCAAGTACACAGCTCAAGGCGGAATCATTGGACAACGCATTTTGTACATACCCAAGTGGCTGATAGATCGACAAGTCTAGACAGTTAGTACGGGGGTGCCCTGAGAATGACGAGCCGGTTGATCCGTTGATCAGGTATTTGAAAACAGGATAAATGGCCGGCGAGTGTAGCTGTCTCTTCGTCTTCCCATACAGCTACTTGCCGGAATCAACCTTTGAAATCGGACAAGTCCCTTTGGACGAGGTCCATGAAAGGAGATGGACAGGTATATTGACCCTTTCCCGGCCTGCTAGCTTGCCGCGGTGCATGAGGCTACGGAGTGCAGATCTATGACCTGGTGCGCAAATCCTCGAAGCCAATCTGGCTTTCTACCATGCTCACTCTTCCAACGATGGTGGAACGTTCTGGGTATCCGGCCAGGTATGGGATAGATTGACAGGAGAAAAACAAAAATCGGCAGAGATTTGGGTAGTATTCTCGTTCAATCAACAAGATTAACATTCCTGAATGGTGGTAGAAGGAGCTAATAATGTACAGTGTTTACAACTTTGACAATCCAGCAATACTTTGGTAATCCCAGGCGAGAGTCAATTGAGTCACGGAAGGATCAAGTAAGCTTTGCGTTTTTCCTTCGAATTTACGATGGTGGGCCGAAGCTGCTAGAGCCTTCTGGCAGCGTGGTAGGATTTCGCCAGCCGTGGTGGAGTGATGGGGACGAAAGACCCGAATCAACACCCTGTACCTCGCTCGAGATGGTCTCGTACCGAGCAAAGAACGTCTCGGACGCGCCCACGTCAGATGTTGAAAGAATCTGTCTCACCTTCGCCAATGGTCCCCCTTCTCGGGTTGGAGCAGGCTCGTCGTAAGAGGGCAGCGCATAGTCCGAGAACGGTGGAGGGAGCTGCGGACACAAGCCGCCTAATGTCTGGTTTTCTCTGGGGGCGCCGAATGGAGAGCCTATGGTAGAAGAGATGTCATGGCTCGTAAATTTGGGGGTTGCGAGAGCGCGAAACGGGGCTGTTCCGTCCGTTCCACCTGATAGAGTGCGGGCAAGGAAGTCCTCGGCCGTTTTCGTCATTTTCTCAAAGATTTCACAGAACAGCAAAGCAAGCGGCGAGCTGCTTATGGTCAGGGGCCCGGACATCAAGTTCACAACGACTCGAAGCCAGTCTAGATCGGCCAAGGCGCTGGGATCGCGTGGATACAGAAGGGTATTGATGAAGAGTTCCAGAAAGGCAGAAAGGGGATAGTATGACAGGCGGCTTCTGGAGGTCAGCACTGCTAGCTCCAGGGTGAAGGAAGACATACCGCGCCAGATTATTTCGAAACAATTCACCACCCTCCCGTAAACTGTCAAGTAGTTTGATTGTATTCCTCGCGGCGGAGAGACATGCAATGCGCTTGGAAGACCAGCGAGGGTCTGTTAGGGGGGAAGATGTATCTGCACCGATGTTCAGGCGCCAGAGCATTAACTGGCAATTCTAGTACTCAGCGTGCAGGGCCATAGTGGACGGAAGCTGCTCTGGGTTTGGGCAATGGAGGACCTGCCCCGGCCGCAGCTCTCCGTCAGGCAAGGAATATTGCCATGCAACGAGCTTCTGATACAGCTCATCCTCAGCTGCAAGCCTTTCCGCGCGCCGTTCTGGGCTCCGAGCGCGGACGGAGTACAGCCTTGTATAGATCTCGCTCTCAATCCTGATCAGCTTCACCAAGTGTGCGAATTTGCCGGATGGCGGCTCGCTGACTTGGATGTCTTCGTCGGAGATCGTTGGCGGACGTCCAAGCCGGAAGCTCAGAGCTCGATCTACGACGTATCCAACCCGGAAGAGGCTGCGCCGCTCCTCTAACTCGCTCCTGGAGAACTCGGAACCGCAATCCCGATTCAACCCTAGCCCGAGTGCGAGTCGTGCCGCTGATCCAATGGCCATATAACTTGCCTCCGCGTCCAGTAGGAATTCGAGGATCATAGCCTGCAGCACGAGGTCACATAAGCAGCAGTCATCAATAGTGTATATGGAGCGGACGGACCATTCCGATAAGAGCTTGGACGCCCATCACCTCTCTGCAGCTATATGAGAGCTGGGTGAAGACTGAATAGCAATTTCGTAGACAGCTCAACACATGGCCCCCACCTTCGGCATCCTGTCTGGGATGTAGGACGGCGGACGGCATGCCAATCTCATCTTCTAAGACAAGTGCGCCCATACCGAGTACGGCATTGAGCGAGGCATACCAGGCCACGCTCGTTGGAGGATTGCCTGAGTACTGAGAGTTGAACAGTTCCATAAACCTCTCCTGGTTAAAGAGGGGCAAACTGGAGTTTACATAGGCAAAAAAGTCTGCACAGCTGTCAGCTTGTTGATGGTGGGTGGTGCATAGGGAAGACCTGACAGTTAACTGCGAGGATGGCGGTGCCTTTTGGTGGAAGTGCAGTCCGTCTGGCCCGAGATGTTGCCATGTGCTCATCATCTCCTCCGACCAGCCTATCATGTAGGTCTGCACTCTATTGGAGAGGAATTCCAACAATTCTGTCGAGTGAGTGATACTGGAAACCCACTGCAGACCACGCGGCGAGAAGAGACCGAAACCGGACGCGGAACCTGGACCGACACTGTGAATTTTGCGCCCAGCCATGGGGATAATGAGCAATAGAGGCGTACCAATGAAACTGGAGAAGCCAGTGCAATCCGTCAAGCAGTACGACGCATCGTTCTCGTGGTTATCGAGCACCGACGAGCTGGCCTTACTATCGTCCGCTGATGAGCGCCTTCTTGCGAGCAACAGCGACTCCATCCTCTCAAGACGGTTTTTCATCTCGTCAATAGTATCACTGTATGATCAATCCCGACATCAGTCCAATCTTCCGGGGGAGGGACACTGCTTGCGCTTACCGATGCGGAGTGGGTTGTCCTTTGACGCTTCGCTTCCGGGAAGAAGGCGAAAACTCACATTTCTGCTCCCGTTCCATGCAACGAGAACAGCTCGCACCTTCTCGTCTACATCGAACCTAAAGGTACAAGGCGACAGTCAATGGGAGGACTGATAAGTTCGAAAGGGCGCAGCTTCCTGCATACCTTTGCCTTCCTGCACGATTCGCAGGATGCGCGCAGCGCACTCTGCGGGTTCTGGCTTGGCTGCATCGGATCTCGAAGGGCTTCGCTATCAACCACAGGATTGATTCTGAATCACCATTTAGGCTCGCAAGACTCCAAGCTCATCAGGCCTCATCCTCCAGGTCAAGTAATAATACAGGATGAAACTCGTGATGTCATCATCAAAGTGCGACAATCACCTGGACTCCCCTGATTGACACCAAACACACCCTTCGTTAACATGTCCATGGATAGAGTATTTAAGTCTTCAGCCGGTTTGGTATGGTTCCAGAGGCTTTTACTGTGACTGGACACCCACTCGGTCACGAAACACGGGTTGGGTGTACAGCGTGGTTCAAGTCTCGATTTACTTCAGCAAGAAGACATCCATGGTTCACCGTGAGAGGAAAGGCCATGGCGTAACTCTATTATACAAAGCTAGATTGACGGGCTTTACTGGATATTACCTTGATGAATCACCGCACGATATCAGGAGGTGCTGCGACGGTATCTCTATATATTACAGGTGTGGATACACTTTTACAGAGTAGCGCTATCAGTATGCCTTAAAAGCTAGTTATTGGGATTATGTGAAAATGTTAGACACCACTGAAAGAGCAATATTGCCCCAGATGTCTAGCATCTTGTGAACCTGGCTATAGTAGCGCGCCGGGAATATAATCCTTATAGATCCACGGACCACCTAATAATAAAGTTTAGAGGGTAATAAAATCACACAGATAACCATGGATATGAAGGTTTTAGTGGAAACGGCCAGAACGTTCCCAGCTGAGGCAATCCCAAAGGCTGTAAACAGTGATTCTTTTGAGATATGACCGATACAGATCTAGAATGGTACTGGTAAATGATATGTTTGACCAATGGTATATTCATGAACTGTCTATGTATGCAAGAGGGTGTCAGAGGGCCTTGCCACAACAAATCAAAGCAAAAGAAGAAACCAACAGAACGGAAAGACACCAGGAACACCGGACAGAAAAAGTCATGAATCAGTAATAATCATGCATCATTAGGAAGTCGAGGATCTGAGGGAAAGCTATCCACCATACCATTGACGGCTTCCATACGGAGCAGTTCTCGGGAGAAATCCATCAGGAGGAAGGTCCCAATCGGGTAGATGGGCTCGAGCGGGCTGCTTAATGCCGTTTGCGCTGCTATCAAGGCTGAGTGGCCGTGTGATGTCTCCCGGGAGTTGTGCTTTAATGGACGTGGAATTGTCAATTGATTCGGTTTCAGGCGCTTCGGCTTCGTGCCTCGAGGCGAGGGACATTGATCGGGCAATTCCACCACAGCCGCATTGGCCCTCTTGAGACGGACTCACTCCGATATCACGTTCTACCGCATATGGGGGAACATAAATATTGGCCGGAGTGGCCTTGCATGACAGAATAGTGAACGGTGACTCGATGGTCAACTCCACAGGCCTAGGCTTGCTTGAGCCCATTCCGTCTTTACCTTTTGTTGAAAGACATAGAACGAGCTGCGTGAGAGTTAGCAAGTGCAAAGTGTGTTTGTGTTCGCGCCTCTTACTTGGATCCAATGATTCACCTCAGGATCGCCGCCCTTGGTGCTGAAGTGGAGGGATTGCCTTTTTTCCTTTGTCCTCATTTCTGGGCATCGAGGCAACTGCACCTCTAGTTTGATCTCAGAGGTTTCCGATGCTTTCCCCAGGAGATTCGCGGGTTGAGTGCCGGAAGGGCATACCGTGCCCTCGTCTGTCATGATTCGCATGGTACTGCCTGGATATGTACTGTAACTTGCAAGGCCAGCCTGCTTTTCGAACAGAAGTACTTTTCTCGCGGGCAGCTGCAAACAGCGAGTTTCTCGGCCCGTTGTCATATGCTGTACGTGCTGAGACACATATACCCTGATCCAATGACATTCGAGGTCGACTAGGGGCGTCAATTTCACCCTCATTGGTATTCGTGAGCCAAGCGTGAAACACTTCCCGAACACACAAACATCGTAATGGAGCTGCTCACGCCATTTGCGGGAGAAAAGGATCGGCTCAATCAGCTCCAGTGAGTTCTCCGCTGGCAGTCGAACGACCGGGACATCAAGTTGAGACACCATCTTGGAGGAAAATGCCCCGGACGGTTCAATCACAGCTTCCAGGAAGTATCGGGTAGATATCAGCTCCGTTTGGATGGTCTCCGGAAGGGAATTGTGCATGAGGAATTCAAAGCTGTATATATAATCACCCGCAGGAAATAATTCATAATGGCATTTACGTTGGTATGGGCTGGAAGTCCACATAGACCTTTTGGTGACGGCCCCCAAGAGTCTAGGCTGGTGCAAGCTGCCTATATTATACTCAGGAGGAGGGGATTGGTCCCTGGACAACGTTTGAGCAGTCTTTCCCTCATGTTGGCCTCTCTCTGTATCCGTGGATGATCGGTCGGGTATGTGACATAGGTCTTCTCCATGGATATTGCCTGATTGTGCTGTATTCCCTCTGTCAAAGTAGGTAATACCAGACGTGATTAGATCTCTTTTCCCCGCAACCTCTATTGGAACACGAGAAGAAATGAGTTAGCCTTGCAAAAGCGGGGCGAGGTTCAACTCTAAGATGGAACAACGGCATACCTGTCGATAGCTCTAACTTAACCAGACCTCGAAAGTAGACGCAAATCCGCTTGATTTTGGTCGGTTCAGTGACTTTCATGTGTAGAGATCCCCGGATGACGGCTGCCTTGTTCTTACAAGCACTACCACGTAAGCTGTGCCCTTGCAAGAACACGACGGGCTCAATTAGTTCAAAGCTGAGCTGGATCCCTTTTCGAGCCCCGACAATGTGCGTTCGGGAATGGCAGGCAATGTCTGATGGGACTAATGTCTGCATAATATCTCCTCGTCTGAGGTTCACTTCTGAATCAAGTCAGACACATGCTAGCATAGAGGATCAAAACACATACAAAACTCAGGTTCGGCACACAGCCTTTACCATATTCAAAGGGAAAGCGGGCTCGTGAACTTTGCGCCAAAGGCATGTTGCAGGAGTCATGATATATCATCACTGGTGCTCATCAGCGAGCATCATCAGCACTGCCTCATGATCAGCGCACCGTGGAGCTAGATTATCTGAACCGAGGCGGGACGGACAGTGACAAGTACACGATAAAGTTCATTCACCCCGGGTTCCGTGAGCTTTCGGCCGTCGGAGGACGCAGAGAAGTACCCGTCTCCGAAGCCCTGGTAGCTTGTCTCTCCATAATTCCTGGATAAGCCCCGCATGATCACCCGATAGGCACAGCTAGCCAGTGTTTACTCAACGTGGCTTACTTGTCCGTCGCACGCCAGTAAGAGATTGCGTTGCCATGCGAAGGTCTGGACCGAGTTGTCTCTGGCACGACAACGTGATATGAGAGCAATGGGGCGATGCTAAAACTTTAAGTTTCTGGGAATGCGCCACTTAATCATGATTTCAGGGAGGGACAACTAAAGGGATAGGCAGTCGGTTTTTCCGTTCCTATATCACGAGCAGATAGAGCAGTGATAATATTAAACTGTCGATGTGCTGCCGTACTGTATCCACGTCCCCACATAACGGGGAGTACGGAGTATCTGGGGTAGTTAATTAACAGGACCGTGATATTCGGATATCGGAGATGCAAATCCGAGATCTTTTTTTAACGACCTTCCTAATTTATAACCAACCTTTCTAGATATCATTTCGAATCTTGGGAAGGCGAGTCCCTTTCCTTGGCGATTTTCCTGGCTATGTTGGCGGATGCATAGCGGACAATGATGTTTTCCACATCCCACATCCTTTAGACATTGTTGTGTGCGCTAGGATGATGCCATTAAAGAATATATGATACAGTTTGTCATCCTGTGCATGGACTTGGCTCACATCGCTGCTAGGGTAGAATAAAATAATGAAGTGAATAATGAACACATTCACTTTGTTTCTCTCTTGAACATAGGTTCTGTCTTTACCATCCGCGTCATTTTACGAAGGTTGGAATCTAGCAACCACCCTCTGTCTGAACTCTAGATCTCTGAATTTTGGGTTCCTGTAACCCCGTTCAAGGAGTCGGCGGCAAATGGCCTGTGTATAGGGGCTGGGACGGTAGAGGCAACTCATCAAGGCCTGGATTTCCTTCCGCGGCGCTTTGTGCTGGTGTCCTGTCAGTATTAATCTGAGGGGTTACACTCGTGGCTTACACATGCACGGGCTTCTTGAATGACCGTTCCACTGTACTCTCTGACCGGTGGCTGGATTTATAACACCAGTCTCCTGCATCTTTAACCCACGCGTTACGTGCGATGGCCGGTACTCGGGGGAAGCACCGGACTGTATCGGCCAAGATCAGTCGCTAAACACCGATTCCGTACATCCTATAGGGTCTCGTACGTCATATGTCATTGCAGTATCCGGCCTGGTTACCTCTCTGCGAGATTCCCTATCTCCCTTGACGCTCTTCACTCCGTACGCAACAGTGTTAACTACCAATGCAGTGCCTGTGCGGGGGGATTTTAGTACAAGAGTACATCAAACAAGCTATGATGAAGGAGCTCACTTGTGAATGGCAGTAATGCAATATGTCCGAAGAACCTTGCCGTTCCGATGCCGACGTCCTTGGCTACATTGCGCTTTGCATTCGTCCAGTCCGTAGTATCCTCGACCGGAGATCTCTCCTGTGAGGGCTTCCTCGTCAGAACTGAGGTTGTCTCATGCGATATCAAAGATTATCACCTTTCGCTGCAAGCCAGGAAGCATGCTGACCAGGTCGGAGGCAGTGGCAATGCTCTTCGCAGCGCTTGTAAAACCTTCCCATTGGCGCATTGCAGTACTCTCAATAGCATCTGGATTCGACTTTTCAGCTTGAATGCTGTAAACGTGACGATTCGCTCTATACCCCTCGATAGAAAATACTATTAGTCTGAGGTGAAGAGAGATGCAGGTGACTCACATACAATACGACATCGGTTTGTTTTATCAGCCGCTCTTCTATAAGAATAGCAGCCGCTTCGGCTGAGATCCTCAACGATGGCCGGTTCCAGACATGGTAGATGGCCAGATCCTGCCCGGAGATGCTACAACTCTGCATACTTGGTCGGACGCCGCGGTAAAAGGCCTCAACGGCGCTCTCGAGGCCCTTTTCCTCTTTGATCTGCTGGTGCACTGAACGAGTAGACGCTTGGATATCTGGTCGAAGGCAAAACGCCAGTCCTTGAGCGAGTGCCTCTGGAGTGAGCAGGTCGTTTGTGATTGGAGCCGCCGCGGCTCCTAATTTTGACATTGCTATGCCGCGCGATAGCTGGCTGGAGAGGAGTTCGTCAGCGAAGATGAAATTCAATCAATTGTTGCTGAGACTTACTCCTTTGAATGAGGGATCACCACGCTTGGCTTCCCGTACTGCAAAGCCAGTGCAGTCGTTTCTGAATTTCCATCATGGACAATCACTGCGACTTGAGGGAGAAGCCAGTCTATGTGTCGGCTCACGTCAGGACCGCAATTGAGATTCGATCTTTGCATACTTACGATGAGGAATAGAGTCCGCCAGCAAAACATTGTCGTGTTTGGCACTGCCGCGCATACTCCAAGAACACTCCGAGAGAAGGACACGGAACCCATAGTCTCCCACAACGCCCTCGATGGCTCGTGTCAAGCGGCCCGTCGTCGCTAGATTGTCCTCATGCAACATAAAATATATAACAGGTGGGTCAGACACAACGAAATTTGCGAGACTTTCTGGTGGGCTATAAGGACTTGTATCGTTCTCAAGAACAAAGCCCGAGATTTCTACATTACCGTCAGCCATTGCCGACCCCAATAGCGTGACCACGAGGAAATTTGTACCATGGATACTAGGCCAGTCACTTGGCCTTGCCAAGAGCAATTCTGAGCAGAAGTAGTTGTGAGGAATTTCGTGGTCAAACACGAGCCGACCTCCACTGGTAGGAGAAATGCTCCGAAGACCTAGGACATGCTGCCGGAAATAGTTGATGGGTTCGCTGATGCTGTACGCACGCCCTGATCGTCAGTCCGGCACATCAGCGCTCAGCTCCGATATTGCTGGAACTTACTTGTTCCAGATGGACTCTTCGACAATCGCATAAGAGAGTAGACTTGCTGTCCTTTGGTCAATGCCTTCCATCCCTTCTATATACGCTAGCGGATGGGCAAATGCCCTGGTTGGAGTCCATGGAATCGATGACATTATGTGCAGTGGAATGGAAAGACGCTCGGCACAGTGGATATGTGCATGAGCCAAGGGATTGGCAATGATAGCGTCTGCCAGAAACGGTCGGGAGTCCCCTTGGTATGAAGCAATGCATGCTCTCCAACAGCGTTGATAGGTCTGAGAAAGCGAATGCCGGATTCGAGTGCGTGTGTCGCCCTTGGGATGCACTTCTGGCAATCCGCGTTCGCTATTAACGTCGCTCTAGTGCATACAATTAGCTGACTGGACATCCGTGGCCGCGGCAGCTGAGTGCAGGCACTTGCCAGGGGGTTGATCAAATCATGGCCGATGGCGAAGAAATCGATGCCTTGGCCCTTCACTGCAGATTCGCACGATGCATGCGCTACAATCCGAACACGGTGAGAGTCTCGAGCAAGCTGCTTACCTACAGCAACAAATGGGTGAATATTCTCTGTCAAATCGCTTGCTTAGCATGGTTTTCCACTCGGGTAAAGTCTTCAGAGGCCGATGAATCACACCTCCAACGATCATTATGACAATGTCCAATGGCGCCTGCGTACATCCACTGGCGCTTTGTCCCGAAGAATTGGCGTCGGTCTTAACTGTCTGTGTATTCAAGCCGACGCTGACCAACCGCGGTTGCGTCTTTGGCCTCATGAACGCTTGAATGAAAGCTGAGGTGCGAAACCCACGCCCTAAACCGACGCTGAACTCCACCCCTGCTTCGGTAAATGGTAGAGTCAGCGTTTGCATGGGAGTATTTGTGCCTTGCACATACGGTGGTGATACCATTTGAATTATAGCAACCCTCCACCTGTTGAGATTTATTGATAAACTCAGGTGCGGCATCCGGCTCAATCGTCCTGAGGGAGACTTCAGAAGAAGCAACCGAGTTAGGCCGGGGTGAGTATGCTGGGGGAGGGTCTGAGATGTCGTCTGCTGTTGACTGGCTATCCTGTAAAGACTCCTCTTTATCCAGAGGCATGGCTGCAGAACCGAATTATCGGTGATTACTGAAGTATAGCTGGTGATGGCGATATATTTGTGGCTGCGAGGAACCGTGAAAATCCATTCCACAGTCCTCCCTTTTATAAAATACGTGTTAATCAGGAACCAAGGAAGCTTTCAAACTCAGTAATGTGAGCTATGCTCTATCTGAGCATATGAGCTAATAGCTATATTTATCAATACTCGTTGGGTCCTCCAGTGGGTCAAGGAGAATCGTATTCGGGTTCGGTTACTGACCCGAACCCTGCGCGTAGAATCTACCGATATCGATTGAGAGAAAAAGAGATGCCTGATTTTACAATTTGATAACTGGTCTAGTCTCTGGGTTCTATCGTTCTGGCGATTCCCACTATTAAGTACCATATCTCGGTACGGATACTAACGTTTTCATCTATCACCATGCCTGCTGGTGGGTCTTCAGGTAGGTCAATACTTCATCGTAGGAGAAAGAGAAAAGATACAACGGATATATTTTAAGAATGGAGCCGAGAGATGATCCAATTCTGAGCAGTACAGCGACTCCAAAGCACAGTTCACCTCCTGAAAACCACCGGGTCCTTTCTAAAGGATCAAGAGACGAGGCTGAAGCAGATTTTAGGTCAAGGTAAAGTAGGCAACCAGACTACTGCGTTGACCTTTATTTACCTTTCTTGGTGTGGTCGAGTTGACCAAAATAGGATATTAAGTTAGTTGCACAGAAACCATGAATAGCCCGAGGAACTAACTGCAGAGTCAATTGGTGCTGAGGAATATATATTGACCATTATCACTACCGACTTGGTAGTTGTCGTACTGAAAAAGGTCCATGGCAGATTATGCGATATTGTCCTTGACACTCCATTTCCAATTTGACTGTAAATGACTCTGCCAATAAGCCGGATACTTTGTGTTAGAGGTATCTATAGTTGCCAAAAGAACAAAGCCATAGTTATATTGGACCGTATATTTCAAAGAAATGGGGGGAGGTGCTCTCTGGGGCTCACAGCTTTTTCTTTTCCAATCACTTAATGTACCAGGACCTGGAATTAAGATTATCTCCATTCAGGCTCCTGATTGCTATTGGATTATTGATAAGTAAAGGCTTTAATTTGCGGCAGTGAGCGAAATGTCTGACCCTCGGCAAGACAGAGAGGCATCGAGTGCTCTTTGGTGTCCGCAGAAGACCTGAAGGATCTCGAGATTTTGGATACCGATGTTTCTATAGAAAAGGAGAAGGGATACATCCCAAGCAATAATGGGACAAACGAACTATAGGCATTGCGGGCCGGAGTCCGAATGCATCAGGATTACCCCAGGTTTCGGCTCCGCATGTCCGACGTATGATTATCTTCGTGATGAGGATGCCAGGTGATCAAATTATATCTAGCAGGTGTCAATGTATACAATTCGGACTTAAATTGGAATCCCCATATTTTTGCCGTACTGTGAAAACATACATCCACTTCTAGGCATGGTACTGCATGCACTTTCCAAGGGGTGCCTTGTCTCACTATGTAATTATCATTTTTCTTTCTGCAACATTGTCACTCTACAGGACTAGCACATCTATCCGCAATTTCCCGCGTCGGCAAATTGATATACCCCTGATTCTAGGGTACATTCTTCCATTAATCGCTTTCTTCCTCCAATAAGCACACTGGTCCCCTCAGAATTAAATGCTGCATGCAGCGCCACCCCCTCCACATGGTCCTTCAATATCATCACTGTGCAGATGACCGTCCATGCTCTTCGCTCGTACTGGACAACTACCGAGCAGAATGACAGGGGAGAGTTGCCCTTGTTGACGTGATCACTGCTGAAAGTCCACATACTTGCCATTCCGCAAGTAATTTATGGGGTGCATTGTGTGTGGAAAATGGCGAGCATCGGAAGGACGTCCGTGATGAATCTGTCACTACTCAATTTAAGCGTTACGTCTTCTTTCCTAAAGTCAACGGTTGATCGGCCCCTTGTGCCGAGTATAATCGTTATTCTACTCATGAGACCATCACATGTGTCATTATCGATCCAGCTGGAAAGATATGCAAAACCTAAGAGAGGGTATCACACATCTTCAAGGCGCGCGGACCCCGGTGAACCTTCTGTGGAGACTTTGGAATTTGAAGCTGAATTATGTATCATCGTGCAGATACAGATGTCCAATCGGCAGATTGCCCCTGCACCCTGACCAAGACAGGATATTTGCGAATCGGATCCGAGTGGGACCGGAGACAGTTCCGTGCAGATGAGAGACATACTTAAACTCCCCTAAGCCGCTCTTTCTAGGTGCATTCCTGATCATGAACACTGGTCAGCTTCTATTGCCGAGATGATGCATACCCCGAGCGTGGTATCGCTGGCTGTGAGCCTCTTGTTTGGTTCAGCCCACGGAGCCGGATCACAAGCTTATACCTGGAAAAATGTGGTGACAGGGGGCAAGTATTCTGTGTACGCTCTGGCCGATCCTCTGCTGACAACAAAATCCAGGAGGCGGGGGTTTCGTCCCTGGAATCGTTTTCAATCCATCAGCCAAGGGAGTAGCCTACGCTCGTACTGATATTGGAGGCGCGTACCGTCTCAACTCGGACGACACGTGGACGCCTCTACAGGATTCTGTGGGTAACAGTGACTGGTATGTTATGTGAATCCATAAACGGATGTGTACTGACAATTTAGGCACAACTGGGGTGTGGACGCACTAGCTACCGATCCCATTGATACCAATCGCTTGTACCTGGCGGTGGGAATGTACACAAACGAATGGGATCCCAACGTGGGCTCAATCCTGCGCTCAACCGATAAGGGTAGTACTTGGTCGGAGACCAAGTTACCGTTCAAAGTAGGAGGAAATATGCCTGGTCGCGGTATGGGAGAGGTGGGTAAATTCCCTCTGTGTCATTCGTTGCTCGGGCTGAGACCATCTAGCGCCTTGCTGTAGACCCTAACTATAACGGCGTTCTCTACTTTGGCGCAAGAAGTGGCTATGGGCTCTGGAAGAGTACTGACTACGGAGCGACCTGGTCCAATGTCACTTCCTTTACTTGGACTGGTAAGACTGAGTGGACCGGAGTGATGCCATGTGAGCGAGAAGCTGAACAGGAACAGGGACGTATTTCCAGGATTCCAGTTCCACATACACGTCCGACCCTGTTGGAATTGCTTGGGTTACTTTTGATTCCACGTCTGGTTCAGAAGGCTCTCCCACTCCACGCATCTTTGTTGGTAGGTTTTCAGAGTAGAAAGTCTCGAATAATGGTCTGATTCTTTCCAGGCGTTGCGGACACAGGTAAATCAGTGTTTGTCTCTGAGGATGCCGGGGCTACATGTAGGTTCCTTGCGCCTGATGGGATTCAACTCCTCCACTAACTGCCGGTCTAGGGTCCTGGGTTACCGGAGAGCCACAGTACGGCTTTCTCCCTCATAAAGGAGTGCTATCGCCAGCTGAAAAGACCCTTTACATCTCTTATTCCAACGGAGCTGGACCGTACGATGGCACCAATGGAACGGTACATAAGTACAACATCACCAGCAAAGTGTGGACAGACATCAGCCCTACGCCCATGGCAAGCACGTACTACGGCTATGGTGGTTTAGCTGTTGACCTGCAAGTCTCTGGGACACTGATGGTAGCTGCATTGAATTGTTGGTGGCCAGATGAGCTGATCTTCAGGAGTGTGGATTCTGGAGCGACGTGGTCCGCCATCTGGGCCTGGAACGGATATCCTAACCTGAACTACTACTATAGCTATGATATTTCCAATGCCCCTTGGTTGCAAGACGATACCTCAACAGATGAGTTCCCCGTTCGCGTAGGCTGGATGGTCGAGGCTCTTGCCATCGACCCTTTCGACTCAAACCACTGGTTGTACGGCACCGGCGCGACGATCTACGGTGGCCATGACCTTCAGAAATGGGACTCCGCGCATAATGTCACTTTGAAATCTCTCGCTGTTGGCATCGAAGAGATGGCTGTTCTTGGGCTCATTGCCCCTCCAGGCGGGCCAGCCTTGCTCTCTGCTATTGGTGACGTCGGAGGGTTCTACCATACGGATCTCTCCACGGCACCGGTTCAATCCTTCCATACACCGACATACGGCTCTACCACCGGCATCGATTACGCTGGTAACAAACCATCCAACGTTGTTCGCTCGGGTGCGAGCGACACAGATCCTACCGTTGCTTTGTCGACGGACTTTGGCAAGACCTGGTCGGCAGACTACGCGGCTTCCTCCACCACACCTACCGGGCAGGTTGCTCTCTCTGCGGATGCTGATACCGTCCTTCTGATGAACTCCAACGGGGCCATGGTGTCAAAATACAGCGGTACATTCAGTGCTGTCTCATCTCTACCGTCCGGTGCGGCCATCGCGTCTGACAAGTCCAACAATACCGTCTTCTACGGTGGATCGGCAGGCTCCTTTTACGTTTCCACCAACAGCGCCACCTCGTTCACCAAGACTACAGCCCTTGGCTCCAGCACCGCCGTCAATGCCATCCGCGCCCATCCCTCTATTGCCGGTGATGTCTGGGCTACTACGGATACAGGTCTCTGGCACTCGACAGACTACGGTAAGACCTTCACCGAGATTGGAGGTGGATGCACAGCAGGCTGGAGCTTCGGCCTCGGTAAGGCCTCTTCGACCGGCTCGTATGCCGTCATCTACGGCTTCTTCACCGTTGACGGTACAACGGCACTCTTCAAAACTGAGGACATGGGTACGAATTGGCAGATGATCTCCGATTCTACGCATGGCTTCGGCGCCGCGTCTGCCAATGTGGTCAATGGCGATATGTCGAACTATGGACGTGTGTTTGTGGGCACGAATGGAAGGGGTATCTTCTATGGTGAGCCGAGTGGAAGTGTCCCGACTTCGACAGCTACGGCGACTACGACCAAGACGACGTCGACCTCGAGCACGAAGACATCTTCTACGCCTTTTACTACATCGAAGACCACAACATCTTCGACAACATTGACGACGACCACCAAGACGTCGACTACGACGACGAGTACTTCCAAGACCACCACGACATCAGCAACCTCTACCGCTACTAGTACACCGTACGGACAGTGTGGTGGTACTGGATACACCGGGCCAACTGTCTGCCCGAGTGGGTGGACGTGCACCTACCAGAACGCATATTACTCTCAGTGTAAGTTTTGAAATCGGACCTCTATAGAACAGAAAGATCCTCAGGCAGGATGCTGACTGAATCCCAGGCCTGCAGTAACGGATGAGCCATCGAAGAAGAGTCATCAAAAGAAGAGTGCCGTATCTTCTAGCATAAGCTGTACTCGTCATTCCTATCTTGTCATTAACCAATGCAGTCAGCTTCCTCGCTTAAACCATTGTTCATAGCGACACTCGGGTGACGCCTTTGAAGATGGCTTCGTGCGCTCTCAGTAATTGTGGCGTATTCATAATAAAGCTGATCATCCCAGCCAGATTTTCTAGGCCAGATCTCCAAACAGCATCTAAACAAGCTGGAAAGTACCTAGATTGTGGGACGTACCAATCAGCGCTGCGACTAAATGAAGTTTCATCGCGGCGCCTACAGAAGGCTGACAGCGCTTTTAGCGATATTTCCCCTCATCTCTCGGCGAATAGAGTACGCAAAACAAGTGCGCCGATGACACTTCAACGGCGCTTAGAGGGTGCGGAGAGAGGTGTACCCGTTCTGAGCTGGCACTTCCAAAGCGCCATGAGGCTGCAAAGGCGCATTTTCGAAACGTGTGTCTCATATTGTCAGAGAAAATAATACCAAAGATAGAATCGCAGCGTAATTGTGACTGTAGTCAAGTATATAACTATCCTCTTCCTCCGAGCGTCATACAATATCATCAATGTCAATTAGTACTACGAAGGAACAATGACCGAGATCCCTCGACCGACCAGTCGCAACCAATTCCAAATCGCAATTCTCTGTGCGCTACCAGTCGAGTCACACGCGGTAGAAACCATATTTGATGAGTATTATGACGATGATGACCACTGTTTTGGCCAAGACCCGTCCGATGAGAATGCTTACATGAACGGGAGAATCGGCAATCACTATGTAGTTCTTGTCTACATGCCCGGGATGGGAAAATGCAAGGCGATGACTACAACGCTGCACTTGAAGTTGAGTTACCACCAGATCCAGCTGGCATTACTTGTCGGTGTTTGCGGCGGCGTCCCACGCGGAAACGATGGACGGGATATTTTTCTAGGCGATGTCCTTATTAGCGATCGTCTCGTGCAGTGGGACATTGGGAAGCTTTTACCCACCGCGTTCATCCGGAAAGATCAGCCTCAATACGTCCAAGGCAGGCCCTGTCATCGCATGGAAACCTTTCTTGCCAAAGTCAACAACGCGGACGAAAGGCGTCGGTGGGAATCTAGCATGGCGGAACTGCTGGAGATTGTTCAACAATCCCTCGGCGAACAGAGTGCCGCCTACCCTGGTGTGGACAAGGATCGTCTCTATTTTCCAGCCCATCTCCATCAGCATCGTGACTTGCGTCCTTGTGGCATGTGTCGCTCTTGTGGCAGTTGCGAGGAGGGCAACATATGTCCTAAAGCGCTCAGATCTACCTGCGACGAGCTGGGTTGCTCCGACCATGCACAGGGCTGCAGGTCCCGACCATCGGGAGAATCAGACTCGGCTCCCAAGCCAGCTATTCATCTCGGTCCCATTGCCTCCGGTGATACTGTCTTGATTTCAGGACACGCTCGCGATCAACTTGTCGCCGAGACGGGCGTGATTGGGATAGAAATGGAGGGTATCGGATTATGGGAGGAGACATCGTGCGTTGTGATCAAAGCAGTCGCTGACTATGCGGATTGTCATAAGGCCAAGCAATGGCAGAGATATGGAGCGGCAAGTGCGGCCGCGTGCACGAAGGCCCTCCTGCTAGAGTACACTGTGGACCTTCCCCAAGTCTATCCTGTCGGTACGTGCAGATTTTCTATTTCTCTTTTCCACTTGGATGGGCGAGGGCGCTTACTCATACGCCAGAACAACCGGGTGGTATCGACTCGAATGAACGGGCTGCAGCCAGCCATCACCGACTTCCGTTCCAGTCAGGGCGTGGTCCATTGGCAAAAATTGCCAGGGTCTCAACGTTGTCGGGTATCTCGGACACTATCAAAATGGTTTATTCCTTGCATACCTCATCCAATCTTTGGTCTAACGTTTGTATCGCTGCATTGGCGTTCGTGATTGGATACTTGTATGCCTCTGTTGGAGCTCATCTGGTCGAGGCTTGTGGCCATTGGCTCATGTCTTAGCGATTGGCCATATGCCTCTTAGCATTGAAGTTTCACCCATGTATACCATTGACATGTCGACTAGTATTATACAGTTCTATATAATCTTATACTTGATGAAAGCTGCAGGGCAATGTGAACTCGTCGGGCCTTTCATGATGTTTCAGCCCTTGAACCATAATATTACGAGATTAGTCTCTGCAACATCGATACCAGAGAATATGTGGGCGATTCAGAGGGGACAATATGGGGATAAGAGAACCTAGACCGAACCATGTTCCGTGTCTACATAAAATCGCTTCGTCGCGGTGTGTCGTGATTCTGATCCTTTCATTCGTTCCCAACCTTAGGAAAGCTTGCTCGTTCTAGACGGTCCCATGGCCTGGGACGGGACAGCCTGCAGCTGCCCCAACTGCATCGACTGGATCCTTGTTCTTGCCTTCGATTTTCTCTTCGCGCGCAATCTGGCAGAACATATCCATTGGATCAAACCAAACATCAATCTTTTCGAGCTGCAGTGAACCGTTGACCTTGGCAACGACGATGCCTTGAATATCGATCAGACCACCATGTGCTTTGACAGTGACCTTCTCTCCTCGACTAGTGCATGGATTAGTGTCTATCACGTTCCAGGCCATCAGTGAGAGCTCACTTGTTATACGCAACATAATCATTCGCCATGTACCCCCAATGCCTCCATTTGAAGATAACAACCGGTGGCCCACTATACACCTCCAAGACCTCCCACGCAAAAGTCGGCATCATCCGCTTGAACGCCTTGTGACTGGTCGAGAAATCATTATGCTCGGGGTCATAGTACGAGCTGTACATAAGTAGGGCGTTGTAAGTGCCCACTCGGAGCATATGGTCGCCTGTCTGGGGAGGACCACCGTTCAGCGAAAAGGTGTATTGGCTGTGGTCTATTGTGCGCCAGTCGTCAAGAGATGTCTTGAAGGATGCTTCGATCTCCCAGTTTTTGACGAGGTTCGAGACCAGGTCGGGGAGGCTGCCTCCCTGATGGGTCATTCTTTTGGCTGCAGAGCGGGTATGATTAGTCTTCTATCAGGGATTCATGATCTGAGCCTTGGGTGTTTTGCGTACTCTGCTCGTAGAATTCTCTTGTTTTTGAGTAATCTGGGGGTGCGCCATGTCGCCAGGCAGCGTCCTTGTCGTTCAAGACGGCGTTAGGGTCGAGGACATAGTCTGGAAGAGCGTCTGCATCACCCATTTTGATGTGAGCAGTATCTATTCTGTGTGCATATAAGACATCCTGAAAAATTAACGCATTCGCAGAGAGACACACGGGGGCCTTAATAACAACTCAGCCCCTCTTCTGACATCCCTGCCGCCTGGGTGCAGCACCGAGAGTTCGAGACGCACATAAGCGAGGCATATGCAATCTGGATGCTCAAATGGACAGGGATTAGGGTAATGGACAGATTTCTCGATATAGGACCGTCTCGAACGTTAGCCAATCTCGATCGCGTTGATTAAGTGTCTGAGCACTGCCCGAAATACTTCCTCGAGATGTCATCACTTCTAATTGGACAAGATCAGATCGAGGATCTTACATCCAATGACATCCTCCGTGTTTGATTATCAATGGAATTGTTGTAAATGAATATAGATTAAGATTGATTGCTAGCGTGTGTCTAGCATTCTTATGGCCCACACCCAGACAGAGACAGCCTCGGCTGCGCCTGATCATCTACATGACATTCTATCAACTGCAGCGAAACACGCATATTCGATGGGGTTCTGGGGTGATCTGAATCGATAGCATCTTTATCTGTCTCTTGATATATAAAGGTATGTTCGTCTGCTCTCACAGACTTAGTCGCAATAGCCTCCCTGGTCAGAATTAGAGTCGTAGAAGGGACTTTGACGGATTGACCGCGCCGACGCCAGTAAGATGGCCAGACCGCAATCAGTGTTATCCGAGGGATGATTGGCTGCTATTGTCGAAAATCTGAATCGTTTCGTGGGAAATAAGATCTTGCGGGGCGGGCAATATATCATTTGATGCTGATTAGCGAACTGGTAATGAGGCAAGCTCATGAAGATTGGCAGGTTAAACTGAGTGGCAACTCAACTTAAGGATGTCATTGTGAATGGGTTGTCTTCCTGTAATGTCAAGAAAGTCTAGAAGTGAAGCAGAAGAGGCATATCTGATAGAAAAAGTGCTGCTTGTTAAGAAACAATACTGCAGATGGCTATGTTGGATGACTTTCTCCTTTGCACGTTGCGGCCCGCGCTTACAGCCTAGTAGGGGTAGGCCATGGCCATGCAGTAGATACTAGCAACAAAGTGCATTATTAGCCCCATTGCTCAGCATGTTTGGGTTTTGATTTATCAGCCATGGAATGCTCACAAGGGAGTTGAGCTAGGTGAACATATCTTTAAGGCCTGAATGAAGAGTACTGTGTAAAGTTTTCAATAGTAATTGATCAACTGGTTCCAGGAACAATCGTGGCGCACGAGGCAAGAAAAGCTGGCATATTGAAGAACACTCATGGCAATGACTAAGGATGCTAAGAACATAATTCCAAGCAGATCCGCCAAAATCGTGGAAGTACGCTTTTTGGTCGAAGGTTAACCTAACAGAGACAACGGAGAGAGAAGCAGAAAATATATTTGAGTCCAAGGAAGGGGATTCTCAAATCGAGATTCACATACACTCTGATGTCGCAGCCATTTGGCGCCCTCTATCGATTGCTCCCCCTTACCCTCTGATACCCATTTTGTCCAAAAAGTGGAAGTATATATTCGTGAGCTAAGTCACACGTTAATGCTCGTACTTGCATAAAGTTGGGAAGAACATGCCAATAGAGAGGCGATCCAGTTAGCAATCTAGTCTAAAATCATTGTCTATTGACTTGGAGGTATTTTACATTTTTCCAAACATACATCCACTATGTAGTACTGACTGAGAGGACCGAGGGTGCGGACTGCGGAGCGATCTTTGCAGATCCTGATCAGTGCTGATCTGCGAACCTATCACTTGCATATACAAGCTTCAAATTTCCGAGGCTATATGAAGTAGATGGTAAACAAGAACCAAGCTTCTCTTCCCAACTCTATGAACAGATTGCGCCCCGACTACTGAGAAAATCATGGCATATATTAAAGAGCTGCAACAGGACATTTGACATCAAGTCCATTCCCTTCTTTCACATTTTAGAACTCCGAACATGGGAATCTTTTCCCAAAGTAAATCACGGCTGGGATCTAGATTTAGGACTTAGGAGTGATCCTTGAAGTGAATGGCAGTGCTGCTGCTGGGGAGGTCAGATGGAAGTATCTTTGTGGTGTAGCTGTTACGGTCGTGCTACGTCTCACAAATTGATCAATTAGAAAAGTAGTGCAAGATATGACAACCCGACAGAAGCTGACCAAAGTCTCCAAGTTAGGAATTGAGATTTCTGATCGAACCAAGAACGAAAGTGGATGCCTCAGTTGGACCAACAGACAAAAGGTTTTCGGAACACTCCACTCCAGCGCGCAGTTGACAAAGAAGGTTATGTTAGCCGACAGAAAGGACGGCTTTGCCGGATCTTGATAACTGCTTGGCTCCATTGTGCGACTTGTACACGGAGTATCCGAGTACAGAGCAGAAGAATAATTAGGGCCAGGCATTCCATTTCCCAGGCTGTGGCCAGAAAGGCACCAGTGGGCCATATGATTGGCTGGAAATTATGAGAGATTCATGATCATCGGGATAACTGCTTCTTCTAGACTAGGTAATGTATGTCTAAGCTCACCATCGGTCTCCAGGAGCTAGATGAAAAAAGATTGGTTTTGAACGCTGCATTCTGATTGACGGAAAATATCCATCTGCTCAGCATAAATCCTGCCAATCATGCCGCCCGTTGAAGGATCCAGAGACTAGGTACATATCTATGGAAGCCACGTGGTTCGGTAGCTTCCGGTATGGACTGCTGCTGAAGTTTCGATGGAAAACGACAAGGACCAATGCGTCTTTGACTCTCTGCTTGAGCTGGAACTACACCGAGCCGCTACCAAAGTCTTCTGTTGGGACTGTTCCCATGATCTGGCCACAGTCTACGGAGTAGATCCCTCCAGTCTATGGAGTAATTGAAGGTTGATAGATACCGTGAGGAGAGTAGAACCTAATCCACAGTTCTTCGGCAGCTCTGAGAGTTTAGCATCCAATGGGCCATCGCTTATGTTTCCCCGAACTATGGCGGGCGAGGGTAGGCGTGATAGTTCCGAGGGTCGGTAAATTTCTGTTTCCTCGGGGCCGGGAGGCTTGCGCTACTGATCAATAAGTGGACAAGATAGCTGGTAGAAATGAGAGGGGTAAACTCTCCTCGCGCTCGGATATATAGGAGTAACATACCCTCCATTGTGCCCACGGTGTGTCTTTCCGCTTAAGCAAGCGGATTTGGTCAAGTCACCACTACCCTCTCAGGGACGGCATAGTCCTACCAAGACAAAGGGCCTGAGAATCGGCCCTGTTCAGTCGTGCCAACATGCGTTTCTGGCACGCCTGGGGCCTGACCGGCTTAGCCAGCTTAGCACTTGCCCAAAGTGTGACAGTTGGCTCGAGTTCAGCCACGACGATATCGTCCAGTACTAGTTCTGCTGCAGTCACTGCGGCCGCGTCTTTGACCTCATCAACTACTACCCCCTCATCTCTTAGTACGTCAATGCTCTCTCTTTGAGAAACAGCCGGACTGACTCCCCTCTTCCATCTAGCCTCGTCTTCGGTGGTTGTCGTTGCTACCGACAGCTCCGGACAGTTTACTGCAATCGGCGATGCCATCTCTTATGCTCAGAATCAAGGGATTCCTACTGTCACTGTAAAAGCGGGAACCTATACCCAAGCTGTCACTGTCTCTGCCACACCCTCCGTTACCATCGTTGGCGAGACTGCCCATGAAAACGACTATGCGCAAAATCAGGTCACAATCTCTGCCGCCAGCCCTCTCGTCATCTCCGTCAATGTCCTCGGTATCACATTCAAAAACATCAACTTTGTGAACACCGCGACGGGGAGCTACGGTGCGGCAACCATCCGAGGATCCAAGAATGCATTTTACCAATGCCAGTTTGTGTCTGCCGGAAGCTTGGGCATCACCGCCAATTTGGGACTGGGTATTATTGCCAACAGCTATATCGAGGCCTTGGACAAGGTAATCTACAGCTATCCCAGTCTGTACATCTACAACACCACAATTGTGCCTGTTAGCTCCAGCGCTCTCCTTGTTTACAACAAGGGCTACACATCTGGAACCACCCTGTACAACTCGACCGTCGTGTTTGATTCTTGCTCTGTCCAGCAAAAGTCTGGAACGAGCAACAAGAACGTCTACTTGGCGGCAGCGAACAATGCCGGGGGATCTGTCGTCGTCTTCCGGAACACATACCTCGCAAGTTTGATTGCTGCTAGTGGCGTGCATGTCGACACGGCCACTCAGAACACCCTCAATTTCTATGGTGAATACGGAACCACGGGAGCAGGGTCTTACTCGAGCAATCAGGCCTCGCGCTCGCAATATGTGTCTCTGATGAGTGCGTCCGACCTGACCCGCTTTTCGATAGACCGGGTATTCGCCGGTGTCTATCCGCAATTTGCCTCGTCGTCTACCGACTGGGTGAACTCGAATGTCCTGGCAGAGATTGCAAGCTCAGACGTGATTCAAACCTCGTCGACTGCCGTGGCCACATCGACTGCGATATTGACATCCTCCACCAGTGCTTCTGCGACGTCTACCGCAGCGACGCCGTCCTCAACCCTAGTTGTCTCCCAGGATCCCACTGCGGGTCAGTACGCCAATGTCAGTCAGGCCATTGCAGCTCTGCCTAATGATGGTCAGGCATACACAATCTACATCAAGGCAGGAACATACACAGAGCAGATTTCTATTACGCGCGCAGGCAAGGTCACTCTTCGTGGTGAAACCTCCTTTGAGAATGATTATACCCAAAACTTGGTTACTATTCAGTTTTCGTACGGTGTCTTGACCAGTGCTGGTCAGGATGAAAGCACTCCGGTTATCTATGCAAAGAAGACCGATGGTTCAGGTCTCGCGCTGTACAATATCAACTTCGTCAACACGTATCCTCAGACCAAGAACACCGCTGCTTTGGCTGCAGACTTTTACGGTTCAAACATGGCTGCGTACGGTTGTTCCTTCATCGGTTACCAAGATACCCTCTTGGCTAATAAAGGTACGCAAGTCTTCTCGAATTGCTACATCGAAGGATCGGTCGATTACATCTGGGGTTTCTCGACTGCCTATTTTCACCAGTGCTACATCGCGGCGAATACCGCAGGCGCGTGTATCGCCGCCCAGAGTCGATCCTCCTCCACTGCCGCTGGGGGTTACGTGTTTGACAGTTGTTATGTGACCTACACCAACACGTACGGCACCACTTTCGGTCAAACGTACCTTGGAAGACCTTACTCGCAGTACAGTATTGCCGTGTATATGAACTCCTACCTAGACAAGCACATCAACAGCGCCGGATGGAGCATTTGGTCTACCAGCGCACCCCAAACTGACTATGTCACTTTTGGAGAGTACAACAACTCGGGTCCTGGAGCCTGGTCGTCCAGCCGTGCGTCATTTGCGACCAACCTTTCTGCAGATGCTGCGAGCGCGTACACGCTCTCGTCCTGGATTGGGGATACAACCTGGTTGGACATGACAGCGTATAACTCTGTTCCTTCCTACAGCCTTACCGGATCATCTACGGGCACAAACACGAGCACTACCACTCCTACCACTACTGCTACTCCCTCCTCTACGGTGACTGCCTCGTGGGGACATCCAACCAGCGGCACCACTCCCCCAGTAGGCGCGGTCATTGTCTCTCAAGGTGGCTCTGTGAATGATTCCTATAGCAATTTGACGGCTGCATTGGCTGCTCTGCCCAACGATTCTTCCACCCAGATCATCTTCATGTATCCTGGCACCTACAATGAGCAGGTGCCGTCGATCAACCGAAATGGGCCTGTTCAGATCATTGGTTATCAGTCTGGAAATCCTGGCGAGTCCTACAGCACGAACCAGGTCACTATCACCTTTGCACGAGGCCTGTCTGTGTCTCCTCTGCCAACGGGTCACTCGGATGCTGAGACGGCAACCCTGTTCACCGCCAGCAACAAGATTGCGCTTTACAACATCAACATCATCAACAGCGATAATTTGGACGGATCGCAGTCGTCCTATGTGACTCTCGCCGCATCAATTTACGGCTCGCAAATTGGCTTCTATGGCTGTAGCTTTATCGGTTGGCAAGATACCCTCTTGACGGGTAGTACGGCTGGATATCAATACTACGAATCATGCTATATCGAGGGTGCAATCGATTTTATCTGGGGATACTCCAAGGCTTACTTCAAGGGATGCACCATCGGCGCCAAAAGAGCCAAATCCGCCATTACAGCGCAAAGTCGTGCGTCCTCTTCTGCTATCGGTGGATACATATTCGACGAGTGCACATTCCAGGCAGCCCCGGATGCCACGGTCGACCTCACCCAGACCGTATACCTCGGCCGTCCGTACTCCGCGTATGCGCTGGTGGTCGTCAAGAACTCGTACTTGAGCGATATTATCCAGCCCTCTGGATGGAAGGTCTGGAGTACCAGCGACCCCCGTACGGACCACATCACATTCGCCGAGTTCAACAATTCAGGGCCGGGCAATTGGGAGAATAACGCGGCCGCTCGACAGGCTTTTGGCAATTGTACTCTACTTACCTCTGACGCTTATACACTTGAAGCAGTGATGGGGTCAACTGACTGGATCGATCTGACATATTGGGACTCTGTTACTATACCAACTGGGACCTCAACCGCTACGGCTACGGCGACTGCTAGTGCTACTGCTACCCCGGCTGCGTATGATGGAACTGTTCCTCCTGCTGGAGCCTACATCGTGTCCAAGACGGCGATTGAAAATGTGACTACTTACGACACTATCCAGAGTGCGCTCAACGCCCTACCCACCTCCACTAAAGTGACCCCCACGGTATTCATCTACCCGGGTATCTACGAGGAGCAGCTCGTGCTTAACCGTTCCGGAACCACCATCTTCGTTGGCTACTCGACGTCGACCTTCGACTACAACAGCAACCAGGTCACTATCCAGTATAATGCTGGTGTCGATACCCAGGCCGACCAGTCAAATTCGGATAGTGCCACCGTTTATGCTACGGGTAACTACTTCCAGGCTATCAACATCAACTTTGTCAATAACTTTGGCACCACTAAGAACTATGCATCTCTCGGTTTCGCGGTCAAGTCAAGCAAGTATGCTGCTCTTTACGGTTGCCAGGTGAAGGGAAACCAGGATGCTCTCTTGATCAATGGATATTTCTTTGCCAGCAACAGCTACATCGAGGGGAACATCGATATGATATGGGGATCTGGAGCTGGTTACTTCCTCAAGTCAACCATTGCGCCCAATAAAGACGGCATCAATCTGACGGCTGATAAACGCTCTACAAACACCACCGCCGCTGGGTTCGTCTTCGACCAGTGTACCATCGTTCCCTCTACAGGCGCCGGGACAATGTCCGACATCTCGCTCGGCCGACCATGGAACTCTTTCGCTCGGGTGGCATATGTGGATTCATACCTTGACTCGTGTGTGACCGCTGCTGGATGGGAGCAGTGGTCCTCGAGTAGTCCAAACACCGATGGAGTGGTGTTCGGAGAGTACGGTAACTATGGGCCTGGGGCGTCCACTGCTCAGCGTGCGTCGTTTGCAACGCAGTTGGATGCTAGCGGCGTTTCTCAGTTCCAGTTGTCAAGTTTCTTCGCGATTACATCTTGGATTGATTTCACCCATGTCAGTGGAACTCCGTTCGTCCCCGGAATCGCAATCACTACAAGTATGGCTGTAACCTCAGCCACGCCGACTTCAAGCGTCGCCGTTACACCATCAACCGTGACAACTACAATGACCGTGACGGATCAGGAGACTGTGTACACTACTTTGACTTCCACCGATAAGACTTCCACCGCCAGGTTTACCGTCACGGAAGATGTGGGTACGATTCTGACTGCAGCCGAATCCTTCAAGACGACGACGCAGAAGACTACCATCACGAGCACGGTAATTGTCACTGAGCCAACGAAGACGAGCACGAAGAAGGTTGTCATTACCAGTGATGTCGGTCTCACCGTCACACCAGCTCAAAGCACGAAGACCAGCACGCTGAAGGGAACTACCACAGTCTTTGCAACAACTACCCATGCACCGTCTACTGTCACTGTCAAGAGCACATTGACCTCTTCCAGGACCACCACGGTGACAGCCAAAGCAGTAACGACAACTGCGACTGTGCTGAGCACAACAACCACTGTCTCGACCTCCACGCCAGGAACAGTCAAGGTGACTTCAACAGTCACCGTCACCAAGGGTACCGACGGCACTACCACTATCACGGCCAAGGCTACCACAAGCACGGTGAGTGTCACTTCTACGGTCTCCAAGGCCAAGACTGTCACCACGACGATCAGCTGTGTTCCAGCTGCAAAGGTGAAGCGGAATCTAATGCCTCGAGCTGTTGCCGCTGCGACTGTCACCGACTTCACCACTTTCACAACAATTGTCAAGACATCGACCGTCAAGCTTCCTGCATCTACTGATATTGTCACTGTGGTCACCACCAAGACGACCGGAAAGACGACGACTATCCCAGCGTCAACTAGCACCATTACCGTTCTGTCGACTGTGACTAAGGGCACGACCAGTACCATCCCAGCGGTAACAAGCTATGTCACTCAGACAAGCATGTCAACCGTCGGAAAGACTACCACCCTCCAGGCCTCTACCACCACGGTGACAGTTACCTCGCTCGCAACCAAGATATCCACTACCACCGTGGTTGGTGCAACACAGACCGTCACCAGCCTCAAGACAACAACAATCCACTCGACCGTCTCGCTTCTTCGGAGCACAGTCACCGTGACCAAGTCGACCGTCTCGACAATCAAATCGACGGTCACGCTCGCCACTCCTACAAGCACGACTGTGAAGACGACGACATATAGTCTCAAGCCTTCGGCCACGGTTACTTCTCGGGCCACGAGTACCAAGACGACAACGGTAAAGAAGACAGTCACGCAGACGGAGACAGTGACCAAAACGTCCAAGGGAGCTGGACCCTGTCCTACCAACTAATTCCTCATCTCGTCATTCCAATTATTACTTTGAACCCTTTCCTACCACCTAATTCCTCATCTCGTCATTCCAATTATTACTTTCATTGAACCGTTTCCTACACTCTTCATATTACAGTATCATCTGCATGTACATACTTGGTAATCATCTTAACTCATTTGAAACGCAACACAATTCACCATATACAAAAATACCAACACAAAAACTCAAGGCGGCAACTGACTCTTCGACTCCTCGGGAAACTTCCTAAACAAATCCGCCAGATGATCAATCGGCGCCGTCATCAGCCCCACAACAGTCTCAAACGGCGGCTTATCAGGCGCATCGGGATGGCTCCTTGTCGGAATAAGCTTCTTCGTCCGCATGAACGACTTCACCTGCTTCTCGGAGTCATCCTTCGCCAGCGTCTTCTCCAACGAAGGCAGGTCATCCTGTTCTTCCTCCTTGATGTGCTCCCCCAGATCAGACCAGAGCGCTTTGATCGTGGACTCGAACTCGGGGTCCGTGGGCGAGAGGCTCTGGAATTTATACAGGTGATCTTTGACCTACACCATATCAGCACCGCATGTTTGCAGAGGGGAAGAGGGAGGGGCATACAGTCTTATGCTCCGCGCGGTCCTTGTCGGCCAGCGCCTTCCCGTTGGGTAGGTTCTTCTCCATGAGCGGGTAGACGACCAGCTCCTCGCCGATGGAGTGGCGGGCTAGTTCCCATGTGAACTGGTTCTGCCAGCGGCGTTTCTCATCGACGTTTGTGGCGGAGAGGATCTTGTTGTATGCGTCTTCGAGTTCGCGGTGGTCGTCTTTGATGGCCTCGGAGAGGAGGGTCATGGTGGGCTGGGTGAGGGTGAAGGCGCGTTTGTGGGTGTGGGTGAGTTTGGTGGTGATGGGGGCGACTGTGGATGGTCTTAGGGTTCTGGAGGCGATGCAGCGAGGGAACATGGCGAGCGTTATGTAGTAGGTTGTGGTTTAGGGGATTGTGCAAGGAGGTACATTTATATACCCCGTCTCGGTTTGTGATGTATATCTTTGGGTCGATCATTCTCCACACTTGCCCCACAGTCCGGGGGATGCAGGATTCAGGGTCCAATCAAGCGGAAACAATTACCAAGGAAGAGGATGAACATGAATGTCACTTTCACGTCATGTTCTAGATCTTGTATTATGGTCGCTCTGGTTTCTTGAATTCCTCGTTACTTCAAGCGCAGCTGGGCAAGGGATGCTGAGTATGGCCTTCACAGTGACGTACTCAACATCCTCCATGTTCCAGGCAAAAGAGAAAGATTTCCTTGAAATCGGGAATGGAAATCAAGGAGGTGTGCGGCGGGCCTTTGCAATCCGTACGCAAGTATGAGCTATTGCCTAGAAAGAAAGATGCGTGATAGCTATCTAGGCCGCGGAGGACTATCAATGTCTTTGAAAGAGCCTTTCCCTGTTGTTAATACCTATCATCTGATTCGAGCATTCGCTTGCAGAATGGTCGGGACGGGTTGCCGAGAATATTATGACAGCCTAGTGATGCAAATATCAAGATAGAAGCAAGATATTCTCCAGCATTTACGATCGGGATCGAGATCGAGATCTCATATCGGCAGGATCGGGCAAACGCTGGCTGTGCAACGACTCAGATCATGCGATCAAGATGTTTTCAGAGTCGATATTTGGACATGAGAATTCAGTTTGCATTTCTAACTTAGACATTTGAGGCCAATTATCCTCAATTTAGTTGTCTCTGAAGACCCTGTGGTCGGTCTCTCCAAAGAGCAGCTGCTCACCCTTTTTCTGTGCTTCGGACGAACCTGTTTCAATAGACCAGATGAGGTGGAATAACATTGCATTGGATTCTTTGGTACGTATAGAGCCTAGACTGTGGACAATCTGATATATCGCCATTATAACAGACTCCATGTTTACGCGCCGCTTTGAGACCGGCGTATGCAGAAAGTCAAAGGTGCTATGGACTCCAAGCATGTGGTCCCATGGATATTTTTTCTGGTAAAGATGAGCAGCCCTCTCTGTCTCCTCGTGGGTGAGTCTGAGGTATTTGTAAACCAGATTCCATGATTATTCCCTGAACCCCTGAGCAGTCGCTCCCTCGGTCTCTCCTACCCTCACCACATACTTGATCGCACTCGCTTTACCATTCTTCAAATCCGTCAAGGCCTGCTGTAGTCCCCCAAGACCACCCGGTACAAGCTGATGCGGGTGAGGCTTAAACCACCCATCCAAAAGCCCCTTGGCGATGTATCTGAAATGGACGAATCCAAAGTCCTTCTGGTCGGCATGAACACAACCTACATTAGTCTTAGCCTTGTTGATACCTGCAGGAAGCGCATCGTCCTCCACTGGTAGCACAAAGGCAACCTTTCCTCCCTCCGATACCACCTTTCCGAGGTTAGTAATGCTACTGCCCTCGCTAACGCCATCAAAAGCATGCAAGAGCGTCTCGTCCGATCCAGATGCTCTCAGGGCATCTTTGATTTCAGAGACGACTGCATCATTGCCCTTGCGGTAGTCGACGATGGTGTCACCCTTGGACCGGTCGATGAGGGTCTCCACGAATGGGATGCCACGTCCGGCGACGGTGATGATGGGGTGAATGTCACTTTTGACAGCCATCTGGATGGCAAAGGCACCGACCGCTGTAGCACCGCCGTAGATAACCAGTGGGATACGGGAGGTTGCTGGATGCCATGGTTCAGGGAGGCCGAGGTGGTGGTACAACGCGAGGGCGGATGTCATGGCTGCAAGGGGTAACGTAGCAGCTTCTACTCATCGATCAGCGCTGATGGGCTTACTTTTAATAAGGCACGGCTATGCGGACCTTCGAAGCTTGTCGACCTGGGAATGTGGAAAGTAGTATGCTGCCAGCTAATGGCATACTCGGCGTAACTGCCATGCGGCACAAGCATCTGATGGAACGCAGCGACGCGGTCACCAGGCTTGAACTCGGTGACATTGTCGCCGACAGCAGCGACAATACCAGCAATATCATCGCCTTGGTTGTCAGTTCGGTTCAGCCATTCGGGGATCTTCCTGAACCGATGTTAGAGACATTCTGCCAACATTCTGAATTGTAGAGGTACCAATCCTTGGGATTTGTTCCGCTCACAACAACTTTAATTAGGACCTGATCCGGCCCAGGCGTTGGAATGGGACTGTCGACAATTTCGACGGAAGGTCCCTTGCTAACTAATGCTTCTTTCATGATGGTGAGACGATCGAACTGACTGCTGGCTGCTTTGGCTGAAAGCAAAGCGGAGAGTGGGGGCCTTGATGCCTTATACCCGGCCGATGCTTTCATACGTCATCGCTGATTACAAATCCGATATTGGTACCTCAATAAGTCCCCGAATAAGAGAGGTTATGGGTTTAAAATATTATACCACTATATTATGGACATATAATCCCTGGACAAAGGAGTACATTGTCGGGACACCTTTTCAGTCTAGGTGTTGGATACTCTCCAGGCCCGAACCTATTATGCGTCCAGCGTGGGGTTCGGGCCGGACTGGGACGGCCGGATCGCCAGTATAGCCATCATTACACTGTTACACACATTGAGGTGTGCTAGAACTCCAATCCCTAGCATAACAAAATCGAACAAAAAGCTTCATCCATGCCCAACCAATGATGTCCTGTAAGGAAGCTAGCCGGATACTAGTCCGACAATAAGGCCAGAAGACGACCAATACCGCGAGATACTAGCACAATGGATAAGACTCCTTACATGCCCCAGCCAATATCGGCAAAACAATTTGGCAAGCCTTAACAGTACATTCAGGAATCCAGAAGTTGCTAAGGCTCGTGTGACTCGGCTGTGGCTCTATTTAGAGAGCTAGAGAAATGGCGTGGAATGGCTCGCATGTTTTAGTGCCAGTAGATTAATGTCCCACCAAAGCCTGATGCTCAGGCCCGTACCTGTTTCCATGCGGCTTTGCAGCGTCGATGATTCTGCGCATTTCCTGCTTTTCCTCCTCCGTCAAATCAATCTCCCTAGACGCCCAGTTCTCCTCGAGCCGGCTAGCCTTGGTCGTACCGGGAATCGCAATGAACCCCTGCGCCGCAACCCAGGCCAGCGCAATCTGACTAGTCGTACAGTTCTTCCGAGCGGCAAGCTTCTTGATCTCCTCCACGATTGCCCGGTTCTTGTAGAAGTTATCGCCTTGGAATTTGGGGCCTAGATAATCAAGTGTTAGCAAATGTTTAAATTGTGCATTAGCTCCAGGCGAGGATAACGTACTCCTCCTGCGAAAATCATCCGGGGCAAAGTCATCAGGAGACTTGTATTGGAAGTCGTCGACGAGCCAGCCATGTCCTAGGGGACTGTACGCGACATAAGCTACGCCTAGTTCTCTGCATGTTTCAATGAGACCATCAGTCTCATGGAGGACCTCGAATGCAGAATACTCCGCTTGCACGGCATCGATCTTGGCAACTGGTCATCTGTTAGACAGATACGACGAGAAAGGAACGAGAAATCTCACTTGAATGGGCCTTGCGCAGCGTCGCAGCCGAACACTCAGAGAGACCAATGTACTTGGTCTTGCCAGCCTTACGGATCTCATCGAGGGCAGGGATCGATTCCTCGAGTGGTGTTTCTGACCTCATTAGCATTTAGCAGAGTTTACATGGATTGGGACGTACTAGGATCGATCCGGTGCAAGTAGTAGAGGTCAGGGGCGAAGCCAAGTCGCTCGATGGTACCATCGATATACTCCTTGATGTGAGCAGCCGAGTTGGTGACGGAGCGATCGCCAAAAACGTTGAAACCGCACTTCGACGCAACTAACGTGGTCGGTTAACTTATGCCAGACTAGGCAGATAGCAAGAGTGACTGACTGAAGACCTTGTCGCGGACATTATGTTTCCTGATGAAATCCCCGAGAAGCTTTTCGTTCACACCAGCTTGGTAGACGACCTTTGCTCGACATGTCAGACTTTGTATCCTGGCAGTCAGAGGGCTGACAACTCACAGCAGTATCCCAGAAGGTACATCCTAGTTCAATTGCCTTCAAAAGTACAGGCTCCGCTTCCTCCAAGCTGAGATTGCTGCCCAGGCCGAAGCTTAAGCCCATGGCACCGAAGCCAGGTGAGGGCACTTGGATATTGCCGAAGGGGAGTGTTTTGACCATTGTTGCTTCTGAAAGAAATGGATATACTTGATCTGCTTGCTTTCTCTTGATGTCGGTTGCAGCTGATACTCAAATATATACCCTTCTGAGGAGAGCTCATCACAGCGGTGTGCAAAGATCAGCGCGTTGGTGGAACATGTTGTGATATCATACAATGGATACCACGACCAACCATCTAATTGATCTTCGGGGAAAAGCTAGAGTGATGACAGCCATCTGATACTAATTGCTGACATGTTTGAGCTTATCCTCTTAAAACCGATACGGCCGTAACTCCGTCGTTGCTTACTGCGGGCATGTGGGCCCAGGGCCACCAGTGACCTCGAGATGAATAGAAGTATACCTCAAGAGTGACTCAAAATTCACAACCTTGAAAGTTGAAACGGTGGATTTGTTGCTAATCATTGTCAAGCTGCTTGATCACCTATGCGATTCACAGTGGATAGATGGTTCTGCTTGCTCCCTTATCCTTCCATGTTCTGTACACATAACTCCCCCCCACACACTCCATACATATTGATCCGCCATCATATTCAGCAGTTCAAGGCTGATATGGATCCCAATTTTTCTTCTCATCCTCTTTAAATTCATGACAAGCCTAAAGCAACTGAGCGAAATATGATGAAGCCACTGTACGCATAACCTGGCTGCCTCGATCACCCGGCACCCCTCTGCCGTGCTCTGGTCTTGGGCCTACCTTACGTCTAGGATAAATGATGCATTCATGGTGTCGTGAGCAAAATTCCCTACAGGATTTCTTTTTGTAGCTTACATGCAAGGCCACAGACCCTAAGTCACTCCATTCAGGCAGAATGACGGCCTAGTGTTAATCCTAATCATCCACTCTTTTGCGTTACATGGCTAACCATGTCTACAGACAAACCGTGACCCCATGAAGCCCAGTCAGATGCAGCCAGAGCGGTCAGCCAGGAGACTGCGCGTTGATACTTCCTACTACCTGAGAGCAGAGGGGGTAGTACCTATGAGTAAATATCGAGGATTCTGCAGGGATGCCAGGGACAGACATGGTTTAAGTAGTCAGACGTCAGAACTCGGCCCGCTACGCTCTAAGGGTGCTGTATTGCTCAACCCTCACTAGCAGCAGTATTGAATCAGTTCTGGATCATTCTAAAATCATCTGTTTGATAATGAACATTGCTACTTATCCTTTACTCCTCAGCCGCCCACCTTTCCAGTATTGTCGGTCACGAACGGATGAAACTCTAGAGAGTTGCACGGGGGCAACTCTCTCAAGAGTTCGACACCATAATAGTTATCCGCAAATACTACCCGAACATGGGGCAATCATCGATGACCACTGGCCAAATCCAGCGCTAGGTTCTTTTCCACCTTGTAAGGATGACGATCTCGGGCTGAATTACCCCGTTACCGACCAGTAGCTCTCGGATGTCCACACTCTCCACATATCCATGCGGAGAATTATGGGGTTGGGTTTTGCTATCGGACACCCTCGTCTGAATGCTCCCTACCATGCTCGTTCGATGGCAGTGCCCTCGCAGGGTCTAGAGCAAAACTCGCGTTATGATGCTGTATCTACAATCACCGCCGACTCTTCAGGCACATGATCAACGCGTTCGCGTCTACAAAAGCTACTTGTCCCGTGAATTTAATCCAGCCGTCCACAGTATAGCCCGTCCACTTTCCGAGGGTTTCAACTCAAAAAGTGGACGACAGATGAGTGGTTGATGGCTGGTGGGCCTTTGGGTGTTATAAATCGTCAGGACGCGAAGAGACGTACCAAGGGTTGATTAATGATTGTGGAGCGGCATGCAGAACGGAACCACCCTGACTATGTTCATCCTTCCATTGGTGCCCACAAGTTAGTTCTCCATGTTTTCGGCATCTACGGGGTAGCACAAGGAACTAGGCACCTTACAACTACGCCTGTCTTCTTCTGTGGAGTGGACTGGCGGCCCTGTTTCAGTTCAACGAAGACATGAGCCTACATAAGGGGTCGATTCCTTTGGAACATGTTGTCAGGAATTATCCTCGCGGCACCAAATCCGGTCAGCCTGTCCATAGCCCGGCACAGTCAATATGTTATTTTTTGGTTGTTTGAACGTCCTGTCCGCCGGCAGCCTACTGCTGGCGTCGCTTGCCAGGGCGGATAGGTATGCTCGAGCGTCAAGATTCTCAGGTAATCACATATTCTAAGGAACTTTATAGTGGCTCTGTTGTGTTTCCGATCAAGTACAAGACAATTGCAGGTTTCAAACGTTACAGTAGCAATGGAAAGGAAAGATCCTTCACGCTGAACCAGGCGAACCCACTAGTGACACTCGACTACGGCACCGAAGTTGGAGGTTTCCCTACCTTCACTGTTGAATCTCTCTCGACCACTGTTCAATTGCAGGCCAAATACAGAGAGCCTCGAGCAGGTCTCGATGCGCCGTTTGGTGACGGACCCTGGACATTCGCAAATGGTCTCTCAAACACCTTCCGCGTCGAAACCTTCAATGTGACATCCACCGGAACGGTTTCCTCGTTCTTTATCCAAGGTGGTCTCCGATGGCAAAATCTACAACTATTGACAGATGGCACCGTCAAGATCTGCCGACTTGGTATTCGATCGGGCAACGATCGCACCCCCGTCGACGCTCTTCCGGGCTACTTTGAGTCCTCCAACAAACTGTACAACGAGATCTGGGCTCTTGGGCCCCGGACCGTTCAGCAAGCATGCATTGCGGCGAATGGCGCTCCGTCAACCTGGGAAGTTACGGAAGATGGTGTGTATCTGCGTGGACAGCAACCAGCGCAGTCAGTGGTGGGATCACCGTTCAACAATTACACGATGACGTTCCAGTCCAAGATTGTCCGTGGTGGTACGGGATGGAAGGTCGCTTCGGGGGTGATGGGCTTCGGACCGTACTTTGTGCTTACCGGCGAGTATCCCACTGGATCGACCTTTGTCAATACCAACACCACTCTTGTTCCGGCGAATACCCTAGCGGTTGGTTACGGATGGAACTTGCTCAATCAGACCTCACTCACCAGTGGCAAGGTCAACTACTACCCTCTGCCGTTTGATGTCAAGGAGGGTCAGTGGTATGAGATCTCGACTCGTATCAACGCCACCGGCTACGGCGTCACAGTTAATGAGACCGAGATCTTCGTGCCGTTAGATGAACTGCAGATTGCCACTTCATTCATTGGGTCTTCGGGTAGTCTGACGGGAGGAACCTGGGGCTTTGGACCATATCAGGACCAGATAGCCCTGGTCAAAGATGTCACAGTTCACGCGCAGAATAGCTCTTTGCTTTACCATAATCCAATGACATCCGCTTCAGTGCTGAAGGAATACGGCGTCATGGCCAACACTCATTCGATCTGTCTTGACGGCGCCAAACGCGACCGCCTCGTCTGGTCGGGCGATTTCGCACATACATACCGCGTCGTCCAAGCCAGCACATATCGCTCGGACTTTGTCGCTGGGACTTTGGAGTACCTGATCGATCGGCAGGCATCCTCCTCCATCTATGACGGGTACTTCAGCATGTCCCCTGCTATGGGCCAGTCTGCGGACTACACCGATGTCTACAATTCCTTTGGTCTCATCGACTATCAGATCTTATTTTTGCACGCGTTCGCTGGGTATTACCAGAACTCTGGCGATCAGGCATTTCTCCAGAAACACTGGGCAAAAATCAAGAAGGGGGTGGAGGTCACAGTGTCTTTGATTGACAACCAGTCCGGATTGGCTGTCTCTCCTTTCTTTGGAACGTTCTTCACCGGATCGAGCAACGGCACTGCCGTCTCCGGCCTCCTTTCTCACACTCTGCGTCAAATGGCGAATCTCGCCACTGCCATGGAGGAGACGGATCTGGCAATCAGCTGGACCTCCCACGCAGATTCGATCAAGGCTGCAATCACCAAGCACCTGTGGAACTCAAAGACTGGCACCTTTACAGTCGACCTATCTAACCTAGACTAACAATCCATCGCTGGCAGCGCCTGGGCCATCCTCTCCGGCGCCGCAAACACAACCCAAACCGAATCCACCATCGCAGCGCTCTCCTCCCTCCGCCTCGGAATCGGCTACAAGAGCTCCACCTCCATCACCTCCTCCCCATCCGCCAATCTCTCCCCCTTCCTATCAGGCTTCCTCCTCGAAGCCCTCCTACAAGCAAGCCGCAACAGCGCAACCGCAAGCAACGCCCGCAAAACAGCCATCAGCGTCCTCCTCGACCACCTCTGGGCAGCGATGGTCACGCAGGACGAGTACTACACCGGGACGACCTGGGAATACCTCTACCCGGACGGCCGCCCCGGTCTCGACCTCTACACCTCCCACGCGCACCCCTGGGCCGCGGCGCCGACGTATGTCCTGACGGAGTACGTCCTCGGTGTCCAGGCTGTCTCTGCGGGTTTCGCGCGGTGGGCTTTCCGGCCCGCTGTGCTGGATGTGGCTGTCTCGTGGGCGCGCGGGCGGGTTCCCACTCCGCATGGCCTGATCCAGGCGAGCTGGAGGGTGGCTGGTGAGGGGATGCGTATGGAGATCAAGGTTTGTGGGCCGAAGGGGACGACTGGTGTGGTCGGTTTGCCTTTTGCTGTGCAGTCTTGTATGGTTAATGGGAAGAAGCAGGCGCCGGGGGCCGGTGGCTTGGAGGTTGCAGTTACTGGGGGGGGATGTGCTGAGATCCGGTGCACCCGGAAGTAGACCGGGGGATCATTCTATCAATGTTAGTCGGTCATCCTTTGAATGGTCCGGGACATATTCAGTTAAATGCCTTCTGATACATTGTAGACATTCTTCAGCTCTCATTTATATATCTTCTGTCCAAATAGCGTCGTGTTTCAATTTATCACTTTCTGATAGTTTCATGGGTTCATCCAGACAATGCTTCAGCTTCCAACGCTCCGAAATGAGGAAGTATATAGATTGACCTACTTAATCAGATTATCATGAGATTTTCTCAACGAGAGGGATACTCGATCGATGACCATGAAAACAACAAAGGAAAATACAGATCAAGACATCTGCCGAGACTGATCCAGTACTCTAGTCTTTGATGGCCAAGCTGTTCTTTATTGCTGAGATGTGGGGACGGTCCGTGTCCGGCCCGGCTCATCAGCCAATTTGGCCAAGCCAACAGTTATGCCCGGCTCACGGGCCGTGAAGTATGTGTTGATCACGGTTCCGTCCTTGACGGACATATAAACATCAAGATATCTCCCCAATTGATGAATTGAACTCAGATTAAAGGTTATTCCATTGAAATAATTCTCGAATAAAGCGGAACATGAACAAGAACGATCGCTTCATCATCGTCGGCGCTGGTGCCTTTGGCCTCTCCACGGCCCTAAGGCTCGCCGAGGACGGATACACATCCGTCACTGTCGTCGATAGATGCATGCCTCCCGTTCCGGACGGGAGCAGCAACGATATCTCGCGCGTCATTCGATTCGACTACGGCGACCCAGTCTACGCCCAGATCGCCAAAGAGGCGTACGACCTGTGGAAGACACCCGAGTACTCGGAGGCGTTTCACCAGACACCTTGTCTATGGGTGTCGCAGGAAGGGACCCCAGAGCAGCCGGTGCAGCCCCGTGCGGCAGAGTACAGCCGCAAGACGCGGAAGGTGTTGACGGAAATGGGGCAGGAGTGGCATACTGTTTCCAGTGTCGAGGAGGCGAAGGAACGGTTCCCTGCGTTGAGTGGGAAGCTGGCAACGCCTGGCTTTGACGGGTTCTACAATACTAATGCTGGATGGGCGGATGCGGGACTTGCCGTCCAGAGACTTGCGAGTCGTTGCATCGCGGCTGGAGTCAGCTTCATTACCGGCCCGAATGGCCATGTCGTCGAGTTTGAGTATGGACGGGGTGGAATGGTTGATGCCGTTCGGACTATCAATGGTAACCGTATCATTGGCGACAGATTTATCGTTGCCACTGGCGCCTGGACGGCGAGTCTCATTCCCTCGTGGAACTCGATGGTGGCTGCTGGACAGATTGTTGGATGGCTCCGCCTGACAGCCGAGGAGATGATTCGGTTAAAGGACCTCCCCATCTACTTCAACTTTTCAACGGGCTTCTTCTGTTTCCCCGTCCATGAAGCCACAGGGTACCTGAAAGTCGCGGTTCACGGGTTCGGGTATACATCGCCACATCCTAAAGCTGTATCTGCACCCCCAAGCTCCGCTGTTTCAGCACGAGCCAACTTCATCCCCGCTGACGGAATGCAACGACTTTTGGCCGGACTGAGAGATATCTTACCCGAATTTGCGGAACGAGGATTCGAAAAGGTGGGCCTGTGTTGGTACAATGACACGCCAACCGGGGACTTTATTTTCGATTACCATCCGGAGCACAAGAACCTGTTTATTGCAACAGGCGGCAGCGGACAGTAAGTGAAGGGCACCGAATATGCTATCCGTCAGAGCTGACAGAATCATAGTGCTTTCAAATTCCTCCCTGTCCTGGGGAAGTACATTGTTGGTAGTATCGAGCGGAAGCTGCCGCGCGAACTGCTGGAGAAATGGAAATTCCCCATACAGTTCCGTGAACGGTTCCAAGGGGATGCTTTTCAAGGGGATGGCAGCCGTGGAGGCCCCGAGAGACGAGAGATGACACTTCAGGAGCGGGAGGCATATACTGCTGCAATGACGACTGCATCAATGAGAAGAAGTAAGATCTAGAAAGTCAGGAAGGACATGCATCTGACCTTCCATGCTCGTACATAACGCGTGATGTTGATTAGCCTAATGTGATATGATGCTTTTCTTCGTTAGAGGTGAGCCCAGCATATCATGGCCCTTTCTTGCGCAGGATATGGTGTGGTCCAACGATAGTGTAATCATTCCGCAGCCTGTCAAGCGCACACGCCTGAAGAGGAATACCCACACTCCTATTGTAGAGCCAGGCAGCAATTGTCCGTTCGTGCGGTGAATCGCTCAACAGTCCACAAGCAGGCAAGTCAGGATTACAACTGCTCCGGCAAGTAGCCTCCAAAGAGCATCCAGTCCGCAGCATCGGGCATTGTCAATCCCAGCTCCTCAGTATTTGAAATCGGCCACTCCGGCGGAAGAATGTGGTCAAGAGAGTCTGCAGGCCCTCCAGACTCTTGAGATCTTGGTGTTTGCTGATCGTCCATCGCCTCGCCTACTACAACATGGCCCGACGTAAAAGAATCATCCAGAGGTGGCAGAACAGACACTCCTCCCATATGCTGGTTGGGCGAAGAACGAGAAGCCTCAAATAAAGATGTCTTAGCAAAACTGCAGGATGAACTAAAGTCAAGAATATCCCACATTAGAGCCTCATCCTCAGCAGACATTCGAGGTAAATCAGTCGAGGCTGGCATGCAAGGAAGAATGCCGGAGAACTCTTCCTGATTACCATACAGTGAACCATAGTTTTTACGTCGTTCAGCAATTTTGTTTAACCGATCGGCCTATCGAGACTATTAGCACTGTCACGATTGCCAATTAGGGTTAACGCACCAAGACGCCCATATTCCCCCAGTACGCAGATAAACCAGCTACGAACGCCACAAGTGTTTTGTAGTCGTTCTTGGCCAGGCGGGAAACTTGCTGCTTTTTACTCTGAGTATGCTCCAACTGAATCGTGGCCGCAATCGCGCAGAGGTACCCAATAAATGGGTCATAGAGCTTCAAGTCCACCTCGGCCATTTCCCGTACAAACCGGGCAATCCATCTGGAATGGATGACGGAGCTCTCGTATGATTTTTGCAGAAAGGTCGATGGTATGTTTTCCCCGTACTGGCGAAGCTTGCTCATTATGACGAATGGATGGTGCAGCAATGCCTGTATCGAATGGAAGAGAAACTGAACGCATAGCCAGGTGGACAAGTAAGTGCGCGAGCCCGGCTCGTCGCGCGCTCGTCGGCGAAAATCAACATTCATGTAGCGGTGCGTATCTGCAAAATGCATTTGGAATTGCATCCAGTCTGACTCTAGATCTGCCAGTGTCGAGCCGGACTGCCATGGGGGTAATGCATCCTCATTAGAAGGCTCGAAGACGTATTCTGTCAGCTTGCCCCAGATCGAGGAAAGCCGGATAAGACAGGCCAGAATTCCGTTATCTACCTTCTTCCCTAGTTTCCCAGGCCCTTCGTACAGTCTACCGCAAGGCGTTGAGCCTTCATGGTCCGAACCAGTCGCAGCAGGAGAAGGAAAGGGTAGTGTGAAATGCTTGTCGTTCAGGCAGATTGAATAGCTGCGGGAGGCATTGTAATTACGGTCAAGCATGAAAAATGCCCATGTAACACGCTTCCAGTCTTCTTGGTCAGCTCTATTTTGAAGCGATGTGTAGCCATCGTTTCTGTTCAGTCCCGCTGACTGTAGCGCTCGAAGTGCAAGAGCGACACTATTGTAACCTCGATCTGACCGACCATCGGAGAGATCTAGTTGAGCCATCAGAAATGTGCCCTGCAGAAAAGGAAGACACAAGTTGCCTGTCTTGTACCGATTGGCCAGAATGTTCCAGGCCTTATCAGTACAATCTGCTGTGTTAGGCACATATGTCCGCCAGTCCACAGAGGATTTGCTTGCGAGACGAGAGGTAAGGGCGACAAGAGGAAATATGATCTCTGAAGGGAATCTTTCAGCATCCTTTATGAGCTTATCTCTCGAGAAGACACAATATGGCTGGTCGTGAAAGTGATCCAGATAAATCTGCACTTGAGATCTGATGTATTCCGGCTGAAATGAGACACTTAACTTTGTCATTTGCACAATTCATCGCACTGAGAATGGGAATTGACAAATACGTACCATGAGACTCTTTCTCCTCCATTGGGACTGCCCATCCTTTCAGGCGCACTGTTCACAGCACTGCTTGTCGGCAACCTCTCTCTAGTCAGAACAATATCAGCATGACTAAAGCCAAGGATGAGATGCGTTTGAACTTGGGGAGAACGTACTGGAGAAGGGTCGTTATCCCATCCAGTCTCTCTTCGATACGGCGGAACTTCTGTGTGTTTGAAACATTTCCTGGTAGCACGTCATCTAGGGCGCGCTGTTGATCGAGTCCCGAGGGAGCTTCCGATGCAGCGTGATTGACTGCCCGCCGCGCGGTGTATGTACAGCGCTGACCGAGTCTCCGACACAGTGAGCAGCTCGGCTTCTCGCCTGGACAACGAGCTTTCTTTCGACTTGATGCAAACAGTGAATGTCAGTTGCCAGCTTGATTGAATCAATGGAATCACGTGGGTAGGATTCAAACGGGCGAAAAGCGCCACTAGGTAGGTGTACACACCGACAGGGTCCGCATGCTTGACGGGTACGCTGCACTGATACTTTATGGATAGCACGATTGTCGTCCGAAGCATTCATTACGAAAGGGTGTTCCAATGGAGAGTCGGACTGTCGTCGATGGAGGATGGTCTTTGTGGGAGTGACCATGAAGCAAAATCACGTGGGCCACTATTATGTAAGTTCATTTGAGAGAATCGGGAAGCGCCAAGTGTCCAATTAGGATGGCTCAGGGGCCAACTATATATAGGCTGACTAAGTCGGGACGCTAAACCTAAACGGGATGGAATCCTGACACCCCCCCTCGGACCGACTA